GCTTTGCCCTGGACCCACTGGGGCTTCAATGCAGCCCCCAGACCCCCTGCCTTCTACTGTGAAATTCCTGAATCTGCCACTGGCTTAGTAATCACTAAAGATCAATCATGATTAAAAAACCAGTATTGATCATACTGCAGTACATTCAATGGAAAAAAAAGAATATGTTACAAAAGATGTAAATTTAGGATACAAAATCTGATATCTGTAAATTTGTTATATCAGAGTTCGTTATAGCCCTAGAAGTAATTGTGTAGAGATCCCCAAAAATGTCGCTAGATCTGTAAATTCGCTATATCTGTGTTCATACTAAACAAGTTTTACTGTAAATATAAATCACTTTCTCTTAATGCTATATTGATTTAAATAATATTTATTCACAATACTGAATATATTGGGCAACAGGCATAATGCCTATAAATACCTTCTCTATACAAGGATCAAGGTTACAAATACAATGACCTGAGTGAATATATATATTAAAATACGGGTAAACACACACACACTCAGACACACACACAGACATGCACTGATCCAGATGCTATATTATTCTATGTTGAATAAAACTAAGAATGATTGAAAAGATATAAATTTATAATTGTGTCAGGTTTTAAGCATTCATATTGTAGAATACCAAAAGTTGAGCATACTTGTGATTGTTTATTACAGAGCTGTGGTTATGAAGTTGTTAGAGAGGTGGACTTCCCTTCGAGGTCGAACAATACAGGACTGTGTCAGAGTGTATTTAGCAGTCGTGAGGAAATGGCCATACTGTGGGGCAAAGCTGTACATGGCCAAGGTAACCAGTGGACATTTAACAAAAGTGCTATCTGTTTAAATGGTAAATTGTATGGAATCTGGATAGGGCCACTTTTACACCATGGCACATCAACTATGGCACAAAGTGCCTTGATGTCTAATGACAATAGTGCTATGATACAGTAATGATATGAGATGGAGTGATAGCAAACATCACATCATCATCGCACCAGCACATCATTGCCATGGTATCTTTGCATTGTCCCACTATCGCTCCATTGCATTATGCCATTGCTCCATCATCACGATCACACCATCAACTCAACCTTGATGGTGCAATAGTGAACTAAGTGTCCCTATAGAATTGAGATTCCTGTTTATTCACTTCTTATCTACTAGTTAAGTAGATGTTTCATACTGTGGGCATCAACATCCATAATTGTTATTTGTATAAATGATTAAACCTAGGGCTTAAGGCTAAGTAAAATTGAAATTCGGCTCTTGAGCACGGGCATGTCCGTTTTTAGGTAGCTGCATTGCAATTTTTTCATATTTTCAGTAAAATCAAAAATTATTTATGTGGATGCCAATCTTGGAGAAAAAAAAATCCATTCACATTTTTTCATTGTTTTGCACTCAATTTTTGTTTCTGTTAGCCATTTTGTATACCTGTGGACAGTCACTCAGCAGACATCAATATGGACACTTTATCTGCTAAAAATGAATAAGCATATATTTGATAATTTTGTGAGATGTTGAATATATGTACAGAATGACTCCGGTATAATTATGAAGGAAGAATTTTCATTGTTGATTAAAATATGCTTCCAGCATATAATTTATTGCCGATAAAAGGGGGGAGCCTCCCGTCCTCAGCTGTTTTTAAGAAAATTGGCCCGAGAACAATAATTTCAATTTTACTTAGCCTAAGTTGATGTATATTTTAGTATTTGATTACAAATACTTGACAGATAAAGGGATCCACAACTCCAGATGATGTGTGGGTAGCTGTACAAGAGGATGGAATCTCAGTCCTGGAGCATGCCACCATGGTTAGTAAATACCAGAGATAAAGAATTCAATTAAAATTGATAATCATACATGTAGTACGTATGTAATATCAAGAAGGATTTACTATTTTTATTTATTTCTGTCTCTGTTGTAGCAACCGCTGAACACCTATGATTACCGTTCTGTGATCACGTTTGGAGGTTGGAAGGAAGATTTTATGTTAGTGGTCAGTCAGCTGTTTGAGTCAGCTCCACATCATTATGAACACAGAACAGAGAAACTCCTTTTTGCCATGCCAAAGTTTAAGGTATGAGTTCCTTGATTTAAAGGTATAAAATTAATTTTTAAAATTCAAGTTTTCTTTGGAAAAATTATATGATTTGTAATCACATTGCCTTTGTCATGTTTGTCTTCATGATCTGCAGTTCTTTTTATTCTTAGATACTGGATTTGACCCTTCTAATTGCAAGTTACATCAATGCTCGGGTTCAAAGACCATCTCCAGATACAAGTCCAGACATCTGAGTTTAAAGTTGAAGTTCAAGGTCTTTAATATACATACAAGGCTATTTTCAGACTTTTCTTCATTTTAAAATTTTTGGAACAATTTTAGAGTGCAATATTATATGTTCACGTTTAAGTGTTCAGCACAATGGCTTGTTTTCTGTAATACTCAGGTATATACAACCACGGTAATGTTCATGCAAGTGTTATGTTAAATTCATTACTTGAATTGTTGTAAATAATGCAAATATGAAAAAATGCATTTTCTTTGACGAATATTGTAAAACATGCACTAAAGGTGCCACAGGTATTTAGAAGAAACTTAAAGAAAAAAAAAACAAACAATTTTTTACATCATTTTGGTTTTTGCATGATATTAACTACAGTGTTATTTGTCACTAGACAGTTAAAAATTAGAGAAATAGATGCATTCCTCAGTGATACATATAATTTGTGTCTTTTTTTTACTACAGACATTTTATTCCTAGTGCAATTTGATTTATAGTACTCATGCATTTTTATGCAATGTTTAAGATTTGCTACACTGTTAGAGATTTGATAACACTGCAGTCAGCAATACACCTCAAGAGATTTCTAAAATAATCTAGTCTGTTTTCTTCTGTTATTGTTGTGTGTTCTGAACTTGTTACTGTTTTATGAGAGCTATATCCATCAGGGTCTGATAATAGGGCAACTTGTTCTTTAATTGTTACTGGAATACTCCCTGTTGCTATCTCTTGTCAGTTCAGTGTTGTGCTACTATTTGGTACCACATCAGACAAAAAAAAACTTGAAAACAGTATTGATCTTTGATTTTTTCATTGTTACATAACACAGATAAATATGATCTAGATATAACCATGAGAACTCTTTAATATGAAGTTGTTTAATATCAAGTTAAGATTTAATACACCATTATTTGCCATGTGGAAGAGATGTATTGTTAATGATATGTCATTTTTACTTCTCTGTCTCAATGTTTGAAGTATGGTACATCCATATAAGAAGATACTAAGATGCTATGAAATGAATTTCATTTATAAAGGAGCTTGTAGAAAAGTGTTCCATGTATACAAGTACATGTATGTCCATTTAATGAAAGCTAAAACTGACCAATTTTCAAATAATTGTTGATATTTTAAAAATAAAAATGCAGTTAAAAAAAACAGAAATAAAAAATTGTTTTAATTGATTCAGTATGAAAAACAAATAGTCATACACTACTATAATAATTTAGTAAAGTTTCCAGAGACTGATATGTTGATCCTTAGAACCACATGCTAGCATATTGTCCTTGGAAAAAGCCAGACATTGAACACTGTCCTTGTGGTAGGACAATACAGCTAAAGGCTTCAGTTTCTTCACGCCAAAGATTCGTACCTGATGATCCCACCCTGCTGTGGCTAATATTTTTTGGTCATTACGAATTCTTACATCATTAAATCCTGGGTTTTTCACTTCATAATTGGTTCCCCTATTAATCTGGTTTTCAGTAATGTTCCAAGTTGATAACAAATTACTTGGAGATCCACAGATTCCAAGATTAGCACCAGAGCTGTAATCAAGACACATCACACATTCTTCAAAGAATTTAGCCTTGTCCAAGATTCGAGAATGTTTGCAATCCCAAAATCCAATGGTACCATCTTCATATCCAATAAAAAATTGAGATGTATCAGAAATTGACTTAATACTCATAGTCATTCCAAGTTTAGAACCAGAATCAAGGAAACATCCAACTTTCTTCCAAGTTTTAATATCATATATATCAACTGCTGATGTTTCCTCACTGGGAAGAGCCAGTAAATTGTCTTGTTTCAGCAGTGCACCAGGACAAAATCCCATTACAGATGTATGAATGTTATCTAGAAATAAATTGATAACATTTGCTATAATAAAGTACCTAGCACATTTATATACAATTAAATCATAAAATTGATACAAATCAGTTGACTAAAGAGCCAGTATATATCTTATTATCTGAAATAACCTTTTACATGTACATGTAGTTTACAACAGTGAAATAACATAGCTGCATTGTCTATCTACTGTAATAGAGTGAATCTTGAAATTAAAAAGTTATTAATCATTTTACTTGTAAGTGTCCAACTTGATTCTGCAGCTTTCCATATACTAGCAATGCCATTTTTTCCAAACGTCACCATCTCATCACTGCTGATGAACTCAATCCACAGAACTGACTGTCCAGTGTGGGCCTCCAGTGTTCCAACTGGTCTGTGGATTTTCATGTCCCAGATGTGGATAGTTCCATCCTGAGACCCGGAGTAAAGCTTCTGATCTGTCTGGTCTGTAAACTTCAGACATGTAATGGGACTGCCACTCCCCCGCAATGTGAAGGCTGGATCTGGGGGACCTGGGGCTAAAGTCATTCTGATTCCCTCTGAAATGTAGTGCATAGTATCTACAGTTCTATGGATCAATTATAATGCAATTGTAATTTCTAATGTAGAGTATGACTGTATGAGCTGATAAGCCCATTTTCTAAACTGAAAACCCATAGAGGAAATTATTGACTTGTACAATATTCAGATTTCATTAAATAGCAATGAAACAAGAAAAAATCCCAGTAATTTGTCTACATCTGTAAGTTCACCTTCTGGAAAGAAGTCGTGAAAAGCAGACATTCTCAGTTGGACATTAAGAGTATATTCTCCTGTTAATAACATATCCATGAAAAGTCCAAATTCAGTAATTTTGCTGAATTCTTCAATGGTTGCCAAATTTGGAAACTCTTCAGTGGTCAAATTTAACAATCAGTAACAGGAGAGGAGAAAATGCGACAGACCAGACTGGAATTTGAACCCAGGCCCCCTGAATCTCCAGTCAGGTGCTCTACCAAGACATCAGGCCACTGGCATATTGAACCCACCTGACTGCCACATTTCTCCCTCCTTAAAGGTCTTCTGCCCCCGAAAACATCAAACCAGACTCTTCCCTGGCAGGTCTTTCATTTCTCACTTCCAGGGCATGGCACAGCATCAAATGTAACGGGAAAGGAAAAAAAATGCGACTGAAATTTGAACCCTGGCCCCCTGAATCTCCAGTCAGTGCTGTACCAATTGAGAGCTATCTGACCACAGGCAATCGAACCTGTCTGACCACCACAAACCTAACTTTGCAAATAAATAGTCATTATTCTAAGACTTAAATCCCCCCCCCCCCCTCAGTTTGACAAAAGCAGTCCATCCTTTAATAATTTTCCATTCTGAAAATTTTTATCTGTCAGATGTATCATCCATGGCAAAATCTGTGCTTTTTTGGGAATTATGAGTTTTCTTATCTATACAAGTTGTCAGATATAAATGTTGGAAACCACATTTTCTCTTTCAAAAATTCATTCAACACAACTATTTCAAAAATTTTTTATTGTTATTTTCATCAAGGCATCACAGATAATTTAAATGGTCCAGAATTACTTAGATTTTAAGAAATGCAATCCTAAAACACACTGAAGAGGTCCATGATTGTTTAAGCTTTCACAGAAACAATCCCATAACACCTTGGTGAGGTCACAGGGTCAAAGAGCTGTAGCAATTTGGCATCTTTAACAGATTCCTGGAAACAAAAATTGTGCATATTCACTAACACATCATGATCAAAGGCATTTTGGTATTCTTTTATTTTTGTTATTTTTAAAACTACAATGAAATCTTTATGAATGCAATATATGATGCAAGAAGCAAAGCTGCAGAAAGGGAGATAAATCTGTTCCTGCATCCAAACAAAATGATAATCAAATTCAGAGGTATACCTGCTCAAGAAGAAAACAAAGCCTGTCCAACAAAATGACAGCTTCTATGCAGGGAGCCAGGACAGTTTTCAGCTGAAAGAATGCAGCAAACTTCCTCTTCTGGTCTTTGTACTTCTCACAATAGTAATCGATAAGCTCCTCAGTGATCTACCAATTCAAATTTGTTTATACAGTAAAACACGCTTAAAATGAAGTGCCAGGGACAGGCAATTTTGCATCATTATAAATGTGATTCATTGTATCCGTTAGCTTCACAATACTTTTAAAACCCACGGGGAATGAAAATCACTTCACTATAAGTGTTAATTCATTATAAGCGTGTTTGTTATAAGCATCTTTTACTGTATTTTACACCGGATCAGCTTATGTTTGAAAGAACATCATCTTGTACATGTACATGTATTTACATGCCATTCAGATCAAATATCCAGGACTTAAGATTTTAGTCTGCTTGTTTTTCTGTCTGTCTGTCGGAGTGTCCACAGCTTTATCAACCTTCACAATAACTTTCAAATTACACAACATAGAAAACTATTTGTTTGAGATGAAGGTGAAAGTTCTATGTTTGGGTCATGACCAGATAATTGTCAAATGTCAAGGTAAAGCAGGACTTGTTATATTTTACCATCATGGTCATAGTGTTTTACCAACACAACTTATTCAAGCTAAAAACTTACTCCTTCTGTAGGCACCCCAAGCTTAATAAATGCTTTTGTAACATATTCATACATCCCCTTGCACTTCTGGTCTAACTTTCGAAGCCCTTTCCAATCACTTCTCACATATCCCAGCTGATCCCTAAGTATAACTTGCAGAAGCATTCTGGGAAACTGTTTAGCAAGCACCTGCACAAATAAAATGTAAAAAAAAAGATGAAGTATAAAATACACTAGATTTGAAATGCAGTCCACAAGGCTGGGTTATCAGTGGTATACCTCCTCATCTTGAGCTCGTCGGTTGATTGACTGAGATGCCAGGTTTCTGGCTTGCCTTCCTATACCAACTTTGTTTCTCCTTAAAAAATCACTGAGAGGAAAACCAGGAGCTTCAATCATGTCTTCTACAAAAGGATGTTAAAAATTATTGGTTCTGTATCTAACAATATCAAACTTTTAACTGGTAAGGTTATATGGTTGAATACCTGTATTTTTAGTTTTTTACCAAACTATCATATACATAAACGTTTGCACTCATAATGGTACAAAAAGCTACATGTACCTTTTTCTTTAAATGGACTGGCAACAAATTCCTCACTCATGAGGTGATAACAGCAAGCTACATTACATAGTACTTTGGCATCTTCTGACTTAACAAACAGTCTTAAAATATTGGAACCCAGACCACCACAAGTATGGAGTCCTGTGAGCATGAGACTGTTTTTCTCACTCCATTTCTGATCATCTGAGCAGTCTGTATCACTGCAGACTTCTATCATATCAGATATGCTCTGTTTTGCTGATGAAATTCCACAGAAATCTTTGGAGGAAGTTCCCTTGCCTTCCGTGTGAGCTGAATACTGTGTCAAAGTTTTGCCCACTATGTCACTGAGGTTGGAGTCTGTGTGTATATACATGGTAACAGGAAAGTGGTTGGCTTTCAATGTTGAAGATTTTGTGTTTTTCTTTTTAACAGGAATGTTACTACTATTGGAAATATCATCACAATCTACAAATTCTATATCAGTTTTGATTTTTATGTGAGATTTGCTTCTTTTTCCTTTCCCCACATCTTCATTAGAGTTTTCTGTGATGTTTATACTATTTTGAAATTTCTCTGTCAGGTCAGAGGAATCACCAGTCAAAATAGCTTTGCCATCTCCACACATATTACCATCACAGATTTTCCCAGAATTTTCAAATAAATGGGAAAAGTCTGTGAGGAGTTCATCAGATATCCCACAATGCAAATCATCAGATTTTTTGAAGTCCTTTTGTTGCTGTATATCTTTTTCTACATCTAACTTCTTCATTAGCTTTTTCTTCTTTTTACCCAACTTTCCTGGCTCAACTTTATCAGCTCGTAAAACTTCATTTCGAGTTATTCCTTCCCACTGTCGGGATAATATGTCTGCCCTCTTTGTGGCCCCTTTTGTGTTGATGTTTTGGGCATCTACTCCAATCACACACAGTTTGTGCTGGAATGCCAAGTGTGTACTGAGGTATCCTTTACCACTCCCTAGATCCATCACCTTGAAATACAAATTCATAACCTCATCAAAAATTATTTTTTGGAATTTTTCCTATTTTCCAATTTGATTTTTCTTATGTTAAGGCATCTTTGCTAGCCGAGTGTCCAATTCCTATCCCCTCATAAAGGGATATGAATAGGACACTTGGCTAGCAAAGATGATGTTAAGTTTTAATTTTAAACTCTAAACATCTCAAAGTTTTTCTATAAGATAAATTTTCCTAGTTATGTGCATCATACTTTAAATTGTAGATACTGGCAATACCATATTTATATATTAAAGATTTCAAACATATCCAGAAAGTTTACCTACCACTTTAGTGTCATATTCCTGAGTCAGCTTAAAACACAGATCTCCCATTACCTCTACTTCATGAGTTTTTTTCTGGTTCATAAATGTGGAAATAAACACAGAGTTTTGATTCATATCATTTACATCTTCAAATAGGTTTTTAATCTGTGAAAGAATGCCCAACTTTTGAAGACTGTGCTTTTGTGCATCATGTAAAAAAGAATACAAGTTTCCATGAACCCAGTTGGGAGGGAATTTCTGCATCTCAGATGAATAAATCTCACTAATTTCACTTCCAATCCTTGCTTTCTCCAGATATTCACATTTGAATTTCCATAAGCCTGGATCAGATCCATCAGCACTATATGTCTCCTGTTGGTTTGATTTCTCATTATTTAATGTATGGCTCACAAATGATACCAGTTCACTTGTACTGAAGGATTCAAGTTCTTTTCTGATGCTTTCACTCAGAAATGTGTCCCAATGATTGTTCAGAATAAAGTCGTTAGAATGACAGTTTACAAGTGGCAGATAATTTGATAGGAAATCCAAAATTTCAATTAATTTTAATTGTACTAATTGTAGTCTATCTGATTTTTCATCCATTTTTTTCCTGTAGTTGCTGGAAGTTTATTACAATCTGCCCAAAAATTGTGATGGTCTATAAGGGGGGGAAAATGACATGAATTGTAGCAAATTTATTAAAATATAGATGCTATTTCTATTTTTTTTTTTTTACTTCTTAAACACTTAGAATTATTACATTTTTTGCTTCTTTTGGTGCTGTCCTAACCTGTTTTAAAATAATACATGTACTGATTTGTTTCATTGAATAATTCTCCCTCTATAATTAAGAAACCTCGTCATCATTCCCCAAAGCATCAACTTTAACCTATATATACTTATATAGAGCATTGTAACCTCAGACATCAACACTCTCCCACTCCTCCTTTTTGTATGACAATGACTGTAAAATACTCTTCAGAGTAAACTGAAAACTATATATTATCATATAATATTATTACAAAAAAGTCTAACCATATAGGAAATGTATCTCAGCTTTGAAATAACATGTTTTTCATCCCTGTCATGCAGATCAAACATTTAACATGGGCGCAGCCATATTGTCTAAGAACACCGAGCCCGATCCTAATGAGTTTTTTATTGTGCCTTTATACAATATTTTAGCATATTCATGCATATTTATAACTCAAGCTATTTAAATCGTCGCTAATAGTGATATTTATGGATTCAAAGTAAGAAAAAGACACTAATTTCCACCAAAGATAGTTAAATATAATAATAATTAACATTTATACAAAAAATATGCTTCTATGAGGTAAGGAGTTTAATAATTAAAAGATTGTTCAAAACTTTATGATGTTACGTGAGCGTAGAGATACCTTAATAGTTTTACTTTACCACATGAGTACAGAGAACTTGCAATTAAGTTTTATATACATGTAGATATTGGTATTTAATTTACATACGAAGTCTTATCTGAAGAACATTCAACATTAAGCATGTTAAATTCATAGAAAAATCATAACCTCTTACTCGTTTTCAACTCTAAGATTTCACAACTGACCCTTTTCATATTAACTTTTTAAATTAGGAATATTGGCGTAGCAAATAATTACTGACCTTAGACTTTAGTCCCCCTTTGGGCCTCGCCCCCCCCCCCACCCACACCCACACACACACACACATCCGCCAATGTCCTATACATGTACATGTTTATCGTCACGGTGCATTCTCCTATTGAAAAACATAAGTCGGTAACTTTTTATTCTTTATTTTGGCCCAATTCTAAATTTAAAAAAAAAAATCACAGACCAGCACCACCACCAACAACAAAAAAAAATACTTGGCCACTTTTTTAAACAAATAGCAGGTGGAATCTCTATACAAATTTGAAACATAATAGTACCGTTACTGAATCAGAAAAACTGGATAGGTGGGATGCGAACACCCCCCCCCCCCCCCCCCGTATATATTCCTGACAATCTTAATTTCCATGCAACTGAGATTTTTGACAATTGTTCGTTTATAGTATTAGTACATATAGATTTCGCTATTTATCATGATCTCCGCCAACATGACCAACGTTATAATTCAGATTTTGTCTTTCCCGATCTGGTAGATGATAGATTATCCAACTTGAAGAAGACGAAGACGTGTTCAAATCAAATATACTGGGATTTTGATGTGTATCCGAGGATTGTTAATGCTAAAACAATCTACAGGTCACTCATCATACTGTAATTATGAGAGTTTTAATTTTAAAGTCATATTTGTTGCAATATCAGTTACAAGATTAATTCTATGGGAAAGTCTAATTTACGTTCAGCTGATTAAAAGTTCGGTTAGTGACCATAATTTGAATTTAAAAACGCTTAATCCCCGCATGAACATATAAGCAATTACAATAGAAAGTCGCATATCTCCAATAATTAGCATATCGATAACTCTGATATACACCAGGTAATGCTCTCACATTCAGTGCTGTTCGGAAAATCGTGTAGTAGAAATTGTTTTGATAAAAGCGCGAATGTTTTAGGAATATATATAGAACATGAGCCAGAAACAGCTGCGTGCTGTTGTCAGACTCCGAATTCACCTCAGCATTCTGGTGATGGTTCGGTTGTGTGTGTTAGTACAATGTTGTACATAATGGCAGCAAGAGAGAGTTGTACAGCAAAAAGCTGAAGGATGGATCCACCGAAGATTGTTATCACAAAGGAAAAACTCCATGGAGGGTCCCTCATTCGTAAAACTTCTATTCGAGTGAGTATTTAATCATACAGATAATACACGTAGCTGCAAATTCCGAATAATTCTTTTGTCTGTTTAATTTATAAATATATCTGCTTTTCGTATATGCATATACGTTGTATTAATAAACACACTGTAAGTGTTAATTAAATGTGGCAATATACACGTATGTCGAGTTCCAAGAGATCTGTATTGGGAAGGGGGAGGGGGGGGGGGGGGCAAATAATCTGTTACATCTTTCTAAAATAAATCCACGTATTACTCAGTGTTTAATATGCTTTTGGAGAAATGCAGGTCTTAAAAGAATTCCCATGAATCCATGATATAGTTCTTACAGAGAATTCCCATGAGTCCATAATATGTTCTTATGGAGAATTCCCATGAGTCCATGGAACCGTTCCTGCAGAGAATTCCCATGAATCCAAGATATTGTTCTTACAGAGAATTTCTGTGAATCCATGATATTGTTCTTACAGAGAATTCCCATGAATCCAAGACATTGTTCTTTCAGAGAAGGGTGTCGCTGAAAGAAGACAGACGACAAGAAAAATACGGGAACTTGACGGGAGAATACACTCGGATTAAAAACACCATGCTTCTAGACCGTGGGGTCCAAAACACACTGGAATCATTGCAGGAGCGATGGAGAATGATCATGTTCATGTACGATGACTGTGTGGAGATGTTCAAGACCAGACGACAAAAGCAATTCTGCAGACGACAACTGATACAAAGACGAGAACTGATAGCATGTGTCATCATATATTCTGCTTTGGTTTTACCAGTGTTAATTGCAATATTCCTGACGTATGTCATAGCGTTATGATTTAGTTTAAAGTAATTATAAAATCAAATATTTTACACACAGATCATGTAACCGTAACTTAACAGGTAATGCTTATCAATCATATTTTGAGATAAATGTGGATGCTGGAGATACCAATAGGCGGACGAGTGGCTGGGTTCCCTAAATTTATTCAATTTCACTGCCAAATTTCGGAAAGATTTGTCCAATGGATAAAAAATGCAATAAATTTTCCGAGAACAGTATGTTTTGGTCCTTGTGGGACAAAAAGAGAAAATATTTGCAAGAGGATCAAGGTGTGTTATAAATTGAAAGTTATCCAGTATACATCAAATATTCATGAAATATTTGGAATAAATTTTAAAAATGAATTAATGTGAATTCAGTTTGCAAGAAAAAGACCTAAATGATAGTACTATTATATAGCTAATAAATATACAAATCTAAAAGTCTGGAGAATTTTAGCGTTCAATATCTTGGCGTTTTTGAACGCTGAGTTTGCATTACGTATTCACATTCCGAATGTGAGCAGTAAATATCGAACACCCGTTATATTGTTGTAATATAGTCTATAATAAAAATCTAAAAGTCTAGAGAATTTTAGCGTTCAATATCTTGGCGTTTTTGAACGCTGAGTTTGCATTACGTATTCACATTCCGAATGTGAGCAGTAAATATCGAACACCCGAAGCAAATCATAACGCTTGGTGGGTCATTGGAATGATGCAATATTGAACACTTGCAGGACAGACGCCAATATCGTATAGTTTTAATTTAAATATCTATACTGAAAGATTCTCATTAATTTTGAATTATTGAATTGAAATAATTAATATGAACCAATGGGATATGTTTTAGCCATATAATAAACGACTTATTGAACTTACATTAGTAAATACTGGCACTCGTTGGCTGTAAAAATGCACTCGCAAGCTCGTGCATTTGTACAGCCAACTCGTGCCAATATTCATCAATATAGATCGATAACCCTATATTATATTTACTGGATTGAGTTAAATAACACGACAACCTTTACCCTGTATTACATGATGGTCTGCAATTATTATTAAAATTTGCAATGACCCCCTCTCCACCCACTCCAACAATATATATTAAAGAATCTTTTGTTCCATTTAAGTAAAACCAAATTAGTTAAGATATTCGAAAGCATAATCATAGCAAACACACGCTTCTTACTGTCATGTTCTAAATTTTGAATTTACCGGGAGTAAATACAAAATTTAGAACATGACAACTTTTCATGTTCTAAATTTTGTATTTACTCCCACCCGGTAAATTCAAAATTTAGAACATGACATTACTATTACAAACAGGCATTAATACAAAACTAGTCCCTTATCGACAGATGAAATGTGGTTACCCTTAAGAACACTTTATACACACTGCACACAAAAGAGTTCTTTTAAATATACATGTAAATTGAAATCTACAATCTAATTAGTCAATTAGCATGCCCAACATTTTAATCAATTGCATGTATTTTTCCCACATAAGTTGAAAAAAGCACGTTTTCCTTTCTATTAATACTTCGTTGTCTTTGAATTTTTTTTGTGGGCCAAATGCTAGATACCCTGTCTTGAAAATGAAATAGATGAGCTCAATATTAACACCTTTATGCAAAATAATTGTTCTGAATGTCCCAAAAACATTTTGCTGACTGTTCAATAAAGGCATTTTTATCACTAACACTAAGGGATTCTTTTCATATTTTCTTTTTTTTTTTTCATAGTGTAGCACATTTAAAATAACAATTAAGTTCTTAACAAACGGGAAGCAAGAGAAATCAAAATTTATTTCGCTGACTTGGAGTACTTCCTTGTGAATGATTTCGTGAAACTTCCGCAGTTGATTGTAAGCATATTCATCACATGCATATTTTCGGATATACGGAATTATCAGTATACTTTGCTAAACAGACATATCAAAAGTAGATGTATAAAATTCTCCATCTCTAAACAAAATGGATATGCATCAACAGCAAAGAAATCGCCACGGAGAACGTTATGACGGAGATATAGGATCGGTGCTTATGTTCTCGGCAATCCTTGGGGTTCTCTGGGTGGCCATTTTTACCTACGAGGAGAGAGGCATGAGTGATGTCACCGCAAATCTTGTGGTGACCATCATCTGTATATTGACTTGTTTCTTAGGTCTGCTTGTCACTGGATACCTTATTGTGTCGGTGTTCTACCATCAGAGAGATTGGATAAGGTGCAAGGACTCGCGTATTCCGACAGTGACAAAAGTAAACATGGGTTTTCTTTGGTTCTTTGGTATCGTCAAGTGTACCTTCACTTTAATTTACATTATATTCTACTTACACTGTAAATATGCAGTACGAGGTGAGCTTTTGTACTCCCTCTTGGTTCATGGCTCCGTGAATATTGCATTTGTTCTTGTGCAAGTAATTTTTATGACATGCACAAGTCGGTATACATTCATATGTTCCGCCAAAATGAAATACCTTATGTCACTCATTGCGATAGGAAACTTAGTAGAGTGGATAAGGTCTATACTGTTCCGAATTTCAGAAAACAGAGATTTGTTGTTAAGCCCTGATGATAACGGGACTTACCAGGTTAACTGTTCGTATGTACAGAGCGAGACAATTAAAAAGTTCGCCAAAATCACCATGCCTTTCCGGCTGCCTGTGACCCTAGAGTTTGCCGTTCTGGCAACATCCTTCGTTTTTGGATTGACCGAAAGAAAAACTATTCCAGGTTTAATTAAAAAGCATTGTGATCTTTATCTGTCTGGTAACTGTAGCCAATCGACGAGTATTTTACAAAAATCGCTGCCAATCTTTTCCTTCCCGAAAATGAAGATCTTTCTATTTTTGGTTGCTGCAGCTGTCTGGAATATCTCAACGCTTGTTATTCTCCCATGGACTACAATTGCACCCAGTCCTATCCTGCAAATTATTACCATAGGTTTTCTCTGTTCCCTAAAAGTATTCGTTCTGATCTTAATTTTAGCAATAAATCACAACTTTTTCCGTAAACTTAACTTTGTCCTTCACAACAAAGATGTAAACTTCAATGAGATGGCATTAATAGTGAGTTCTATGGCAGTGATTGCTTTCAGTGTGGCTTCTATTCTTTTAGAGGAGCGCGGACCATATTTCATCGTCTATAGAGTCTCCAATAGTGTAGGGGTCCTCTATCAAACGATTTTCATCATCGTGGGTCACAGGTTTGAGGACCTAGGAAATGACCTTGATATTTCACAAAGCACCAAGCTTCTCATACTTCTTCTATCTAGCATTAACATGTCCACGTGGATGGTGAACTCCATGGTGGGGCTTCAGGATATTGGCATGGCAAAGGACCACTTCTACGGAATAATTCAGCTTATTTTGTATCCATTTTTAACTTACTACAGATTTCAGTCTTTCACAGAACTTTTATCACTTTACGAGCAAATAAAATATTGAAGACAAAATATATTAATCGTGATACAATACATTTAGAGTGCATGTTCGCTTCGTGGGCCAGAGTCCCGGCGAGATCAGTCATATAAGACTCCAGGTATTGAATGTTCACACCGTTTGATACTCAGTATGGAAGTCATACAGAGATCTTGAAAGACGAAGCCCCGTTACATGGTAGGTGCTGACAGGTTAAAAAGACCTCCTTCTATTGGTTTAGGCCCAAAGCCTAAATTTTTTTTCGCTATGAGGATCCTCTTTATACTGCTCTAAAATTCTTTGGATATTTTTATGCAGATAAAGTAAACTGCCCTTATGGGAAAATAATGCTAGAAAATATTTCGTATTGTATTTAACTACTCAGTTTGTAGTTTAATTGAGTAACAGTGATCATCAATACTTTGTTGTCTTTGAACATTATTTTTGGAAAGGGGGTGGGGTGAATGACTGATATATATATACTTTGTAGAAATTGAAATAGATAAACTGAATATACAATATAATCTTAATTAATAACCAAAAAACTTTTTTTCACAGTGTATAGAGGGTCATATACATGTAATCAAAAACAATGTAATATTGAAGTATAAGTAGATATAATCATGCACTGACTACTAACATGTACTTATTATATCAAAGAACTGTAACTAAAATTGAAGAGAATGTGAACAACAAAATGGGCGTATTATCATAAGTACTGTTTTATATACGTTTAATCTACTAGAGGTGTGATATAAATCCGTATCAGCCCCGAAAGCTGATACGGCTACTGTGACATCAGGCATATTACTATAAGTATACGTGATAAATAATAATACATGTACATACTATTTCCATATCACATCCTGGGACCTTCGGCTTTATGGCTGATATTGATGTCTCGGGCTGATATATAATGTGATATGGAAAATGGATATATGAATTATTCTACATGTAAATTTTATGTAAATTATGTTAAAATATATAACTGTACAGCAAATTATATTAATATAAATTTTGTTTACATTTACCCAAGTGCTGTCAATTCAATTAATATTTATGTGACCTCAACAATATCAATGAGATTGCTGACAAGATGGGTTCAATCAAGTTATTCAGTCTAATTAATGTCAAATATTGTTCATTGTATACTGTATATCCTCTGTTGCTTTATTAAGTTTGTTCATCAGGCGATCCCTTTTATTATGGAGATATCGTAGGCGATAAGCCTTTGCCTTGTACCCTAGGTAGAACCCCAAGGCAAACGTCAGACCCGCCAAAACCAGGGCTGTAGTACCAGATACTTCACGTAGTCTGGCCATATTTTAAGAACAGTCAGCTCCTGTGATCTACAACTGCAACATGAGACTTGTTAGTCAAAGGTGTTTTCATTATCAAATGTTGGTCAATGATAAACAAACGAAAATTAAAGTAGACAATATGAACTAAAGATTATACTGAATTTACAAATGGGCGTGCTTGATTTAGCTTAACTTGGTGTACACCAGTGTACACCGGTGTGAAAGGTGGTGGTGTATAATCAAGTGCTAAATTATTTTGGTTTAAAGTAAAAAAAAAAAATAAAATACATGAAGAAATGACTAAATTATTTAAAATGGTTAAAAAATAATTTCAGTGTCATCACTTACACACAAAAGACAACTTGAATGTGATTTCTTATCCTTTATATTACATAAAATCATTGCTTTAAATTTTCAGTCGTACCCTTCTCCGCCATATTGGAACAGTGTACACCTTTCAACACATGCCCTAAATTTGGTGTAAGAAAGTGTACACCGAGTGTACACCAAAAGTCTACACCCCTACACTTGATCAAGAACGGTGTACACGGTGTAAAAGGTGTAAGTAATCAAGTTCGCCCAATATTACATTAGACTTAGATTGCACAGGGTTGTCACACCATTCAATGTCGGCGAATGAGATGAAATTTAGCAAGTGTGTTAATACCTCTACATGTTCAATATATACTAGTACATAAAGCACACCTCTTACTAATCCGAGATTCCTCTGACCCGACTCTAACCCCTGCTTTTATATTGCACATGTCACAATATAAAAGCAGGGGTTGGAGCCAGAGGAATCTCGGATTAACCTCTTACTTTCACTTTGTACTTGACATCTCATAGCCACGTAAACGGTGTTTCTCTTATTATATTATATCAAAAGAATAAATTAATTGAGTTCATACTCACCGCTATAGCGGAAACACTATGTGTATTTCCTTTGCAAAATATAGGAAGAATATTACAGAAGTCCCCCGGTTTATTCACTTCTGGTTACAACAGTAAACTATGAACTGTTGTAAAAAAAAAAATGCTACCAGATTTAGGGCGAATTAAGAACATGTGATATCTTGTTTAAAAAGATTTAAAGTATTGGAGAATTAATCTCAAAAATTTTTAAGAGGGGGGAAAAAAATGACGCCTCCCCGGCGGGGAATCGAACCCCGGTCTCCCGCGTGACAGGCGGGGATACTTACCACTATACTACCGAGGATTACATGGAATAACGTATACTTATCAAATTCTAATAAGATGAATTTGGTCTTTTATTATCACCAAACCGATGGCAAGGTTTTATTTTAAAAGATGGTAATGCAAAATAAGAATTAAAATACCCTGACTTTTATCGAAAAATATTTACTTTATTGACTTTTAAACACTTCCGGTATGGAAAAAAAAATCTCGCTAAGACAAACAAAAGCCGGATAAGGAATTAATACTGTTTTAGCTCACCTGAGCAAATTAAGTATCGTCACTCGCTTCGGGTTGATGTCATCACCGGAACGTATCACTTCTTAACACAGATAGTCACTAGTGAGCTTATACCCTGACATAGAAATGTCAGATTTGGACATTGAGTTTGGAAAGCATGGCCTGGAGGTAGAAGTTAAAGGGAAGGCCTTGTTTTGGATCGTCACGGCCACATTTCTAACAGGAGTTGCTATTGGTGTCTATGTAGGATATAAAGGGGGACATAAAATAGACAAATTCAAGAAACGTTGATTATAGAACTTTCAATAACCAAGTGCCTGTGAAAATGGTGTGATGTGTGTAAAGAACTGTTTATGCATGGAGATCGATGTGTTGAACATAAACTTAATTGATCATCCTCTATATAGTGATTTTTGGATTATTTATTCCTCAGGACATTCTTTAAAAATTGTGATTTAACAGTGTTTATTAAAGATGTCCAAAATTTTTTGAAATGATATTTTATAAACTAAATAACAACATGAACGGTCAAGAAAAATCAATGGAAGAAATTAATTTTAAAAGCTTTTCCGATACCTGCATGTTTATACTTGAATGTCAATTTAACTATTGATGTATATGTAAATGGTTTATTTCACTTGTTTAAGGATAATTGCATTCTTTTTTTTTTATTTAACAACATATATGCCCCCCATTTTATAAGGTTTCGGTTATATATTTGTCTCAACAAAATACAATTTTACCCTAAACATGCTAAATGACTGTCAGTAACTTGATTTTCTTACTTCCGTTGTAACACTCCCTCCTTAGAAGAAACACTTAATTGTCATTTTAAAACTGCTCGTCCCTATCAAGTATTATAGTTTCCTGTATGATATCGATATACACAAAAGTGATAGCTAGGTGAATTTGAAATCGACAAACGAACGAACCTTATTACAAACACAGGGTTATTCATAATGGGGACAAGGAAAGAAATGAAGCACTTAAAAAAAACAACACACACACACTGAGTAAATACAAACTTTACAATATCATGTAAATTTTGTATATACCTTCACCCAGTAAAGATGATGAAAGAATGATTAAAAGCTTAAGACATCACACAACATTTCACAAAAGGATCAGAGCACCTGAAAAAAGATATTATCTGGTTATGTTTGAAGCTGTGAATATTTTTTCGATAAATTGCACATTTTTAATTTATATCAGTAAGTTGTTTTAAAAACCATAGCACATTTCGAAATTTCTTGTCACAAGCAATGCACATATTTGTAACATGAAAAACCCGTCCTCTTCGGTTGAAAAACTATACGACCAAATTAATTTTTTTGGAAAAGTAGGTCAAACTTCAATGTCAAGGTAATGAAGTCAAAATTGATCTAGTACTCCTTGAAAAGTGTTGTCACAGTAATGTGCATTCAAAATATGAAAACCCTACTTTCCCTTCAAATTAATTCAATTAATTGTAATTATCAATGTTATTTATCTTCAAGGTCAAGATCACGAGGTAAAAATTCATAAGACATCTGGAAAGCTCTCGTCACAAATAGTGCACATGTGAAATTCCTATCTTCTCCCATTGAAAAGTTATGACTAGTGATACAAAAAAATATTGAAAAGTAGTTGAAACTTCAAGATCACAGTCATGGAGTGAAAAAAAGTATTTTTGGAAAGGTCATGTGAAGTATGAAAGCTCTATCTTCTCTCATTTAAACAATAAACAATCTAATTAAAATTAGATGTTCCGAATCCACTTCTCAAGAAGCGGAAGCGGATTCGGAACATCTAATTTAAATTAGATTGACGTTTGAGAAGCGGTAGCAGATTCGGAACATCTAATTTTAATTAGATTGAACAATAAATTGTTGTTAGTACGGGAATTAATGTCGCAGCTGTTGCAGAAAAAATACATAACCCGCATAAGCGGGTTATGTAATTTTTTTCCTGCAATAGCCGCGACGTTAATTCCCATATTAACAAACAAAGACATTTATATCTGTATAAAACAAGATGTGTTTGTGAAACACTGATGCCCCCGTATGGCAGCTTATGGCGAAAGTTAAAGTTTGATTCTCAAATGCAAGTCAAACTCCAGGTCAAGAGATAAAAAAGGTTGGTGCCCAAAGAAAGGTCTTGTCTCGAGGAATATACCTGTGAAATTTGAAAGCCATAGCGCCAACTGTTCAAAAGTTATGACCAAGGTTAATTTTTTTTTTAAAAGTAAGTAAAACGTCAGGGTCAATGTCAAATGGGGCCCCAAGGGAAGGTCTTGTCACAAGTGATACATATGTTCGTGAAATGTGAAACTCTAGAACCAAACGTTCACATGTCATGGCCAAGGTTAAAGTTTTTTAAAAGTAGGTCAAACTCCAAGGTCAAGGTCAATGCCAAAATTGTTGGTATCCAAAGTAAAGTTTTGTCCAAAAGAATGTACATGAAGTCCAAGGTCAATGTCAAAGGGTCAAAGTTGTTGGTATCTAAAGAAAGGTCTTGTCAAAAGAATTACATATGTGAAGTATGAAAGCCCTAGCACCAACCATTCAAAAGGTGAAAGTTTTTCAAAAGTAGGTCAAACTCCTAGGTCAAGGTCAAAGGGTCAAAGTGGTTGGTATACGAAGGAAGGTCTTGTCACAAGGAATAGACATTTTAATATGAAAGCCCTAGAACCAACCTTTCAAAAGTTATGGGCAAGGTTAAAGTTTTTCAAAAGTAGGTCAAACTCCAAGGTTAAGGTCAAGGTCAAAGTTGTTGGTATCCAAAGGAAGAGAGAATACGAGGATCCTTCGGAAAGTTCTAGGCGAGAATTTCCATTATGAAGCTTTTATTTCATGTCAGTAATTCCCTATCTATAAAAGTTACATATGTAGAAAAATAAGTTAATGATACAATTAGCAAAAAAAAAAAAAAAGAAAGAAAAAAAAATCTTCCAGCTACAACATGGATAGCTTTTAACATTTCAAGTACTAACAGATACACGGTACTCCTACATCGTGTAGTAAGGATAAATTTAAAGAAATTGCATAGATAAAGAAAATACAATGTATAATAATGAATAATAACAATTATTTTAAATAACTTTCACACTTTTTAATACATAAAAAGTATGTTTTTTTTTATTTCTAGCAACCAGTTCAATGAGACCTGTCTTCATGTGTTATTTCGTAACATCGCCTTTTCAGTCCTTTGATTTTACTTTTTTATGTCCCTGTTATCGAAGATTCGAGGGTATATAGTTTTTGCCCTGTCCGCCCGTCTGTCTGTCTGTTTGTCCCTTAAAACTTTAACATTGCCCATAACTTTTGATTGGCTGGAGCTATGGCTTTCATATTTCACATACATGTACATTCCTTGTGACAAGACCTTTCTTTGAGTACCATCATATTTGACCTTTGACCTTGGAGTGTGGCCAACTTTTGCAAAATTTTACCCAACTTAACCCTTGGCCATAACTTTTGAACAATTGGTGCTAGGGCTTTCATACTTTACATGTGTAATCCTTGTGACAAGACCTTCCTTTGGATACCAACAACTTTGACCTTTTGACCTTGACCTAGGAGTTTGACCTACTTTTGAAAAACTTTAATCTTGGCCATAACTTTTGAACGGTTGGTGCTAGGGCTTTCATACTTCACATATGTAATCCTTGTGCCAAGGCCTTCCTTTGGATACCAACAACTTCAACCCTTTGACCTTGGAGTTTGACCTACTTTTGAAAAACTTTAACTATAGCCATGACTTTTGAACAGTTGGTGCTAAGGCTATCATTATTCACATGTTTATTTCTTGTGACAAGACCTTGCTTTGAATACCAACAACTTTAGCCCTTTGACCTTGGAGTTTGATATACATTTGAAAAACTTTAACCTTGGCCATAACTTTTGAACGGTTGGTGCGAGGGCTTTCATATTTCGCATGTATATTCCTCGAGACAAGACCTTATTTTGGGTACCAATATATGTGATTTGCACTTGAGAAAGTTTAACCTTCGCTATAAGTTGCCATATGGGGGCATCAGTGTTTCACAAACACAATTATTTTCCCCTATTAACCCCACCCATTTTGTGGAGCGCATGGTGCATCGAACATGGGTGCATGCACAGTAACCCAAAGGTTGCTGGTTGAAACTCTGCAGTGGGTACTTGATATTATGTGTTGTGTCCCGGTTTAGATAACACACTTCATATGCATTACATATGTCTCAGTCCACCAAGCTGAAATCATAGGCACTCCCCATCTTACCATAAAATTAATGTTGATTTTATTGTATAGGAGGGTGGAACTATTAATAGACATCATTTAGTAATTTACGAAATTAGACGGGAGCGCCTATGTTTGTCTTGTCCGTCACACGTTGCGTTTAGCTCAGTGTCAAAGAAACTGCTCGTGATACTTTATCAAAATGCACATTGTGATGCATGTTGTGATACATGTTGTGATACATGTTGTGATACATGTTGTGATACATGTTGTGATACATGTTGATGATGTCAGAATTTTCTGACCTTGGCCTTACTAGTTCCTCATTTTCCTCTTAGCTCTGTTTTGAAAGTAACTGTTTAAGAGATATTTTTCATAGAATCTTCATCATAAAGAATGGGCTCCACTCCGCCCATTTTTATAACAAAGATTTCTCTTAAAATGATCTTACTATTACTTAAATTATGTGATAATTTTCTGACCCCTATTTTCTTAATGAACTTAGCCATTTTGTTTAGCTGAGTTTGAAAAAAAAAATGTATAAGATATTTTTATCAAACTTCACACACCCAAAGTTATACAAATTAGAGAGAGTTATTCAACAGAATCATTATTCTCTGACCGTGGTCTTCCCTATGGCTTTTATTTTTCCTGATATTTTATTGACTTATAAACAAAGATACCTATTGGGAGAACAATTCAATTGCATCTTCATTTTCAGATCATCATCCTTACAACCTTTGAACAGGGAATTCATGTCCTATGGACATTTCTAGGTATATTTTTTTTCTAGTATTGTATTCCTATTAAAAACCTTGATCCATAATTTTGGCCCCAGTCTACCAACCATGATTTGAGTATTTTTAGATCTTTACTTATTAAGAAAGCCCAGCAACTCTGAAGATTTTTAAAGATTTCACCAAATTTTCTCTATTTCATAATTATCTCCCCTTGAAAGAAGGTGTGATCCTTTATTAGAATAAATCTGAATAATCTTCACACAAGTATACTTTGTGGTAAGTTTGGGTTGAAAATGGTCACTGGTTCCAAGAAGTTGAAAATGAAAAAGTTACCGACGGATGGAATTGACAAACAAAAAAGACATGTGCCTATACTCTTGTAAAATCCCTCATGTTTACATCAATCGAGAGAGAGAGAGAGAGAGAGAGAGAGAGAGAGAGAGAGAGAGAGAGAGAGAGAGAGAAAGTAGTTACTATAAGTATGATTCTGCAAATGATAAAAGAATATTTGGAAGAAAACATACATTGATTTCCCACTTTCAGTCTTAAAGTAATAATTCAGAACAAAGTTGTATCTAACTTTTATCAGTCAATGATAAAACTTTTCACAGACTTACACACATGATGTTATTTAACTACTTACACAAGACAATCATCACACACTTCCATTTCAAGTGACAATAATAAAAGATGACAGATTCTATATATAAATATTCACTGAAACAAGATCACTTAACTGAAAAATATGAGTCAAGAAAACAAATCAGGGACTTGCATTCTTCATGCCTCTCATAAAGTCAAACACTCTGGTTAAACTTTGTTTTTTAAACATTCAAATATGTATATGGGTACTAGGTTTGGGAACTAAAAGGAATGTAAACAATCTCTCTAAACAAATCTATAGTACAAAAATAGCTCTTATTTTAAAACCCCTTTTACAATATCACTGGTAATTTTTACTATTATCAAAGAATATTAAGCTCCAAACAAAATTGCAAAAAATCCGTTGAATTTACTGTCAATAAAAATTCTCAATCCAAAGATGTCACTTTGAAGAACAAAATTGCAAAAACTTTAACCTGCAGAAATCACCAGTTAAATGTTACATACAATGAGAAATAAATAATATAAACAATGAACAACCAAACGGTAATGATTACACATCAAAATAAGAAGCAGTGGCTACCATACATATAATTACACAGAGATCAGTCCAGGACTCTTTATTCTGAAACGTATTAAACTTGGTAATACATATTGTTCAAGAAAACTTGCATTCAAATGACTGGAAATTTTCTTTCATTAACTTTATAGATTGTGAACAGTGTAAGAATTTTCATTCCCCCTATAACTTAAGACTAGTAACTTTTATCAGGGCTGACAATTATAGCAATTTTTATAATAATTGGAAAAATTGATCATCCTGGCTAGCAAATATTTCAACATGTTTCATACAGTGACTGAGAATTAAGATGGCTTATTTTATCATACAAAATGACAAAAATTAATCTTCTGTGATTGACATTCAACAAAACTGATACTAGTATATGAAACTTTCAAAAATTAAACTGTTAAATACACCATATGTACATGTTTTAAATGGGAACACTTTTGGTTCATCATAGAACACACACAAAAAACCCAAGACTTTACACATTTTCAAACTTGTGAATGAATGACACTTCTTTCAATTAGTTGCCTCGTCATAGATCAAAATGAAACACACAGTATTTTATTTCACATATTACACTCAAACCAAATAAAACAAAGCTTTCTGTAACCTTCTCTGAATCTTGAATTTAGAAAAAAAAATTAAAGCTAATTTGGAGAAAAAACAACATTAAAAATTGTATTTTCATTCAATAATTAAACATTCTTTTTCCAATTCCAAAATTTTATATCTAAAATAAATTATGACTATTTAAACCAATCCCAAAAATAAGAATTTTCTCTTGAATTACAGAAAAAGTGACTCCAGAAGTAAAATAAATAAAAATGTTCCTAATAGTCCTATATTGCTCTGTGTTCATTCAATGAGTTTCTTGGCTTTGAAAAATCTCCTCAGATAGAGCACTTGCCATGTAGCTAGTCCAAGTAGACAGCACATTGAAAAGATACTGAAGTACATCACACGGGAGTGGGTGGATTCTGAAATGAGATAATGCTTATCTTAGAATAAGGTTCAGTGAAACTGAGTTTATAGGTTGATTCAGACAGAATCACAATGGTTACACATGTAGTTGTCAGGGACAGAGGAAATTGCTTTGTTATGTCTCTAACTTGTTAATCACGTTAATAGTTTATTATTTTCTGGATAAATAAATGAGTTAGTTAAAACATGAATAATATATAGATCTATGTCTGCTATAAACTTGTTTTACTGTAAATAAAATTAGTGCAATAAGCAAAGATCGTTGATTCAAACAGTAACATGTTCCCTATGTAAATTAATAGTTTTACTATAATTATATTCATACCCTTTTTAGACATGGCTGTTAAATATATAAAGCATAAGCTGCTCATTTTGTATTACAGCAACAAAAAATTTTCAAGCTACAAAGTTGCCCCCCCCCCCCCCCATACCAGCAGAAATTGGAGATGCCCACCATTTGTGTCTCTCATCATTTTTTCTCTGGCTTTCATGTACTCAAAATCATCTACAATAGATTTTGATAAATCTTCTAATCGTCTCAACTCTACTTCCAATGGTTTCAGCTTCTCTGCTTTAGCTAGCTGCAATATAAATTTATAAATGATGAAAAGGCCTATCAGAATATCAGTTCAAAGACATTTTCATGCAGAACAGAGAACTTTTTTTGGTTTCAAAGTGTACCTCAAATATTAGAAATTATTATACCTCTATTAAGAATACTCAAATTTGATTGGCTTTTTAGAAGGCTTTTAAACTCAATAATGACTCTAAAAAGTACCATTTACAGCAATAATGACCTAGGAATTATTGCACGTGGGGTATAATTACCCGGTAATTATAAATAATGACCGCTAAAAATGACCTGTTAATCTAAATTCTATTTAAATTGAAAATTTATGCATACAGTAATGATTGTTCATTACAAAAAATGCTGTTATAAAAATATGTAGGCCCCTATAATCTTTTTATGATAAGGAATACGATTGACGTTTAGATGCGTTCTAAAATTTATCGTTTTCATTGAAACTTTTGTTACAATGTCAAATTTAACGAATGCAGACTCGGCTCTTTTGTACAGTAAAAGTCTGCACCAGATTGTCATTGTACTCAGGAATATGGTATTTATGAATTTATAAAAATGCATGTTACTAACAATCACAGAGTGTTTTAATAAATCCACGGCCGAGGTCAGGTCAGGTCAGCGAGCGGGCCAGGTCGAGGGTCCTTATTTCACCATGTTGATCTCATAAGGGGTAATCAATTGTATATTAAAATTGTGTACCATATATATATATTACTTAGGTTTTTCATATTCCAATGGTATTTTTAAATGGCAATGCAAATCTAAACATTTTTAATTGTGATAATACAATGTCTATTTTATCTACCCGTATTTACCTCATCATAGCTTTTAGCTTCTACTCCATGTTTCATGTCCAAAGAAACCTCTCTATCTGGACTCTGGCCACCTTAAACACACAGAAAAAATTTGTAAGCAAGTATTCATGTAATTAACAGATGACTTATGCTGCTTAACTATAAAGATTATATACAGTCAAACCTTGTTATCTCGAACTTGATGGGTCCGAGAAAAAACTTCGAGATATCTGAGGATTCAAGATATCAGGGGTAAAATCCTTAAAGAATAAATGGTTGGGACTTCCAAATCACTTCGACATATCCATGGTATTTGAGATATAAGTGTTCGAGATACCAAAGTTCAACTGTACTACATGTATATATGTACTATATCAGGGTTTGACATTAACTTTTACGAGTACTAGACCAGTCGGGCTACTTCCCATAATTTTTACTAGCCCTGACCATACAATCACTAGCCCTGACCAAACTTGCAAATTTTATTTATTTCTTAAAAATCACTAATTTAAATTTTTAATGAGATAAATAATTTTGAAATCGTTTCTCTTGCATATTAAGATTTTTACCGACTAGCCAATTGAGTCGGGTTCATCAAGACATGCGAGTATTGTAAGCTTTAAAAATCATTCAACGAACTTTAATAAATTTTTTATCCTAAATGTTAATAAATTAATTGCAGAATATATTTTTTCAGTAACTATTTATACCATATTGATACTGAACGACGCTAGTTTCTAGCACAACTTCTCTTTTACAGCTGTGGCTAAAAATAGCAACTGTGTCATAAGGGGATTCTTGGCTGTGTTTACAATCGGACAAATTAAGAAAAATTCTTTAAAAGTCTTTGGAATATTAACTGAAAGACTGAAATGGGTTTTAACAGTTATTTGTCAACACGACCAATCGGTCTAGTTCACGTACATTTTACACGACCGGACCACTCATTTACTAGACTGGGTCGGTCGGACGTACCTTAATGTCAAACCCTGTATAATACTATAATGAAGAAAAAACTATTAAGATGAGAGCTTTAAGTATTTTTACTATGCATATAATTCATGAGTACAGTAAAACTTGATATAGCAAATTTACGGATACAACAAAATTCTTAACAATTCCTTGTTAAATTTTACAGTTATGATAAACTCTGATATGACAAAGAACAAGTGCACTTAAGCAATGCTTAACGGGCCCTTTCAGTGCCGTATTACTTTAGAATATATTACCAAATTGTTCTCTTTTGGTAATAGTTAAACACAAGTGGATATTTCTAATTAAAATCACTTTTAGACATCACCTAAATCAGCACGGATTTGAAACAAATGAAGATTTTTAAATGCCTAAAGATACCCCAAATCCGGAAAAGTCATACCAAACCTATTTTGAGTTTCGTTTATTTAAATTGGACACTTGAACAATCTGATGGTCGATCATTGACGGGTGCGTTTGCCGAATGATACTTCTCGCGCTATTTTACCTGAGAAAAAAAATCGAATGAAGTTGTATAGATGTCTGTAGCCATAGTGATCAAACTAAGAAATTTGCACGCTTGCATTTGAAATAATACAATAAGTATAATTAACATTATTTCCTTTAAATTTTAAAATGAAAAAAAGTGTATTTAGGTGGCTTTCAATACCGGTACCATTGTCTTGCATGAATGTTAAAATTGTTTGACACTTTTATGTATGATGACATTTTAATGACAATAAACTCTCCTAACCCTCCCGTGTTCCTAAAACCTAATACATACAAACTTCTCTATGCGGCACAACTTCGATATAATGATACAAAACGTGGCTATCTTTTACAGTGAGCGCCTTTGAGGAATGTTTAACTGGGTAGAACTCAGGTGACTACCGGTATTTTAAATAATTTATTATACAGGTGGGTTCAACATTAGGGGTGGGATGATATACCGATACATACCGATATTTTCTGCTAAGATACGGTTTACGATACATGCATTAAAATATCGGTACGAAACAATACACGAACGACCTATCAAAAAATTGAAAATGAAAGTAGTTGTCCTTGGAAAATGGCGGCTTGTATAAAGCGAAGAGATGATATTGATATTGACTGCACGCTTTAGAACTAATAAGTCATAGACAAGGGTAAAACATTTTCACTTTTAAGCATCCTTGGAAGATGGGGACAAGAAAAGTTCCGTATGTAAAGCCGCTAAAGTGTGTGATATACAGAAAGCATCGGTTCCCCAACAGTTGTTATTATTAATTGTTAGTCCATCTGGCACTAACAGCTCATAACAAAGCATTGATTCTCTAATTTCAAGAATTTGAAATTTTGAAACAAATTGTAAATTAATCATTTTTTGTAAACTCAACTTGGTTACAGACTTTCAGGAATTAATAATAATATACATTTGATGTTTTTTTAATGAATTTTTAGTGTTCTTGATGAACTACACAACTATTTGTAAACAACTTGTTTATAGACATTTGGCAATACATACAAGTAATATTGTTTTTGTAAATATTTAGTCAATGACACTGATGAACTTCAAGTATTAATTTTAAATCGCGTATGATTTGATATAGAATAATTTGTTGATTTATTGTCAAGAAAAAAAAATGAAAACAAATACTAAGTTTTTCAAATAGTTTTATAATTTATCATAATATCGAGATACGTATCGTATCGTGTTATATGTATCGAGATATGTATCGTATCGCAAGATCTGTGTATCGTCCCACCCCTATTCAACATAGGTCATACAGGTAAATAGCTCTAGCTTGCTATAGGAAAAACACTGAACTTTTCATACATTTTTAATATTTTAAGTACAAGCCTAATCTTGTACAAATTTCCTACTTTCACCCAAGTTTTATAAATGCATTATGCGTTTTTTGTCATTCGCACAAGTTTTTACAACGTTAGGCTGACAGTAAACAAAAGCTTTGAAATGAATGACCGTCCTCGATTTACTATAGAAAATACAAATGTTGGCTGACCCCTACCACATTGTATGGCTTTGCTCTTTGTACATTCATGAATTTCAGCGATAAAATTTGTTGAATCTTATGGTTTAGATATCAATTAATGATCTGAGATGAAAAAATATGCTTAATTTGATTATTAATTTTTTCCACATTTTACCGGGGCCCATAAGTGCACTCGTTCTTTATGGATATAGCAAACTAATTTTGTGTCCTGTAGTGGTTAAAAATATCAAAATTTACATGTTTCATAACAATTTTGTTTAAATCTCAAAATTTAAAATATTGAACTGAAATTGAATTTCTTAATTAATTACATGTATACTTGAAATTTAATACATCAGAAAACTTAAGTCCCTTAGGTAAGTTTTGTATTTAATACTTCCCTGAACATATTCTGAATCAGTAGTCATACTTGAAAGAAATTGTATTTTACAAATTTGCTTTTTTATATTTTAATAAATATGTTATACGGATATGATCTATGGACATAGTGAAGTAAATTCACAGGAGGACTTAGATAAAAACTGAGTTTTATTGTATATTTAATCATCTATATATATATATATATATATATATATATATATATATATATATATATATATATATATATATATATATATAATCATGTTAATAGTAATAGTTGTGAATATGTATGTTAAGTTATTATATAAGCAGTACTTACCACCTGGCATTCTATTGTTAAAGCAGATTTCAAACATATCATACTCCTCTGTTGTGAAAGCAAACTTTCCTTTCTTTGCATCATCCTTCTGATAAAGAATATGACCCTTGGAATCTGTCACCTAGAACAATTCAATATTATATAATAATATAAGTTTTGGAGCATTCCTATATATATATTTAACAGGCCAGGGAGAAGTGTCTGCCAGACTGGGAATCGAACCTGGGACCTCCAACCAAACATGCAGTTGCTCTATCACTGTGCTTCAGGGACAATGTTCCCAATCCCCGTTATACTCTTCTACCACTAAGCTACTTGGCTGATGTACTAGGGATGGGTATCAATACACACAAAATATATCATAATAAATCAATATTGTTGACTTGTGTATCAAGATATGTACCAATACATAGCATTTTTTATTCATGTTCTAAAAAATATTTTCATTAACAGTGAAATGTTGTCAGGTATAAATGTATTCTTCAATCTACAAATTCAGTACATCTGAACAGCCTAACAATGGTATGAAACACATTAGCCAAAATACGACCCAATGAATTATGATATGTTATAGCAAGCGCAGCGAGCTCAATAGACTAAGTGTAAGAACAGAGAAATTCGGAATGAAATCTGTACATTCATCAGACAAATTTTCATGTGCAACATTCCTAGAATTCCTTCGCCACCAGGATTTCATGCGAAAGTATTACAAACCATACAAAAGACCAATGATAACAGGGTTCGACACTAACTTTTTAAGGCTTTAGTCCAGCCGGACTAGTGCTTCATTACTTTTACTAGTCCGCACGCGATTTTATAAGTCCGTCAAAAAAAAAAAAAGAAACATCAAATTGATGTTTTTTAACATTAATTTAATGTGACAATTAAAATACGTATTATTTTTTGAAATAAACAAAGTATTTACGTGAAATATATTATTCCACAGATTCATTGAAATCTCGCAATCAGCAAGTGCGATCGTATTCCCGATCTCGTTGATTTTTTTTGTCTTTACATTACATCCAAAACGTCAACATCTTTCTTAAAAGTGTCATACTAATTCATGATCGCTAAAACCTTATACTTCGATCAGTCGAAAAATTAAGCGCTGAACTGACCCGGCATTGCATAACTACCCGCCAAAAGCTGGAAATCTAAAAATACACGCCGGGTTTTCCAGTAAAAGTTGTCGGACATCGGTAATTTATTCATATTGTTTTTCATAAATTTTTATTGGTCCGTTCGGACTAATTAGCCACATATTTTATTAGTCCGAATGAAAATGTATTAGTCTGAGACTAACGGACTAACGTTAGTGTCGAACCCTGGATAATTGTTCCTTACCACTTGATACATTTACTTTTCTTTCTTGCAGAGAGCTTAAAAGAAACAAAAAATAATTGCATCTACTCTACAACATATTTCATTAAATATTGCACAAGACCTGTTACAGTAGTCTCATTCAACCAGACGCTCGGCTGCATACATGTGACAGAACTGAAAAATCACAACTGGAGATTTGAAAATTTTCAGCTGGAGTTTGGGTCTCAAAGCTGGAGATTTTTTATCGACATTTTTTCAAATCGCAAAAGACCATCCAACCCCGAAAATTCAGGAAAAAAATACCTTCTCCCAGTTTATTACTTTACAAATGTTATTTTATAAAGTTGTTGTCTATAGTTTTAAGAAAAATATGATAAAGTTTTTATTCAAATGACGTGAAATTGAGTATTCAAAATGAAATCAACTCATTTCCTAGTAAATTAATTCAGAGTTAACAGCATCATTAAAACATTGGATAAAATTTTATTTTTGATTTAGTATTGATATATCAACTGGTAAGTGAAGTAAAACATAGCTAGGTTTTATGTAACAAATTCTATGTCAGTAATTTGTTTTTAAATAGAATATGTACAGATGAAAAAAAAGTACCCTCTAAAAAAATTAACTAATTAGAGTCAGGTATATTTTAGCAACACCCTGTAGTGTGATCTATTTTTAACTAGAGTGTGACCTACATTATAACTGTATCTTTTAATGACCAAAGCAGCATTAGAAGATGGCAACTGGGTATTTTAGCAACTAATTACAATGTTTTGCATTCAGTAATAAACATCAATGGTCTTTTATCAAGTTGATATATCACTAATTTTTACAACATAATTATACGACCCCATGTTGATTCCTACGAAGCCTACCGCTGTGAAAATTTATTGCACTGGCGTTGTTATCTCAATTTCTTTTCATTCTGAGCAATTATATGAAACACGATCAAAAACATATTGCAAATAATATTTAATTTGAAGAATTTTAAAACACGGAAGATTTAAAAATTAATCGGGAGGGGCGGAAGGGGGGGTGAAATATCGGGAGATTTTGTCTCCCGCCGGAAGAATCACATGTATGCGGCTGTCTCCGTACATTCCGAAGTCATGTGACATCACAGTCTAGATAGTCTGACTAAAGCCAGCTCCTACAACAAAGTTAAATAACTTTGATAGGGGATGGCTTTAGTCAGACTGCAGTCTAGAATGTGTCTTAATTGTGCTGTTTGAAGTAAACTGTATATAGGATTTTCATGGTACAACTGTGCTCGCCCCAACGGTCACACCATAATACATATCATTTGTTAACAAGGTCATTATAAAGACCCTAGAATTTCCAAATTGAGAAGAGTGTTCGGGGAATGACAATCCTTCACAATCCAGACAATCTGAATTTTCCCAGAAACAACAACAAAAAAGAATTTGAAGTACTGAAAAAAAAAATGATTTGGTAGGGGCATTTTTGATGGGTCAGTCGGAGTACATCAAAACATCATTTTTTATTGTTGGCCTAAGTTAACCATGTGAACAGGGGGCTAGCTACAAATGACCTTATTGAACATGTTTAAAAGTAAACAATGTTGGACGATTAGATACATCTCAAACAGTGACTCTAATACTGTTGCTAAAATTCTTTAACCAAATTTTAAACATTTCCTAAGTTAAATTACTATTGAATAGTAGGATGTAATCATGATAATAACTATATCTGTACCAGAAGCTGTGTTTTGTGACCTGGCACATCAGAGAGTTGATATTCGCCGGTTACCAAAACATCTTTATGAATCTCCTCTTTCAGGCATTTCTTTTGATTTGCTCCCAAGTGAAACATGAGAGAATCAACTGAAACAACTGTCAAAACAATCAAAAAGGACAACATATGCAACACATCCATTTTTGCACAAAAGGTCCCGGTACAATGCTGAATATGGTCACTCGTATTCGCACGTTTGCTTGCTAACGTGGCATTCGTGAGTTTTCGTTAAAATCCGGAAAGTAACATCCGGTTGAGTTGCGTTTGCTGAAATGCGTTCGCTTGATATTCGTCCACATTTTAGTTTCAAATATGAATTGATTACTTTTTGTATTTTGTTTAATTTGATTATAATTGATCATCAGTAGCAGTTGTAAGACAAAACAAAATGTATTGATGGATAACCTTTGAACTATCGAATTCAAAGAGTAAAACTTATCTAAAAACAAGATCGCATAGACGCTTCAAGAAATGGAGAAAATATATTGCAATTCAACATGTAAACTAACATTGCACAAGAATGTCTGCGAAAGGAAAGTATGTAGTTAAATTTTATTTTCTCTAATAATAGAAGTATGAGCAATGTAATTAGTATGTTCGATGGTTTGTGGGGCGAGCGCAATCGTGATAAGTTCTACGGTGTAAACCGTTGAATGTATGTTCGTTCGCCCTTGACGTCGTTCGCCCTATTTCTCGTTCTTCCAGAGTCCGTTCGCTCTAGACTAACGTGTAAGAACAGAGGAAATTCGGAATGAAATCTGTACATACGTCAGGCAAATTTTCTTGGGCAACATTCCCAGAATTCCTTTGCTACCAGGGTTCCATGCGAAATTATTACAAAACGTAAAAGACCAAGGATAATTGTTCCTTACCAAGAGATACGTTTACTTTTATTTCTTTGCAGAGAGCTTAAGAGAAACAAAAAATAATTGCATCTACTCTGCAATGTATTTCATTTAATTTTTTCACAAGAACTGTGGAACCAGACGTTCGGCTGTCTCCATAAATTCCGATGTCATCTGATGTCACACTCTCGACTGTGTCTCGTATGGTTTGGAGCTAACGTTACAAGTGTAAGCTGTGTATATTATAGGTTTTTGATGGTACAACTGTGCTCGCCCTAACGGTCACACCGTAAAACATATTACAACATATTAAATTAAGAATAAAAGATTCTTCGAAAAAGAAACCTTTTATGATAGGCTGCTTAATTATCCCCAATTAAAATGGCCTATATATGAACATGATTTATGTTACTCATTAATTTCCTTAATTATTTTCCAAACAAACAAAGTGTTTCTTGCAGTAAGAATTTTACGATAGATTGATAGGGATATATGGCGAACAGGATACAGGGCGAACAAGAATTATGGCGAACAGACCCTGTGCGAACGGACTCATGTGAACAGGGAGATAGGATGAACGAACCTGATACCATTACCGTTGGGGCGAGCGCTGTTGTACCATCAAAAACCTTTGGAAATGCAGCTTACACTTCATATGCTCTCTACCATCGGCTCATACATTTACCTCTATTGTTGACTTGCGTACATGGCAGTGATAAGCACAAGAAATAGTGCGTTTGTTTTAATTCTTTATAGTGAGCGGCGCCGTCATTGTTAGCTCTATGGACAACGTCTAGGTGAAGAGAAAATTCTGACTACTGCACATTTATTCAATAGAATTTTTTATGCAGTAACTTACTAACTTTAGACCCACATAGTTAGAATAATCTAACTGTGTCTCGGAACAAGCCCTCACCACAGTTAGAATACGTCCCATATACTTGCAATGTAGCAAATTGGAGTGGATCTGCTCCAAAATGATTTTGAAGTATACAAAAGCATAGGAGTCGGCAGTTTTATCCATAAAGCAACGTAAACAACAACCAGTGAGCTTCGCAATCTACACTTGTGAAGCTCACTGGCTATTGTTTACGTTGCTTTATGGATTAAACTGCCAACTCCTGTGACAAAAGGAGTTGCACTGAAAATAACTACCAAATTAATCATAACAAACCCTTTTGAGATTGTATATGCCTTTAAACCTAAAAAATAATTCAGATACTGTAGATTCCTTATTTTTCGGGAGTACTTATCGCGAAATGCCTATTTAACATCATATCACAATTATTCACCAGTGGACGTTTGATCAAGAGATTTTACATTAGTTTCAGCACCATAAAAATAAAAGCGAGTAATTGTTTTTTGCGAGTGGTGTTTCTCGCGAAATAAAATTCCTCGGGTATATTTAGGAATCTACAGTAAGGCCATTATAAAAAAAATTTCTTAGATTCTCATCCGAATTTTTTGAAAAATCGAGTTGGGCGGGCGGATTTTATTATATATTTTTTATTTTTGCATTGTGCAGATTTCTTGTTGAACTGATCAATCGGTGCAGATTTATCTATAATGCCCAAAAAAAAGTCATAGTAGAGGTCCATTTAAATATGCATTTCTCTCATTACACATCATCACTAATCTTTCACAACCAATGATTCTTGTTTAATGCATATTACAGCAATTACCATCTTGTCAGCTGTCAAAATCATGCCGACATTCGTGGGATTTAAAACGAATGTTAATGGTAGTTGAATACCGATCCTGATCAAGAAAAACAGAAATTAAAAAATCGAGGTGGGGGTAAAAAATCAGGGCAGGTGGGGATGAGAATCTAGGAATTTATTTATTATGGCCTAAAGACCAAAATTCAACTCATTTTCTCAACTTTTTTCTTGCTTCAAATTTACACGCCATGTTGACATTCGGAACTCTCTGGATTGATCATAGTAAATGCACTGAGTTCGAGTTATCACTCATGTTTATTTTGCTAATTGCCAATACACGGAACATCGTTAAACAATTCTATCGTTAAACCGGGTCCGTAGGACAATATCATTTTAATGATAGAACATTCTATCTAGGACCCACAATGCAACCCGTGTTGTTCTCGCTGTAACAACCACTAAAAATTCACAAAAAATAAACTCACCTTAATTAAATGGATATTCCATACAGATAGTAGATTAAATGTTCTTTGTTAAAATTTTGCACTTTTCTTACTTTGTTTATCAAAATGCAGCTAACATATCTGAAATTGGAGGATAAGCTATCCCACAATGCAATGTGATTTTCCATAAATGGTTAAAAAATTTGGCCGCCATATTGAAACTAGTTATCCTCCAAAAACGGAGATCACCCAGACCTGGTAAATATGATCCATCTCTTCAAATCAGATGAAACACAATATAGAGTATGAGGTCACATGAGGTCTTATGTAAGTTGCATTTCTGTATAGTGGAGTCTAAACAAGCCTAGTGCAATTTAAGAGATGGATTCAAGTTTAGGCCTAGATAAACAAATTGTGTGTTTCCAGTTCCCCGACCGACCCTAAAATATATGAGCTGACCCTGAAAAATTTATCCACCAATATCTTTCCAGAAGTAAATACATGTAATTCCATTTTCACTATTAGAAATCCTAATCTCAATCACTTTGGTGTTTGAGATAATGCATATCCTATACACATTAAACAAAAATGCCATTAGTAAGCCGTCCTTTGGGGGAAAAAAATGAACTCTTTGTTTTTCTCATTTGGTTTATTGTCGAAGTTGAATTTTAACTAATAAAATGTTAAAATAAATTAAAATGTTTTCCCTACCTACCTACCCTATTTTTTCTTGGGTTGGAATAGGAAACACAATATTTATTTACCTTGGCCTTAGGTAAAGGTTTTGCATATAGTTTCATCTTATGTTATGTTGCTGCTATCAATTTTCTTCTTTTTGTGTGTTAAACTACTTTGTATGCCCTCATCATGAGCCTAGAATGGGTGTAGTGACTACTTACCCCTTCTTCAAATTGCATGATACATTTGGAAGGTTTAAAGTTGGTCTCACTTGATCTAGACTGTGAAGAAATATCATTCCTGTGTTAGTTGCATTTTCACAATGAAGTCTTTATAGTGCATATTTTTATTTTATTATCAGCAAGATCTATCTGCATTTTCCATTAACTTGAAAGCATGAGTTACTTTCTTTTTTTTGACTTGTAAATTTTTGTTTGGTTATCATGAGAAATACATGTAGCAAAGCCATATGCAATTCACAAATGATATGGATACTGAGTTTGCTGCAACACACACACACACACACAAAAGAGTTGAATTGCACAGTCCAATTTTTCCCTTTGCCCAGGAGTTGCTTGAAATGCTTAGAGTGCTTAAGATAAGATTAATCATATAAAAAGAGCACTGTTATCTTTGATTTTCAAATTTATATGTAGCAAAAATTTAATTTTCACCTTTTTTATAATTGTTGAAATGTTCATGAATTTTATGAACATCTCGTAGATAACTCATACAAGCTCTATGTAACCCAGTGAAGAAAAATGCAGTTGAACTTTGATATTTCTAACAATGATATGTCAATTAAGATAGGTCCCTACTTGTAAAATTTATGTGTGAATTCATGCATTTGTTTAAAACTGGGAACTTTTGAATATCCATTTCTTAAAACTTATTTTGAGATGGAGATGACAAGACTTTACTGTAAGAATTAAGATGTAAATTTCATAAGGAAATGTTATCATTACAGGACTGTTTTGGTATTATTAGAAAGTCTAGCAGGGACAAAACATAAATATGTACGTTTAAGACCACGTATTGATGGACCAGGAGAGGCCATATTGTTTGACCCAATAGGTAATTTAAAAAAAAAAAATTATGTTAGCAAGGTTTTTAATATTGATTGTCATTTCTTTGTACCGGTACATGTAATGTACCTGACATTTATCATTTGATGTAAATATTAACCTGGATTAAAAAAGAAAAATATAATGGTGGTCATCATAACTCCATTTGTTTGAACTATTTTATCTTTTACAGTTAGAGAAAATGTGTTGTATAAAGAAATAAAGAAAATCAAGACACTAAAAGATAAGAAGAGAGATAAAACTGGACATAAAAGATGAAATAGGAGAATGAACATAGAAATAGTGATGGTATTATGAATGTTGTGAATAGAATATTGTGAACACAACTGGTTTGTGAAGTGGACTTTACAAGAAGACTGTAAAGAGAAAGATTTATATATACAACAGAGTATGTGTATAAACATTGCCAAATAAACATTGAATTTACAAAATAAACATGTATGTCTTGTGCATTAATTTTCTTTTTGATTATACATTGTTGTCAATGGTACAGTATATTCTCGCCTAAAGTCGGTTATAGGGGAATCCTAAAAAGATTGATATTTTTCTGGACAATGAAATTAAGTATTTTTTAAACAACTCTGATGATTGTCGTTGACAAAAGTCTGAATGTGAAATGAAAACTTAATCATGATAACTGCCAATGATAGATCAAGTGTAGCATTTATAAATCAGAAACAACAGATATGGACTAGACATTGAGCACCTCTTAATTATAAAACTTTGGCGTCATTTCTCAAAATATTATTTGAAACATAGGTTAAAACATTCAGTGGAGCATTGACTTGAAATTGTCAACTGATTTAGGCAAAAAGTTGTACCGGCTTATAAGTCTGTCAATGGCAAATTCTTCCAATATAAGCTAAAAGAAAAAATACAACCGATTTATAGGTGGACCAACTTATAGGCGAGAATATATATATGTTAAGTTTTAATGCCCATACTTTTTTATAATAATTCCAATCATAATGTCTATATTTATAATATAGTTAATATATCCTTAGAGTACTTTTTATTCCTTCAGTACTCACTACTGTCAGTAATGAGTTGAAGTAATGATGATAGAAAAAAGTTATAGTGCTTCTTTATATTGATCCCTACAGTCAGTGCAGAGTTATAATACTCTATGCATTCCTGACATGAAGCAAAAGTGCTGTCAAACCTTGTTATCTTGGACTCAATGGGACAGGGATTAAACTTTGATGTTTTGGAATAACAAAGTAAAAAATAATTAAGAAATAGTGGTTGAGACTGTCAAATATTTTCAACAAATCCCTGGTTTTTAAAATATTAGCATTCAAGATAAGGAAGTTTAACAATGACCTTCAACAGTACTCTAATGAGTATTCTTCAGTACTACCAATGCCGAGCTGTACTCTGTGACATCTCCTACAGAATTCATTCGTCAGGGGAAAAAAATGTGTTTTTGAAACACTGATGCCCCCAATGCAGATCATGGCAAGGTTAAAGTTTCTTGAATGCAAGTCAAACTCCCAAGGTCGATGTCAAGAAATCAAATATATTGATACCCAAAGAAAGTTCTTGTCACAAGGAATACAAGTGAAATATGAAAGCCTCAGCACCAACTGTTCAAAAGATGGCCAAGGTTAAAGTTTTTCAAAAGTGGGTCAAACTTTAAGGTCAAGGTGAAAGGGTCAAAATTGTTTACTCAAAGGAAGGTCTTGTCACAAGGAATATACCTGTGAAATATGAAAGCTCTAGGATTAATCCTTCAAAGGTTATGACCAAAGGTAAAGTTTTTCAAAAGTAAGTCAAGCTTTAAGGTCAAGGGGTCAAAATTGTTGGTACCTAAGAGAAGGTATTGTCACAAGGAATACACATGTGAAATATGAAAGCACTAGCACCAACTGTTCAAAAGTTATGGACAAGGTTAAAGTTTGGTAAAATTTTGCAAAAGCGTGTCAAATTCCAAGGTCAAGAGGTCAAATATATTGATACCCAAAGAAAGTTCTTGTCACAAGGAATACACTTGTGAAATATGAAAGCCATAGCTCCAATCAATCAAAATTTAGGGGTAAGGTTAAAGTTTTTGCATGCGGACAAAAAGATAGACGGATGGACAGATCAAAAACTATAAGCCCCAGAATCTTCAATTATGGGGGCATGAAATTGTACTCTGAAATCTATGATATTGTAAGGCTGGATTTATCATAATCATGTCTGAATAATGACTAATGATAGACAGTAAAATGCTTTTCCCTTGGCCCTGTCAGGCTCAAACTTCAGAGAATGTGCAGTGACCTTGAAACAATTTTATAGAAGAAAGGTCAAGGTCAGAAAATCTCTTTGCATAAAAAAATCTTTGTCTGGAGTATGTTTTCTCTCCCCTTGGCCCTTCCTGGCTCAAACTTCACCCATAGACCCATGGGTAGAGGGTGTGCAGTGACCTTGAATCAATTTTCTAGTTCCACGCTCAAGGTCAAAAAACATTTCTAGTTAAATTCTTGTCCAAAGCATACTTTCTCTCCCCTTCCCTCAGTTGGGCTTGTACTTCACTCATAGAGTGTCTATGGGCAGAGGGTGTGCAGTGAGCTTGAACTTATTTTTAAAGATGAAAGGTCGAGTTCAGAAAACCTCTTTGTGTAAAATCCTTGTCCAGGCCTAATTTCCCTCCCCTTGGCCCTATCTGGCTCAAACTCTAAGTTCCTAGGTTGGTGGTTTATAGCAAATCTCAAATATCTGTAATATTTTTTTCTTGAGCATTTTTTTCCATTGGTCCCATCTGGCTCAAACTTTACCCAAAGAATGTCCTTGGATAAAGGGTTTTTCATCCTAATGCCATCTGCTAAAAGCCAGGCCCTTTGAGATTGTGTTCATCTCAACAATGTCTAATTTGAAATTAATTTAGATCTGAATTTTCTTATGAATATTTTTAAAAAACATGCAAAACATGAATACTTAAATCTGAAAATTTTTATGTCAATTTATTTTTGTGAAACTCAATAAAATTAATTTTCAATGCAATGTTTTTAAACTAATGTATCAAATTTCAACAGTAACAAACATAATTGGTTACAATGACAAAATTTAATGTCAATTAAGCTAAATTTACCAAATCAATGAGTAGAAAAAAGAAGGACCAAAATGGACAGATCGCTCTTCATGTTCAAAAAATAAATTCAAAGAGTGAAAGAGTTGGGTGTGGGTGTGGTTTGAAGAACCCCAAAGATATATGTTGTCTGACATCGACAATTTCATTAACAAGAGGCCCAAGGGCCTTAACGGTCACCTGAGTATAATACAACAATTTAGAGGATCCATAGAGTATAAAAAAAACTGAAAGGTGAAGCTTTATTGCCCAAAAGCAAGAAAAATAGGGTGATCAGGATCAACAAAATAATTAGTCTAATATTCATTAACAGTTCATAAATTAAGTTCTAATCTGTTCCCCATTTATCACTATTACCATACAGTATAATGAACAAACTATCAGTGTTTCTGTACTATTTTAATTCCTTGTTGGAATCTTTTACATTGGCCTCTCTTGGTCTTGATAAACATTTAATAAGACAAGTTATTTTTGCCTCATTTTTATTTATCTATTACTTACAAGTCTACCTGATCATTAAAACTATGAAAGTACTTTTTGTATTATACAATAAAAATTCTTGCATAATTCTCTTTTTCTATTAACCTTTCAAGTACATTATTTACGGTGATTAATTATCAAAAGTAAATGGCGAAGGGGAATAACTCAGTAGATACAAATTAATAGAGCCCTGGCGAGGACCAGAACACTTGACCAAATGGTCCAGATATTCAAAAATCTGGTAAAAATACCCTTCCTTATTTTAAAAACTTTACTCTTTTTGCCTCTGATATGCCCAAGTGCAGAGAAAATTTTCAAAGTAATAATGCATTTTTACTACAGATTCACTAAATTATCAATAGACCCCCCCCCCCCCCCCCACCGAGAAACACCAGAGACTCTAACCCTTGGACCTGAAGTTTGCTCATCATAAGTAATCACTTTGTTTATCTGCTTACCACTAAGAAGGAGACAGGATTATTTAATAGAATTAATGCATTTCACTATATTATCAAGAGCCCCACCCTTACACCAGCACATCTGACCCAGGGGTCATGCAATTCACTACTCTGGAAGAAGCACTCTTGCTCGTCATAACTATACACTTAATTCTTTGCTTTTTAACTAGAAGCAGAAAAGAATGTTATCAAAGAAATTTTGCCTTTTCACTATATAATCAATAGAGCCCCCCCCCACTTTTCACCAGTGAAAAGTGGGGGGGGGGGGGCTCTATTGATTATATAGTGGTGAAAAGTCAAAATTTCTTTGATAACCATGAAATTCACAATTTTGGGGGAGGCATCCTTGCGTATCATAACAATGTACTTAGTTTGTTTAAATAATACCCAGGGGCAGAGAAGATTTTGAAAGAAATAATTCACCTTCACTATAGGATCTATATAGCCCCGTCCTAGCACCAGAACCCCTGTCCCTGGGGCCATGAATTTCACAATTTTGGAAGAGGCTTCCTTGCTTTTCATAACAATGTACTTAGTTTGTTTGAATAAATTAATACCCAGGAGCAGAGAAGAAGATTTTTAAAGCATTAATGCATTTTCACTATATAATAAACAGAGCCTGCCCTAACAGCAGAATCCCTGATCCAGGGGCCATGAAATTCACAATTTTGGAAGAGGCATCCTTGATTATCATAACTATGTATTTAGTTTGTTTAAATAATACCCATGAGTAGAGAAGAAGATTTTCAAAAGATTAAGGTACTTTCACTATATGATCTATATAGCCCCACCCTAGCACCAGAACCCCTGACCCTGGGGCTATGAATTTCACACTTTTGGTAGAGTCACTCTTGCTTATCATAATTATGTATTTAATTTGTTTAAATAATACCCAGGAGTAGAGAAGAAGATTTTCAAAAGATTAAGGTACTTTCACTATATGATCTATATATCCCCGCCCTAGCACCAGAACCCCTGATCCTGGGGCTATGATTTTCACAATTTTGGTAGAGTCACCCTTGCTTATCATAACTATACATTCAATTTGTATCAATAATACCCAGGAGTAGAGAAGAAGATTTTCAAAGAAATAACGCACTTTCACTATATAGATCTATATAGCCCCGCCCTAACACCAGAACCCCTGACCCTGGGGCCATGGATTTCACAATTTAAGAAGAGGCATCCTTGCTTATCATAACAATGTACTTAGTTTGTTTAGATAATACCCATGAGCAGAGAAGAAGATTTTTAAAGCATGAATGCATTTTCACTATATAATAAATAGAGCCCCGACCTAACACGAGACCCCCTGATCTAGGGACCATGAAATTCACAATTTTGGAAGAAACATCCTTGCTTATCATAACTATGTACATGTATTTAATTTGTTTCAATAATACCCAGGAGTAGAGAAGAAGATTTTCAAAGAAATAATGCACTTTCACTATATGATCTATATAGTCCCGCCCTAGCACCAGAACCCCTGACCCTGGGGCTATGATTTTCACAATTTTGGTAGAGTCACCCTTGCTTATCATTACTATGTAATCAATTTGTTTCAATTATACCCAGGAGTAGAGAAGATTTTCAAAGAAATAACGCACTTTCACTATATGATCTATATAGCCCCGCCCTAGCACCAGAATCCCTGACCCTAGGGCTATGAATTTCACAATTTTGGTAGAGTCACCCTTGCTTATCATTACTATGTATTCAATTTGTTTCAATAATACCCAGGAGTAGAGAAGAAGATTTTCAAAGAAATAATGCACTTTCACTATATGATCTATATAGCCCCGCCCTAGCACCAGAACCCCTGACCCTCGGGCCATGAATTTCACACTTTTGGTAGAGTCACTCTTGCTTATCATAACTATGTATTTAATTTGTTTAAATAATACCCATGAGTAGAGAAGAAGATTTTCAAAAGATTAAGGTACTTTCACTATATGATCTATATAGCCCCGCCCTAGCACCAGAACCCCTGACCCTGGGGCTATGAATTTCACACTTTTGGTAGAGTCACTCTTGCTTATCATAATTATGTATTTAATTTGTTTAAATAATACCCAGGAGTAGAGAAGAAGATTTTCAAAAGATTAAGGTACTTTCACTATATGATCTAATATATCCCCGCCCTAGCACCAGAACCCCTGATCCTGGGGCTATGATTTTCACAATTTTGGTAGAGTCACCCTTGCTTATCATAACTATGCATTCAATTTGTATCAATAATACCCAGGAGTAGAGAAGAAGATTTCCAAAGAAATAACGCACTTTCACTATATGATCTATATAGCCCCGCCCTAACACCAGACCCTGGGGCCATGGATTTCACAATTTAAGAAGAGGCATCCTTGCTTATCATAACAATGTACTTAGTTTGTTTAGATAATACCCATGAGCAGAGAAGAAGATTTTTAAAGCATGAATGCATTTTCACTATATAATAAATAGAGCCCCGACCTAACACGAGAACCCCTGATCTAGGGACCATGAAATTCACAATTTTGGAAGAAACATCCTTGCTTATCATAACTATGTACATGTATTTAATTTGTTTCAATAATACCCAGGAGTAGAGAAGAAGATTTTCAAAGAAATAATGCACTTTCACTATATGATCTATATAGTCCCGCCCTAGCACCAGAACCCCTGACCCTGGGGCTATGAATTTCACAATTTTGGTAGAATCACCCTTGCTTATCATTACTATGTGTTCAATTTGTTTCAATTATACCCAGGAGTAGAGAAGAAGATTTTCAAAGAAATAATGCACTTTCACTATATGATCTATATAGCCCCGCCCTAGCACCAGAACCCCTGACCCTCGGGCCATGAATTTCACAATTTTGGTAGAAGGCTCAATGCTTATTACAATCATGCCAACAGTTTGACTGCTTGATGTCCAGGAGTAAAGAAGATTTTTAAAGAATGCATGAATTTTGGTGGTTTTAGCCCCACCCCTCAGGCCCCAGGGGGGCAGGGACCATGAAATTCACAAATTTTGTTCCCCTTCACACATAGACGCCATATGCTAAAATTGACTGAAATTGGTTCAGCGGTTTCAGAGAAGAAGCTGAAAATGTTCAAATGTTAACACACAACGGACGACGTACGACGACGGACGAAAACAGATAGCAATAGGTCACCTGAGTGACTCAGGTGACCTAAAAATGCATATTGTAGATCTATGAGACATTATGTCGTTCGGTTCTGTTATATTATTAACTCTTATCATCCGAGGATGGAATGCATACTCTATTACTGTAACAAAACAATTAAGGTCCCCCGCTTTCGGTGTCTTAGTGCATGGGATGCCATTATTTATGGCATACTCAGTATTGTAACTGCCTTGTTTTTGTGTCCTATCTTGTCTGTCCATCATACAAAAAAGACAGAAATAATTGAATTCAAAAGTTATTACAAATGTAAAATTAATTTGAAAACGACTGACAATTAAAAAACTTCAAGGTCAGGGTCAAAAGGTCAAAAACCAGAGTATACAATCGGAAAGGTCTTGAAACAGGTAATGTAGATGTCAAATGTAAACGTCATATCTTCTCTCAATCAAAAGTTAACAGCAATGTTAATTTTTTTTGAAAATTGGGCTGTCAAACTTGAAAGTTCAAGGTCATAGGGTTAAAATCATAGTACATGAGGAAAGGTCTTGTCACAGGTAATGCACTTGTCAAATGTGAATGCCCTATCTTCGTTCCTTCAAAAGTTACTAACACTGATAAATTGAATATTAGGTCAAACTTGAAGGTCAAGGTCACGGGGTCAAACATCAAAGCACATTCAGAAACATTTTGACACAAGTAATACACTTGTCAAATATGAATGCCCTATTATATCTTATTCAAAGTAATCACCAAATTTAAATTTTTTGAAAACTTTGTCAAACATGAAGGCCAAGGTCAAGGGGTCAAAAATCATAGCATGCTTGGAAATGTCCTGTCACAGATAATGGACATGTCAAATATGTAAGCCATATCTTTTCTCAATCAAAAGTTATAAGCAAAGATAAAATTTCTGAAAAGAAGGTCAGACTTCAAGGTCAACGTCATGGGGTCAAAAATCATAGTATATGTGGAAAGGCCTTGTCACAGGTAATGTACAGTTGTAATATGAAAGCCCTATCTTTTCTAATTCAAAAGTTTTGACCAAAGTAATGTTAAAATTTTAGAAGAGTAGGTCACACTTCAAGGTCAAGGTTATGGGGTCAAAAATCAAGTATATTTGGAAAGGTCTTGATACAGGTCATGTGCATGTGAAATATAAAGTTCTATCTCTTCCCATTCAAACGTTACGACAAAGGTTTTTGTGACAGACAGACGAATGAGATTTAATGTCCCCTCGCTTTCGCGAAGCCGGGGGACAATAATGTGCCACAGATTATTGATGAAGACTACAAATATGATGTCCACAAGATATGTAGAGAAAAGGCCAGAATGAATAGTGCCAGAAAATATGACTTCTTCAAAACTTTTAATTATGCGTTGTTTTACAGTTAGCATTGTTTGAGAATAGAATTGTCCTAGGTACATGTTTTTTTATTGGAGATTTGGGGGCATACTGGGTACATTTTTTAGTCTTTCTGTTTGTCCACAAAAAATTATTTTGGCCATAACATTTTAATGGTTGGTGCTTCGGATTTCACATGCGCGTGATAAGACCTTTCTATGGGTATTAACATTTTGATATCCTGACTTCATCTTTGAGTTTGATCTATTTTTGCAAACTTTAATCTTGGCCATAACATTTTCAAGAACGGTTATAGAAATATACTAGTATTCTTTGTGACAAGACCTTTCTTTGGTTTCCAACCCTTTTGAACTCATGACCTTGGAACTTGACCTACTTTTGTAAAACATAACGTTTGGATGGTCGGTGCTAGGGCTTTCACTGTGACATATCACATTAACCATGGCAATGAGCTGCTAAAGGAGGGGGGGGGGGTCAGTGTTTCATAAATATCTTTTTTAAGTTAACAAATACTGCAAAAAATCATCCATGCAATTTTTTTTTACATAATGGGCAGTACCAGGTGAGCACAAGAGGCTAAAAGGTTATCTATTAACTGACAATAAGTTCTATACTATCTGTTCAGCAAGAATCATGACATTGAATGAAAGAAGCATTTTATTAGTTTTATTAGGTCAGCTGAGTGAATCGGGTGACCTACTGCAATCTCTTTTCGTCCGTCATCACGTTTGTTGTGTATCGGTCTTCTCTTGAACCACTGAACAAATTTCGGCGCCCTATTGAACATACCGTGAAAATGCATTAATTCTCTGAAAATCTTTTTCTCTGCTCCAGGACATAAGACAAACTTAAGCGCATGGTTTTGATGAGAAACTTTGGCAATTTTATTCCCTGCAGCTGTCAGGATGGTTTATTTACTCTGGCCAAGAAGTATTTTTTATAACACTTTTCGTGAAGGGAAGGAAAGTGAGAATTATGTCGCACTTCTTATATTTTTTCACACTGTGACAAAATATCACTTTGATGTCACAAAATATCACTTTGATGTCCTTTCACACTGTGACAAAATATCACTTTTATTCAATTAATAAATTACAGTTTTTCACTACGTATGCTCAAGTAAAATGTAATGAATAAAATCAAGAAATGGTTCAGAAATTTTCTATGGTGTGAGTCGAAAGTAGAGGTACCCAGCACGTCACCATGGTTACGAAATCCAGCATTTAATCAGGATCCATGCGCGGATCTAGAGGGGGATGTCTGCCGGTCGTGCGGACACCCCCCCCCCTCCCTGGAATTTGCAGAGTTATTAAAAGTATATACTGAAGCAAATAAAAATGACTTTGGGCCCCCCTGGAAAACGTGGACCCCACCACCACCACCATCACGAAATAGGTTTTTTCTCACTTTAGGGAAATGGATTTTACGTTGTTTGTTTGTTTGTTGTTTTTTTTTCGCTTGTCAAGAAATATCTGGGGTGGAAATTTTTTTGACTGGGGTGGACCCCCCTGGAAAAAATTCCTGGATCCGCGCCTGGTTTTGACCTACGAAACCGGTGCGATACTAGTATTTTATTTGGCTCTCCATTGATATATCAAAGAACATGCAATTGTTGAATTGTTTTTATTTTGATACTGATGGGTGGATCCAATATTTTTTCCACGTCTTATTCGCCCATGTTCTTCGCAAGATCAAGATCCACCTGCTGATTTAGAGCAATTTCTCGAGTTATTTCCCGTAGTAAGTGACAACAACGAAAAGGACCCATCGTTAACGGATAGGTGCGTCAGTGACATTTTTGGAGAAAAAAGTAGGGCATTCCTGTAATCATGACATGATAATGGAATACAAATGAGAGCTTCTAGTTTTAATCCTGTATAAGCAAATCAAAGGTTCGTATTGTTTTTCTAAGCTTAACTGTAATGATAACTTGTGCTTATTAGTCACTCAAGGACCCGAGTCTATAAATTGTGACAGCATCTTCTGCTAGTTGCTCTCAGATTTTAAACAGATATAACACGTAAACACGTTTAAATCCTTTAGCACTAAGCACAATGTTGTTTTTGCCGATAGTAATGGGTTGAGTTGGTAATTATTAGATAAGGAAGTCTTCTTTTTCCAGTGTGCAATGGGTGATTGTGGCTTGCTGTGGAGTGTTATGTGGGCAGTGATTCTGATCGTGTTTGGATGGCCGATTGGACTGATTTGTGCGTTATTTTATTGTCTCCTTAGTCCGTGTGCTGCCTGTTGTCAAAGCTGCGCAGAACTGATAAACTTACTGGACCGTGGTGTGAAATTACCCTTGACGTGTTCTCAAAACATGGTGACTGGAAAGTCAATGTGTTAATTTTTTTTCTCGTGTTTCAAGACCATGACGGATACTTGTTTTACTTTTGAAAGTGTCATTTTTTTTTTTAAAAATACAGTGTTTATTTAAAATTGCCTCGACTCCATATGGAATGTATTACATAATATCAGCTTCAACCAGAGATTTTATACAAAAGACACACATGGAATGCATGTAGTGGATGAAACCATTTGCAATTTAAAAAGATTTTGGAATGTATTAATTGACAAGCAGATGACACATGCTATAAAATTTACACACTCAACTTGTTTTCATGCTATAGGCTAAAATGTAGATCAAATAATTCACCCAAGGCTGGGCTAGATGTATGCATTGTAGGATCATCTTGCAGGCAGTTTCATGAAAACCGTACTTTATTAATTAAGTCATCTGAAGAATAAGTTATATGCTATCCCTGATCAAAGGCAACTGCAATTTTATCAAATGTTGCAAATAGAGCCTTAGATAAAATGATTCCAACCCCTTCATATAGAATTGCATTTAATATACCGGTACAGTAAAACTTACCTAAAACAGATGTTGTTTATTCAGAAATCTTGCCTCTTATGATGTAAAATTTTATTCCCTTTCATTACATAATTGTTAAAATGTTGTCGATTATAATACAGAATGTTGCTTAATCTTGGCATCAGTGGTGTTCAGATTAAACTTTCTCTCTCTGTATATATTTATGTTTGTGTGTATGTGTAATATAAAGAGGGGGAGTGTTTTTGCTAATTACTGATAAAATTTTAGGTGCCAGTGCTCATTATGCAGTGCATCCCTAAATACAGTCAAACCTTGTTATCTCAAACTCAAAGAGTCCGAGAAAAAACTTTGAGATATCAAAGGATTTGAGATATCCAGGGTAAAACACTTAAGAAATAATGAATAATTTGTAAACATCTATCGAGATATAAATACGGGTTGGTCACAAGATCAAATTTGATCTCGTACCAACCCATATTTACTTAAGGAATAACTGTCTAATTTTTTTGATTCATGATGTGATCAATCGAGTGGCTTGCGTGATAATTTGCATAAATGCCGAAGGCGTTTATGCATAAAATTATCACGCAAGCCAATCGATTGATCATCGTCATGAATCCAAAAAATCTGACAGTTATTCCTTATATTTACATGCTCCTGATTCTGCAAATTCCCGTGCTAATAGCCCCGCTTCTGTCTCTATTTGTCCCGCCCCGCACATGATTTTTTTTTAACCGCGCCTATCGATGAGCCAGTATATTTATGTAGAAATAAAGTATTTTTACAATTTGTAATTTTATCTCAGACAAAGACATTGGAAATGTAAATATATCCCGATAGATGTTTAAAAATGATACATTATTACTTATATTTACATTTATGACTTATTCATATTTTATATTTTCCTGATTATAATCTTTAACGTGTGAAATGTTTTATCTTTCAAACTCAACGGCACATATTTAATCCATTCATTGCGCGTCGACCCTCGATGACGTCACAGAGAAATTACGTCGAACGTTTATGACATGAGGAACCTGTGTTTATACGGATACAGATACACGTTGCTTTTAATAGTGTTATATAAAAGAAAACATTTGCAAATGTAAATATTAAAGGATAAGAGGTTGGGACTTCCAAATCACTTTGAGATATCCATGGTAGTTCAACTCTATATAATTTATTTACTAAGATGGATATTCCATTAAAAATAACTGTTATCACATTATATAGGGACTCCTTTACTAGAGATGCATGAGGTTAAATGACATGAGAATTGATGCAGTGTAGCTCAAAATCTTGGAACTAATTTTATTTTGTTAGATAATGAAACCAGAGTTCATAGAATGCCTTAGAGAATGAGGCATTAATCACATAAGTTGCAAATGCTGAGTGAGAATGTGATTATTTGTTCACCCTGTCAAAGATTTATCCAAGAAATCTTAAGATTTGAACCATATCAAACTTTTGCACAAGACTGCACTCAAGGGAAGTTACTCGAGATGTGATGTAGTTGCAATAAAACTTGCCCCAAGAAGACACTTATCCAGAAAAAAAGTCATGAACAGTATGCTACTGATTAGATTTTATATGATCTAAGCACAGTTATAATACTAATACCCCCCTCAGTTTGACCCAAATGCATCAATAATTTTTGGTCATAGACATTGCAGTGTAAAAGATAATAACCTGCAGACATGAAAACGCTATTAGATGGATAGACAGATGGTTGAGCCCATATCATAAAATGGCCCATCAGAAGACAGGCATTTGAATTTTTTTTTCTAAAGAAGAGCATGATGTATTGCCAGATTTGTAGTTATGGATATTTTATTTCTACTCTAAAACATTTTCTTTTTTAACAGACTTGGAGTAAAATCTGATTTGCATTAAAAAAACCAAAATATATGTATGATATATACCAAAATATAAAAAAAGTACATAAAAATAAATTTCAAGAGATGTTGACAGTATACTGGATTTACAATGAAAATTGTGCCATGAAATGAATGCCATTGGTTTTCTAAGATACAATAGTATTATGAAAATTTCTCTTTTTTTATATACAGACTTCATATACAGAAGTGGAAAAAAAGATATATGAACATATACATGTATATGCCTATACAGACAATTTCTACTACATGCAAAAATGGGGGGGGGGGGGGGGGGGGAGAATAGTGCTAAGAGTAAAATACAACTATAATGATGAAATGCCAGCAGAACTAATTCAGACATGACATACAATGTTATACTTTGTAAGATAATACTGGTACAATTTACTTCCCTGTATAATATTACATGCATTATAACAGAATATCCAGTAGTAAGGCATTATAAAATGCAGTGTTGAACATTAACAGATGTAAAGATACAATATTTACAGCACATGGATACTTAATTGTTCAGAAATGTAATAATCATTCAAGTACAGGAGTGTAGGATTATGTTTTACCACCATAGAAGGATGGAATTTACCTATCTTTGAACTCATATATACAATAAATGATGAATTTCCCATTGCATTGTTTCTTCAGACTAAAATCATGGGCTTTGAAATTTCCAAAAGAATTCAATCATAAATTTACATTGTAAGCAGTATACTCAAAATCCTAATAAAAGCAATCTAGTTGACAATATTTGGTGTAAATCTGAAATTTAAAAGTGAGAATATCCGTAATCAAAGCTGAAGCATTTTTTAGTTCAAATGATATCTATGGTATGGTAATTTCACCAGTCACTTGGACAATGCTTTATTGTTTAAAGCTATGTCATAATGACATTACAGATAAAGTATGTTTATATAATATTTGTAGTTAAAAGTAGGAAAATTTCAGAGTTGTTTTATATGAAATTCATCTGACAGTCTTATCACTAGTAAAATGGAAGGAAAATATTATATTACAATGCTACTGTTTGATATATTGATTAACAAGTACTAAAAATATACATATTCCTATAGATATGGTACAATATTTACAAATTATTCTGAAAATTTGTTCAGAAGTGGATGTTTGTATTCTAAACAGGAACAGAAGGAATGAGAGAAGTAGTGAAGAAGCATAGGAAAGATGAGATTGATAAGAAATCATGAGATAAAGATGCACACAGAAATGGAAATGAATAAAAAATAATGACAAGGCTGTCCAAAATTAATATATTTAACATCACATGCAAGGTTTCAAAGAAGTTGCGGTTTTAAAAACAACAACAAAATTGGATCATTTAAAGCAATTTGAGCTGCAACTTGGAAGTCGGAAATTTTGTTGCAATATTGTAATTCACTATTTCAATGACGAAAAAAAAAAGAACATTTATAAACTTCTGTTGTTTATATTTGCAATGGAAGAACTATTTATAAGCTTTGAAGCAAAATTACATTATTGTCGTCCCGTACAATATTGATTTCTTATGTAATACTATACATTCCATTGTATAGAAATCTCCTATGAAAAAATTTAATACTTTATTTTAGTCTAATTGATCATAAAGGATATAATTACATACAGATTTATCATATCAGCACATTTTAACAGCAAAATAAAATTCTCAAAAATGCAGCTCTCATTGCTTAAAAAAAAAATCTATTCCAGTTTGCTTGAATTTTTAGCAACTAAAAAACTGCCTTTCATAGGAATAGACAACATTTGGGTCCGTTTAGAAGTATATTTGGAATACTCACTGAAGTTATCTTTTTAACTAAGATTTATTATTAAGATAAATCTAAACAATAAGCCTATATGTTGACTGGTATTCAAATTTCCATGGTATTCAGGTATTTTGATTAATACTCATTTCTTTGAAATCTTTTTGAATTTTCTCCCTTGAGTTTTCAGGTGATGTTAAGCATAGAATTAATTTTAGAACAGCCTACCAAATGAATTCAGTGAAAATTTGATGTGTAAATGACATGAAGACTAGGGACATATTCTTTCATATATTGGTCAATTTATGACTTGATTCCTCTCCTCTCCATGGCAGTGTTGAATTTAGCACTAGATCTTTTAGCTGCCATTACTTTCCTTCTGTCATCCCTAAAGCCAGAAACAAAATAAATTTAAATTAGAAATGACCTATCATATTTCTTTCTTAACATGATCATGCATATGTACAAATTTTAATGACCTTGGAAAATCAGAAGAGGTATGAATTTGTAATGTTTGATGACTTTTAAGCAAAGGGCTTCTGAAATATTGGTCTGACAGAATATATTTGATGTGGGTATATGAGATAAACAGGTGACCCCCAAGCTATGAATAATGGAATATTAATACAACATTTAATTTCTCTCATCAATATTTGTGTTCGATGTTAATAATAATAAAATATTTTAAACAGTTTCCTTTAACTGGTCTGAATGCAAAAGAAATAAAAGTAGATTTAATGTACTACCAAAGACCAAAATCAGAAAATTAAGAGAAGGTTGTGTTGCTCTCTTCAGTATGTGTATAGGGGGAAAATAACTCATGGTGTAAATATTCGCTATATTCACGGTGTTAATAAATCCATGAATACAAGAAACAGTCAATAAGTTTTCGATAAAATTATGAGGTTTTTTTTAATAAAAGATATGAGTCCAAGCTAGCGGAAGTTATACATAGATATACATGTAAATACACGGTCGTTCAGTAAATATCTAGAAATATGTCCATAGGACATGAATGCCCCGTAATGCAACATGAAAATTTGTATTAGTGTATGAAATTTGATGAGAATATCTTGAATAGTTTCTTTAAAATTGAAATTGAAATCTAAAAAGTTGGATATAGATGATAAATTCTTGCCAAATTATGTAAAAGTGCATAAATTTACATAAAAATATCTTATATGGTTCTTTAAAATTCAGCAAAATGCAAATCAAAGAAAAGTGAGGTCAAGGTCACAGGAAAGTTCAAGGTCAAATGCTTTTGATGCAGTTGAATACGTCTCACAAATACGCATCAGCATATTTAAGTTTGATAAAAATATTTTGAATGGTTAATTTAAAACTGAGCTTAACACTAATTTAAAATAAATGAAGTTAAAGTCAAAGGAAAGGTCAAGGTCAAAAAATGTTGATGCAGTTGAAAAGGTTACATCAATATGTATTAGCATATGAAGTTTGATAAAAATGTTATGAATGTTTTCTTTAAAACTGAGTCAAACACAAATTGAGAAAAGTGAGGTCAAGGTCAAAGGAAAAGTCAAGGTAAAAAAATATTGATGCAGTTGAATAGCTTACATCAGTATGTATCAGCATATGAAGTTTGACACTAATTTAAGAAAAGTTAGGTCAAGGTCAAAGATGGTCAAGGAAAAAAATGTTGATGCAGTTGAGTAGCTCTCATCAGTATGTATTCACATATGAAATTTGATAAAACTGTATTGAATGGTATGTTTAAAACTGAGCTAAACACTAATTTAAGAAAAGTGAGGTCAAGGTTAAAGGAAAGGTCAAGGTAAAAAAATATTGATGCAGTTGAAAAGCTCTCACCAATATCTATCAGCATATGAAGTTTGATAAAAATATCTTGGATAGTTTCTTTGAAACTGAGGTTTGAACAGAGCTAAATGCAAAGTGTGACAGAAAGACAGACGGGAGGACGGAAGACAGACATGACAAACACTATATGCCTCTGCCATATCCATGGTGGGGCATAAAAATGGAACTTGATGTTTAATTATTTCAATTATTTAATTTCCACATTTTCCTTTTCATTCAGATCACAAGATAAAAACTCATATAATTTTTCATTGAACACCCATTAGCCAGTTAATTAAAAACACAATATCGGTTATGATTACCCATGCATTACAAATATGACCTTGGGCACTTGTCTCATAACGAAAATTTGGCAGTATAACTCTGGTACATTTGTATTTTTTGTTTATATTTATTTGTTTAAAAAAAGCCCCGAGTATTGTTCATGTAGTAAATATATCTCACTGTTCTTAAGTGAAACATTACATACCAAGTTGTCGTTCTTGCTATACAATATATATACATAAAGGAAGGTAACTTTTATAAACAAAAAATCCGCGAATTCAACAAACCGCTATCTTGTCAGAAGAAAAAAAAAACATGAAAATTACAACACGTGAAATTAATCCCCTATACAGTAAATACAGGATTATTTTTGCTTGGAGTTATTTTCACCTATCACACAAACTATTTTGCTAGCGTTTTGCTCGTTTGCTCAGATGCAGTTGTGCTCTCAGAGAAATAACACTCTCTCTCTGCTGAATTTGTCCCATTTTCAATTCACCCACTGGTGACTAAGGCAAAAGTTTTCCCTGTATACAGTAAATTTGAATGAAATTTGATAATACATGTATCTTGAACATGTTTTTTTTTTTCAAACAGTGAACTGAGCTGACTGCAAACTCAAGGAAAGTGAGGTCACAGTGACAAGGAAGGTCACTGCAGAAATACTGAGACAGATATATTGCTCTATGTCCAAACTTTGATAAATAAAGGATCTCCCATGGTTTGTGGTTGGATATAAATTTTGCCCAATGAGTTAGGTGTCTTCTATCCCCAAGCCTTGGTGAGGGGATAGAAAACACGAGTTGGATAAAAATTATATCCAACCACAAACCAATGGTAGATTGTTTTCATCACGTTTTACATATAGCTACTGTATACATAGTTATTTTCGCTCCGTGTTATTTTCGCCATTTCAACTTACAAATTTGCCTCATTTTAAATACGCCCAATCACAGTTCTGTTTAAGATGTTATATGAACTGGTCCTGTGTTAAATTTGCCCTTAAATAATCCTGAATAATTTCAAACTGAACAAAATGCAAGGTGGGACAGATGGACAGACAAAAAGAAAATTCAATGTAAGGATGAACATGTAAATGACCATATGTTCACCAATATACTCTGAATTTTCCTATTTATTGAAAATTCTTAAGTGTTGAGAAAATAAAATTCACTGATTTTGAAAATTTATCATACCGTGTTTGTGTGTTAGGGGTTTTTACACTGATGGAGCTGGATTTGTTGAATGCAGCCTGACTGTTGAAAGGTTTCAGCTTCCCTTTATGAGCCTTCCAGGTCATTGGACGTGCAAGACTAGCCTGAAGGTCAAAGGTCGGTCTTTTGGCTGACATAGAACCATTTAAAGTGTTGTTTAGTGAGGCATTGAATTTGAATGGTGTAGCTGAAAGAACAATATTTTAATACAACAGTTAATTTTTCTACCATACTAACAATTTTTCTTTGCAGTACTTGAAATTAAAACAAACTAATTCAGAAAATTTGTGTGCCCCACTTCAGGAAAAGAGAAGAGGGTGGAAGAAATGAAAAAAAATATGCCGAAGGAGAAAGAAAATAAAATCAACCTTTTTGCCTTAGTCAATAAGGGTTTTTTTTAGTGAAAGAAATTCATGACAAGGTTTCTTGCAAAAGCTTACTGAGAACTAAAGTTATCACCTGAAATGTTTGTATGCAACATAAAAATTTCTGACCTTGGTCTTCGACTTCAACCTTTGATTTCAAAATAGGAGTCTTTCATATTGACAAAGGTATAAAATTTCATTGCAAAACCTCAAAAAGAACTAGAGTTATCACCAGGAAACCATTTTATGGAAGATATGAATATTTGATCTTGAGCTTTTAACCGAAAGAAAAGGGATCTTCTTTAAGTCATTGGGAGTAATGATGTATAATTTCATAGAAAAGCTGAAGAAAAACAAAAGTTATCATCTGGAATCCTTTTTTTTTTTTGCATTGTATAAAATTTCTTACCTTGAGTTAACCTTTTGACTTAAAGATCAAAAGGGGTCTTCTGCTATGATATATAACTTCATTGAAAAAAAGCTCAAAGAAAACTTAAGTTATCATTTGGAAACCTTTTTTTGCAATACAGTCAAACCTTATCTCAAACTTGATGGGAACAAAAAATAAAAAACATTCCAAGATATCCAAGGCTTCGAGAGGGTAAAATACTCTAAGAAAAACATGCTTGGGACTTCCAAATCACTTCAACATATCCATGGTATTCGAGATATCTATGTCTGAGATACTGAAATTCAGCTTTATATGAATTTCTGACCTTGATCTTTGCCCTTTGACCTCAAAAGCAATAGGGTCTTTTTAAAGCCATAAGGAGTTGTGTTATAACATTTCCTTGGAAAAGCTCATAGGCTTTTTATGATATCATCCAGAAACAGAAGTGCTACATAAAGACAGAATAAATGAATTTCTGACCTTGACCTTTTCACCTCAAAATCAATTGTAAACTTACGATATTAATTTCATTGAGGAAAAACTCAAAAGAAAACATAACTAAAGTTATCATCTAGAAACTGCATTTTTGAAATGTATGAATTTATGACCTTGACCTTCAACCTCAAAATCTACAGGGGTCTTCTTTAGGCCATAAAAAGGTGTAATATAAAATTTAATTGCAAAAGTTTAAAGGCTTTTATGATATAATCCGGAAATGAAAGTGCTACTCACTTACAGAATGTATGAATTTCTGACCTTGAAGTTTTGCCTTAAAAAATTGGGGTCTTCTTTAGGCCATAAGGAGTTTTTATATGAAGTTTCATTCAAGTGATCAGACTTACTTTCCCTTATTATTCTATATAAAAAAAACCCTCAAAAAAACACTCAAAGAATCTACTACCATGTATTGTGCCAAGACTAAATTGAACATTTTAATTCCTGGACCTGTTATTGTAACATGTACTGGTAACTGAGTGCAGTTTTGCCAATAAAGCTTACTCTTTGACTTGTTAAATGCTGATGAAGTAGACTTTCTGGAGGGTGTGGGAGATGAAAAGTTGAGGTTCATATTCTTTGTGGAGAACACTGTGGGTTTGAATGGCTTGGTAGCTGAACTTGTTCTGGGTGACTTCCTACTTTCTGAGAAGTTCAGGTTCATCTCCTGTGTTGTTAGGACACTTGGCTTGAAGGGAACTGCATTAGGTGTTTTGTTGATAAATTTCTTTTTCTGAAAAATCGACATTTAAACTTCTGAGATATTCCCTGTATTACTCTGTCTTAGTAAGAGCCAATGCAAATAAGATGCATTGCTGTAAATTTTAATCTGAAAAGAATAACAGTACAGTACAATGTGTTTTTTATCATACCGGTTTAATATCATTCTTCTTTTTTTATCATAGTTTTTTCAAATACAAAACCATTTCTTAATAATTCAATGTAAATTCCTCCTCTTATTATCATAGGTAAAAGTGTACACTCTGTTTACTATAATAGAAAACTTTCGTATGTAATATTTTTTTCACACCTTTTCACCCTTGGGACACTCAACAAAACAAAAGATCACACCTATTCAGGTCATGTCAGAGACCTAACCGTCATTGTCTATACACAGTGGCTTGAATTTCGCTTTGAAATTAACCGACAGTGAAGGACTGGGATGATTAGTCACGCACCTGTGCATTTACCTGAGCGATTGACAAGTTACTTGTCTATTTCTTGCTGTACACTAGTTCAGGGTGCAGTTACAGTTTCTATTTAAAACCATTTGCATATGTATTTTTCTTTAATTTGAAGATTGATAATAAAGGTATTTTACAAAATGTTCCAAATGAACCTATACAAACATACATCTATTAACTCAGTCCTCTGATCGCATGGTTTCTGAATTATTCTTCATATTTGTCTACAATCTTAAATTGAGAGATTAATTAAGAAGTCGATTTGATTCTTACAAGCGGCTTTGGATTTTTATCAGTGTCATTTTTTTTTTAATTACGTGGCGACATCGAGTGTAAATCATGGCAAACCGCTTGGTGCAAAAGTGTTTTGTTTAAGTCATGCTATAATTACAGCATTTCTTAGTTTTCCGTAATTCTGTTTTTTCATCTCTATGTATAATTCTCTCATTTTGATTGTATTCAATGTTTTTGGTATTATTTTATTTGAAAGGCAAGGTAATAAAACGAAATGTCGATTGTATGAATTGATCAGAGTTAAAAACGAAAGTAGAAAGATGGATGCTAAGTGATATAAAACTTTGAATTTGAATAGTGTTTAACGATATTTAAATGATTTATTTGATTTAATGATTGAAAAATGTCTTGAAACAATAAGTAAATATGATGATAGTTAATCATCTTGTCATTTAAAGAAGCCTGAAAAGCAAAAACGAAATTAACATAAGATGTGAAAAAGAACACAGGCATACGTGATGTTTCATCATATGGTTTTTTTTTTTTTTTTTTTTTTTTTAGAATTTTAACAGACCATGGTTATTATAATAGTCGCTTATTATAAAGTTTTGGCCTGACAAATAAACTATGATAATAAACGAATTGTACTGTATAATTCAATAAATTTACATACAAAAACACTCCAATTGCATTCTCACAGTCACTATATTACATTGTTAATAAATTGCTCTTGTAATTTCTTAATTGTAATTTTTAAATTGTATTTTTCTCTATATACATTTATATGTAACTGTATGTCATACATGTACTTCAGAGTAAGACCCTATTCTCTGACAATCCTCTGGCCTACAAAACAATAGTTTTACTCCAAGACAGGATTAATATAACATACCTTCTCATCCACTATTGCTGTTGGGGTTTTGTAGCTCTTTAGTTTATTCACCATAGCTAATGTATCATTTAGGATCTGTTTGGTCTTCTTCACAGAATCAGCATAGTTTTCATTCCTTTTTCTTTTCTTTTCAAGGTATTCGTCAATGGATTCCATCTTATCAAAATTTCTTTCATGAATTTTCTTCCAGTCTTTATTTTTTCCTGTGAGTATAAACATCAATGACAAAATTTAACTCTTACAGACAGAAGATCTACAAAACAAGTGTAAATTACATCAACATCAAATGTCCTAATAGGTAAAATGAGATGTTGTAAAATCGAATGAGCAAATTGATAAAATCCAATCATTTACATATTTAGTTAGGTTTGTTTATCAAGCCATACTCATTAAACATGTTAAATGAAAATCACATCATGTGACCCCCACCACAAGGTTACAGTTTATTGTGAAGGATCAAGCAAATTCAACATACCAGGCGTTATTGGCTTGGACTCTGTTTCTGTCTCCTGCTTCCTCTTGGCAAGAAAAGCTGCAAATCGGGGAATCTGTGTTTTAGTTTCAATCTCTTTTGGTGTCTTCATTACTACAAAGAACAAATTGCATATTAAGCTTTGGAAAAAATAATCTTTAGATTTTCACGTAATAGTAAAGTAAATATGTTAAAACATACTCCATTATAGTCCCATATAAAAGTTTATTCTAGGAAATAAAAATTATCGCACAACCTCAAGTATATATAAAAGCCTAAAAACAGTTCTGAACCTTTTTATATTAAACAAGGTAAATGGTTTTCAAAGTTAGTGGAAACTCTGCTAGGTTCCCATGACATTATGTTCCCATGAACTAGCAAAATTTTTGTTGCCCACGAATACTGTCCCCTACGAAATTGATTCCACGATATGCCGGCCTGCAGTTTTCCTTTGATGACAGAAAGTACAACAAAATAATTATGGCTTTTAACATCACCGACTCGAAAATTCTTTTATATGTTTTCCAGTACTACATCATGATTCATACTGGTAAAATGAGATTTAGTTAATGCTTACCTGTTAGATACATGTACATTGAACACCAACTTATACCATTTTATTACTTTTAAATGAGGTTTTCTTTACAGAAACACTTACCAAGTAACTCTTTCCTACCTTTGTCTGACTTTTTCTCTGACTGAGGTGTCTTGACAACATATGTACTCCTTCTGGTGTGTTCTACTTCAGGGGCCTTGTCAGAGTGTAACTCAGGAGTGGGGACTTTCTCAAAAGTGGACCTTCTCCTCTTTGTCGGTGGCTTAATTTTAATAAAAATAATTACATGACATGGAAAATAAACAAATAGATGAAATGTTTTGAAGATACTTCATTTGAAAACCCTCTAATTTTCTGTCATGCAGGGATTAAGGAAGATGACAGATGGCATTTCTAAATGATTTTACATCTGATGTTGGTTAATTCTATTGTCTAATAGACTTCTACATTCAGCATAAAACAATCAAAGATCCCATCACTGGAAACTAGGTACATAAACAGATCAATGTTGTCAATTTTAAAGCTATTTAGTGTTCAATATTTTTACCTATGGATATTATCATTTAGGTCTGTTAAAAACATGTTTAAATAACGACAAGATGTCTTTGTGAAGCATGTCATTTTTGGAAAGTGAGACTTTTAGAACAAAACTTTTTACACTGTGAATGAGTGATGATATTAAATCATAATTTTCTGAGATCAAAAAGATCGGAGTATACAGCTTTAACCATGTTCATGTTACACACAAGAACAAGTTACAATTTTGAAAGCAGTAAGAAACTATTGTGCCAGAGATTTGGTTAATAAAGAACATAAATAACTTTCCACATTTACTTACAAGAACATTTTAAACGGGATCCTAACTTTCCCTTATTTTGAAGAAACACAAACTCAATTACCTCTGGAGTTGGCTCTTCTGGTATGGATCTTTTCTGATGAGAACCTGACCCAGAGGATGTAGTGGTGGATTGAATTTCTGTGGCTTTGGAGGCTTTTGGAGCAGGTTTAGGTGAACTGATATTTTTTGGAGTCTTCTCATCTTTCAGTTTTCTAGCCACAGGAACTACTTTTGATGCATTAGGTGTTTTCACAACATTAGGTGTCTTTGTTGTGGTTGGTGTCTTGGAGGCCTTCCCTATTGTAGACTTTGGTGTGACACCATTGTCATTTGACTGAGAGATGAAAAAAATCAAGCATCTGTCTGTGATTCTGACATTAAAACTACTTACTACCTATATGATTTTTGAAAGGTCATTCATATTTTTACTTCAAATGCAACAAGTTCACACAAAAAATGTTGCTAATTTTCTCAATTTTAACGGCCTTGGCTCTTGTACCAAAAAGTAGCATGAGCACCCTGAAAACGTAATTTTTATGCCTTTGATTCCATACCTGAGGCTTTTCCATGTTCTTTGTCTTTGTCTTGAAATGGTCTAATAAAGCTTTCCTTAGTTTATCAAGCTGCAAATTAAAATGAAGTAGATCTGAACAACTGATTGATATCCACAGCTTGGGACAAAATAAAATATGATGCAGAAACAAACTTATCCACTTAATTACATTTGTTTGAGGTAGTTTAAATATAGGGATTTTTTTTTTCAATTAATTGTAGATGTTAGCTTTTATTTCCATCTTCTAAATCAGTGTTTTCCCTAAGAATCGGCTACTGGCCAAATTTACCACTTCAATTGATAAAAATGCCGTAACTAGTAGTGTACATTACATGCAAAACAGTTAACTGTGACAACTGGACAACTTTTATTTAAAAGTTTCAGTAAGAATTTATTAAGACAAACTGACATCAGACAGAAAACAATTTAAATCAAAGGAAACAAAGAAAAAAAGCCTCCACCACCGACTGACTGGTGGCAGAGGCGCAAACATCTTTAAAATAGCCCAAGTCCCTTAAGTAGCATTGCTTAATCAAGAAAATAGACTGAGTCAAAACACTCCCCCTCAAAAAAAAAACCACACACACACACATTAATAACAAGATAAACAAAAACAGCTTGTATGGAACAGGGTTGGTCGGGAAATACCAGTGTTGGGAATTACCAGTGGTAAATACCGGTATTTCCCGTCCTGGGAAATACTACAAATTTTCTCTAAACTGGGAAATATTGGGAAATACAAAGTTAAAGTTTTTTATTTCTTTAATTCATTCAATCTTTTACAAAATTTAAAAATAAAATAAACATAGAAACAGATGAATAATATGGAATATATATCTCAAATTGTAATTTAGCATATTCAGAGTGTATCATTACTCTGGAGGTCCCATACTCATAAGGATTCTGAAACATTTCCCTGGCTGTATATAACTGAAGTTTTCCAATTCAAACTTCTTTTCAGTTTTGTAAAATTTCTAAGTTTATTAATCATAAATCCAAGAACAAAAAAAAACAACATGTTTTTATCCTTTTATAAACACTGTAGTTATTACAAACAATAATGTTGTTTTAACAAATTGCTTTGGACAGTTTTGTGCTCCTGTTTTGAGAGATAATTACTTTGAGAAGAACTGAAAGGCTTCAATCTTCTTAGGTTTGATATTTATACCATACTGTACATTTAAGAATTTTCTTAGATCCTTCTTTCGTTACATAGAAAACCCAATTGGGATCTTTGGGTTCATTTCATGGACCTTTATAGACTACATCTGACTCAAGCATCAAACAAATGACACTCACGACTGGTATATGAATATACTGTGATGTGATAATATAAAATGAATTACTTGGAAACCAGAATTTTTGAAATTAGGGACAGTGATACCAGGTAGATATCTTAGCCAATAAGGTGTACTACATGTCAATATGAAAGAAATATGTAGCTATTTCTTATTTCCCAGTATTTCCCTGGAAATACCAGTAATTCCTGGTAATTACCAGTATTTCCCACCGTCCTGGGAAATATGAGTATTTCCCAGTTTTTTGCCAACCCTGGTATAGAATAATAGTGCCAAGAATGCTATGTATTGTACATGCAGCAATGCTGCTGGGAGATTCCAACACACAGGCACCTGATTAATTTAACCACCCCCCCCCCCCCCCCCCCCTCGGCCTCCCTTTCTTTCTGAAAAGCAAGATCTTTAAATTAAGAAAATTTATAAAAAAGTAAATGAATTTTTATCCTATCAATAAATTCTGATATCTGACTGATATTATTTCCATGTTTTGTTTAAATGTGAGAGATTGCCCCTCTATGGGTATGTAATATACATGTACTAAAAAGGTAGGAAACAAAACTTTATCAACAAACAGAGTGCCAATGCTTCAAGAGAATATTCAACAGTTATACAGCATTAATAATGGACTTTAAGCAAGAGCCAGATAAGAGAGATGAAGCTCTACAAGTTTTTCCATTCACATCCTGTTAAAATGTTTTATTTGTCCTAATTTAGCAACTATTATCAGAGTTCTCCACATCTGAAAATTTAACCATGGAGGAAGCTGCGCGAAAGCAAATTGTGATCAAAAGCAGAAATGAATGTTCGAGTTCATCTAGATTTCAAAATCAATGGTTGGTTTCATGGATTAATTTATTTACCATGGCAACAACAATAGTTAAAATTAAAAAAAAAAGAAGCAGAATAATATATCTTAGTGAAGCTTACAAATGAACCAGTTTATAAAATTGGATCAAAACTTGGAAGATGAACGTTTTGATAGAAGAAATTTCCTAGGCCACAGTAACAATGATCACAGGGCTCAACATTAACGCTTGTCCGGTACCAGTGGAAAAAAAATACGGAAAAGGTAATATTGCTGGGCAATTGGACAAGTGCATTTTAATGTAAAGAAGTGTTCAAATAATAAAAAGAACGACTGTTGAAAGTTCATCAGTAAAGACAGAAGCAGTGCATAAAAAACGAACTTCGATCCCAATATGGATCGCTATGTAATTGAGTTCACACTCGATCGGGATCAAAGTTCACTAATTGCACACTACTGCAAAGGCATGAAAGTTACGTCGAATTAGAAGTTTAGATTCTGTTTGATGTTGACAGTTTCATTTGTGAACATTTATGTTGTTGTCAGGATAGAAAGTGTAGATAAAATTTTGTTTTTATGTGCTTGTTGTATTTATCAATAACATCACAAATCAATCACATGTAATGGACTTTGTTTTAGTTTTCAAGTTGACAGTATTGTATCTTTATTGAACAATTTTCGGACAAGTGAAGTTGAAGTTCGGACAAGTAAATGTCTTGGTCACTTGTCCGAATGGACAAGTAGGAAAAAAGTTAATGTCGAGCCCTGGATCAACAACCCATATACAGAATAAATGTTGCTCGTTTTACAAGTTTTATTGAAATCAGACCAAAATCTTTGAAGTAGTATTTTAATTTTTTTTTTTTTTTTTAATAAAAAATTGATATCTTATTATGGTTTTAACTTTGAAAACTTACATATGATATTATATTTATCATGATTTAATATAAAGTACTAGGACATCATTTGTGCTAGTACATATTAGATTTGTATAACTTTTCTCAAGTAAGTTGTTTTTTGAATTTGTTTACAAATCATGTGCTTCTTTTGATTCTTCCCTTGTGTATTTATTATATGTGTAATAGAGAACAAAGATGCCTCTGTGGTCAGACCTCCTGGTCAGACAGATGCCTTGCACAAGTGACAGTATCCTGTGATTTCCACCTGTCACCAACCCCCAATGCAACACATTCTATTAAAGATGCAAACATTTTCAAGTGGATGATGAATTTCATTATCATAAAAATATTAAATAGGACACAAAGTAATAATCTCGGTTGAGATTCGGCTGGACTAGATATTTGGTCTGATGCCCAGGCGTCAGACCAAATATCTAGCCCAGTCGAATCTCAACCGAGATTAACAAAGTAATGGAACTATATTTTGTTTTATATATAACATGCCCCTATTCATAATTAATGTCGGCGCAAGGAAAAATATGGGAAGAGCGTGTGAATTTTTCACATGCGCTTTCCTGTGTGAAAGTGCTCTAAAAATTATTTGTTTGCCCTGCTTTATTAATGCTTAATTAATTCACCACTTCTGACAATATCTTGCAATATTGTGAATATACTGGAAATCGTGCCGTTTCTCAATTTCATACACCAAGTCAAGAGAACATGGCCTTACTTTCATGTTTGCTTTGATTCCATTTTGCTTTGCTAACTTTTGAAGCTCATTATACTTCATTTTCTCCAATTTACTGTCATCCATCGTTGAAATGTTGGCACTGATACACTCACACAAGTTGAAATGGCCGCCTTGTTTTGAAATGGATTAATGCAATTTCATTGGTTGACAGTCTTGTAAATATAGTAAGTCGTACGTAAACATTTCGTTTTTTCCCATTTGTTTTCTCTATTACATACCATATCATAAAGAGCAATATGTTGTTGAACCACTAGAATTATAGAAATGTAATAATATAGCAAAATAAGGAAAATTAACAGTCTAAATTTTATCCGAATCGTAATATGAACGGTTTAATGTACTTTCAATTTCACAGTCGAAACCCGATCAATCAGTGATGTGCTGGGGTCTACATTCAGTCACTGCATTTAGTTATTGTTAATGTTTATGTATTTGCTAAAATGGCAAAAATTCCCCAAAGTCGGAAAGACTTCTTAAAAGAGGCAGAGAAAAGTGGAAATGCAGATACAATTTCACAGTTGATGGGGTTGTATTTCGTTGTTGTTCTAGCCATTTCAACATCATGGGTTTTAGGGACTTTACAGATGGCATTTTACTGGACATTTCTTCTCTTTGGGGTAATTTTTGTTGTGTGGAGAACTAAATTAAGGCAGATATTGAGAAATAAGATATTTGCAGTGGAATGTCTTATTCACAGAAAAAGGGCATTGCGTCAAGATGAATCGAGTGAGTGGCTGAACTTCATTTTAAATAGATGGTAAGTCAGTTTCATTCTTTTGTCAAGTAGACGTGCTCTTTAACTAAATACTACAGGAGACAATTACTTCACTGTGCTATCAGTTTTATTTTGTTAATTTTTTCTTTTATAAGGATTAATTAATTGAGTGCTTATTAATTCCTTTTTAAAACAAACATTGCAATTAATGAAAATATATGCTCGAGATTGCAATTAATGAAAATATATGCTCGAGAAAAAGTGAAGTCTTAAAGAATAAAGTAGATCTTGCAATATTATTGATTAATTGAAATAATCTGAATTATTTTGCATAGTTTCAATATGAACATTTGACATATTAGTGCAGCTGCTTGTACAAAGAATTAAGAGGATTGCAAACATATCTTAATTTTATTTATTTTAACTCCCATCTACTCGGAAACATAGGTTAAACATGGTATAGTGGTCTAATTTATTCATACCGTAATATTTCACAATAATTTAGTATCTAACTGCTGATTAAATTTAAGTGTCATGTTCATTGCTTGTTTTAAAAACAAAATTTATTTTGAAATTTAATGAAATTTGTACAAATTTCTTAACAAGTAGCTTGCAATAAATATGCATTAACAATACATATGTTTGTTATTTTAAAATGCTTAAAGATAACCTCACTTCGTAATTTTAATAAATGGATTGTTAAGAGGCTTAAAGTATTACTTATAATCAGATTTATTACCTTTGAGACGGTGAAACTTGAAATTTTGCTATATAGTTTATAGCAAGAGACCAATGCAAAATGAACACATGCATTATTTAAATGCTTTGGATGAAAGACATGATGTCTTTGATAATCATGATGATTAGAGAATCCTACGGTTTAAAAATTCTTATCTACAAAATTCATAATCAAAAATTTATATGTTCAGATATTATATCTACACTGTTCCAGGTTTACTGATTTTATAAAAGGAAAAAAAAAAGAAAGATGGGGAAGTAGCAAATCTAACCTGACAAAATTAGGTCAAGCAGTATTAGAAGAAACTGTTTTTCCTTTTTATATTTTTTGACTTCATTTCATGATCAGTGAGTTATGCAAATATACATAAATCTGAAAAAGTCTTCAAATAAACAATTATTTATAGAATATTTGTCAATAAAATGACAATGTAGACCTACATATCTGTCAATTCTGCACAAAATATTGTACAAATTTATGTGCAAATTTGTATGTAGATATGGGAAAGACTTTTACAACTGTAAGTCAATGCAATCCAGAGAAATCATTGTATTATTTAAATATGCTAAAATGTCTGAATATAAAGAACATTTTTTTCCTGTCACTGACTTTAACATAGATTTATGACTATGAATTCATGCATTGAGTATTTCAGAAAATACAATAATTTGTTGACCTGAGTTATCTGTAATGTGATTCAGCATTTAATTCATCATATGATTCATTAACTTAATGAGTCTTTTTTTGTTTATTGTTAATTATAGGTGGGTTTTTGCATCCAGTAGTATCCAGGACATTGTAAAGAAACACATCAATGATCGCTTGGTGTCCATCAAGCCAGGATTCATTTGTAAGACTTCAGAGCCAGTACTATTTTTTATAACTAGGTTATAGTAATTTGTTCAGTAGATATAGGTAATTCGAAAGGTAGTGTATGATTGTTGAGGCATCAGCTTCATCCTTATAATTCATAAAAATAATTCATGGAGTGTGAATTTCTGCATGGATGCATTTACTGTAGCCAATAAACATATAAATAATTTCTAAACAGCTTCAAGAGATGAAGAATGCATTATACAGTTTCTGGCATTTTAAATACATTTTTGAATTATTCTACACATTGAAATAAAAATACCCTGCCTAAATATTAAAATGTCCTATTGATCAGTCACCCATAAGCATAAAATGTATGTATGGCCCTAGCCAGCCAGTGGCAAAAAACATCAATAAACAGATTCATATTATTTACCTGTGTTCGGTTGACAAAGTTTATTATTGATTTCAAGGTTTTCGAAAAAAGTATGCTTAATAGGTTATCATATTTTTGTATCAAATGTCAAATTATTTATCAGATTTCAATTGTTATTATTTTACTTCAATCAAATTTTAGAAGTAAAGGGTTTGAAAACTGGAATGAAAAATTAGAAGAATATTGTATGTAAGAATGTATAGTGCTATGTATAAAGTTGAGTAAACAAAACAAAACAAAAAATCCCAAAGAGGTAAGTAATTAGTTGGGAGGATTTGAGTCTAGATTGGTGTAATCCTACTCTAAGTAATTTATTTCTGTATCTATGCATACAGGCTTTTTACTTATGTAAGGACATTTTTTGTTGACAAATTTTTTTTTGAAAAGGGCAGTTAAAAAGAAATTATTTGCAGAGCTCTTAAGCTTTTCTTCTGACACGCAGTTGATATGTAGTATAGAGTAGAGCAGTTTAATAAATTTTGGTTTCCTTAAACAAGGTGAAAACATAGATAAGAGACTGCTATATTGGGTTATAAGTGAAGATTACAGAGTGATTTATTAGTGGTGACAGATAGATTTGGATATTTACGCATTATATCCAGAGCGATTGAAAACGTAATAAACTCTGGATATAATTGTCAAAATGTTGAATAAATGATCAAGTAGTAGATGTATTATATGACAATGATTAGGAATATTTATTTTATTGATTGCTTGTGGTTTTGAGATTTAGTATATACATAAAGAATTGATTCAGAAAAGTCAAGGTCATTCTATTGGTAATTGGTAAATAACAAACAGACCTGGTAAACAGTATTTTATTTTTTGCCAAAATAAGTGAGAGAGAGACAAGCATGGTACATTTCAGTATAATTATCAAAGCAGTCTGAGCTTATGCAAACCTCCTTAATAAATAAAGGGAAAAAAATCTATGTACATGATTTAAATTTCATTAATAAGACAGAATTACATTCAAATGTTCCATTTGTTTAAGAAATTCATGATTTACTAATTCTTTTGAATTAACAGCTCAATTACATCTATCTGCATTCACATTTGGGGAAACCACTCCTACAGTCCAACATATAAAGGCTTTCGAGCTGACCGATGGACCCCCCTTTGGTCGTCGACCCATTGCATGGAGTTCTATTTGGAGCCCACCCCCGGGGCTTGAGAACATGTCCTCCTATCAGGTAGTACTGGAGCTGGACCTACAATCCCATCTAGAGGATTTTCTTATGATGTTTGTGGCCAAAGTGGGCAGTGGGAGGTATGTAAGAAGGTCAAATACAATCAGAAGTATACTTGATGAATATATCATATATACCATAATGGGTAATTTTTGTGGCTTAAAATATTTGTGGTTTTAAAACTCTACAAAGCAACAAAGTTAATTTCTGTTATTGTAGATTTGTGATTTTGACATTACTGCAAAGTTACTGCAGAAATTATCTGTTTTACTGTATTTTTCGAAATCTTATGTTTTGGGGTTTTTTTTAACATGCAACAATAAGTTGCATGGTAAATGTGTTTAGTAATCTAGAGTAATTCTGAAAAGTATGCACTATTTAGTCATTCTATCTGTGGAACTTGTTCTTTAATAAAATGTCCCATTTCTGTTTGATTAATGAATAAATGGAGACTTTTTCAGGGCTGGACTGAACTTTGATGTTGCTGTGGAGGGGCTGTCAATAAATGGAAATCTACAGCTTATATGTAACATGTCTATGGACGTACCATTTCCTCATGTTTCGAAAGTCACTGCATCCTTCAGAGAAAAGTAAATACCATACAATCATTGTTTTCTTTAGGTCACTTCTAGTGTAAATCCCAATTAAAATGAAAAAAAATCATCCAGAATATCTAGTTTGAGAATCAGGATAATGCAGACATGAATATTCTCATATCTTGCAGGCCAGATGTCTGGTTTAATGTTAAGGTTTTGAAGTCATTACAAATTATGGAGGTTCCATTACTGAAATCCTGGATTCAGGCAAACATTGATGATGGGATTACTAAAGGTATGGTCTTTCTGAAAGGAATTTAGTGTCTAAAAATATCTTAAGTTTCATATACTTTTTATAAATCTTTAAGCATATAATTTTTGCATTATTTTGTGGTTTAATCAAGTGGTAAATTCTAATTCTGTATCCTCAATGTAGGAAATTAACTGAAGGAAAGATTAAATCAACAACATTGATTTAAGGAATAACTGTCTAATTTTTTGGTTTCATGATTTGATCAATCGATTGGCTTTCATGATAATTTGCATCACGCAAGCCAATCGATTAATCATCGTCATAAAACCAAAAAATCTGACAGTTATTCCTTATACCGGTATTTACATGCTCTTGATTCTCAAATTCACGTGCTACAAGCCCCGCTTCTATCTCTATTTCTCCCGCCCTGCACGTGATTTTTTTTTTTCACCACGCCTATCGATGAATCAGCAGATTTATGTAGAAATAAAGTTTTTTACTATTTGAAATTTTATCTCGGACAAAGACATTGGAAATGTAAATATAAAATTACAAATACATGTACAATGATTTGAAGTTGCAGAACTTATCTCTTATTTGATATAATAAAAACATTATCTATAGAATAAAAAATAGTTTTCTGTGTAAAATCTTTTAAAATTTTTTTGTAGCTTTGGTTGATCCTGGTAAAATTGATATTCCCATTGTGAAATATGCAGGGCCTTTAAGACAAAAAACACAACCAAATTCACAGTCCAAAAAGCTAGGTAAGGAGGAAAAAGGGAAGTTTACATATTTTCTAATTTTTAAAATACTCTTTATTTTAAATTTAATAAGGGTACATGTGATGCATGTATCAAGATAAAGTGTACATTATCCTTAATGTATATCGGAAGCCGTTATCTGACCTAAATTATGCATATTTAAATCAATATTACTTTTAGCTCATTATTCCATTAACTTTTTTCAGCACAAGGAGTTCTGACTATTTCACTTAAAGGAGATGCTTTTCAAAGTGAAGGCAAGTTTTTTAAATGTGTGTGATATATCTCAAATAATCAAAAAATAACTTAATGGAAAATAATTTCAGTATGTTTACATGGGCTAGTTTTATGACAATTTTTAACATCTAATGGAGAAGTTTAGGTGTAAGATGTAAATATGATCAATCGCAGGGTAAATTGTGCTTGAAATAATTTGTTTTTTTGAAAATGAATAGAGTTTGGAATTCTTGGTGAGTTCCCAAGAAATAATACTTTGCTAGATGCAAGTAGATAAATAGAAATGTGTAGCTAGAAAAGAAACTATATAATGTTTTCCATGCTGTACATTTGTATTGTTTCAAATATGGTACATTTTCTGTCCTTTACATACCGGTACATGTAGATCGAGTGCTGGATATACTGTTAAATATCTTTGGGGTAAATTTACAATCCTTTAAAAATTAAAGAAATTATTTAGCATATTATACTTGCATATATTTATATGTCAATGAGAGCTGATGAAAGCAGCTATATGAACAAGGAAGCATATAACAGAATAAAACAGGATAAAAACATTTTCTCATACATTTACTCCTACTGTGTGCTCATCTTACAACAAAACTTTTTTCACAACAGTGAATACTTTCATGAATTTGTTGTTAAAAGTGGGTTTACAAAATATTAAAGTGATATTTATGTACCTGTTGCCAGGTAAATAAAGCAGATTTATTTATACTTTGCAGATTTATTTTTTAGTGAATTATACATATAATCAGATCTTCAAAGCCAGTTTCAGTTGTAGTGTGTATTAAAAATAATTTTCCTACATGTACAAACTTTGCAAATTTGGACATTCATAAAAACATGAAAAATCTCTTACCATCAGATTATTTGCTTGGCTTATATATATATATATTATTTGGATTCATTACATTTGTAGCTACTAAATCAGTTTTTGAATACAAAGTTTCAAGTTTTTACTTTTATCATCAGTGAAAGCAACTTCATTTGAACTTTATTTTCCAGCATTCATATAATATGTGTTTATATATACCGTAAAACATATTTTTAGTGAAATGCTAGTGGTGAAAAATTTTGATATGTTATCAACATAACTCTTCATATCCGTAAAGTTCACATTATGCTTTAAAACTGCAGGGAATGAAAATGACTTCACTCTAGGTATGAGTTAATGTAGTTACCCTTCAACGTGCATAGATAAAATAGCAATATACATGTATATGTTCAACGTGTATAAGTATTTTACCTTAAAAAAATTATGAACACAGACAAGATACATGTATGTTCAGTATGAGTTTTAAACCTACATGTATGTTTCCTTTAAAAAAATAGCAGGATCTGTGTTGAATTTATGTTCATAAACAAGCATTAAATACATATATGTCTCATATATGAATATTTTAGAATATGTTTGACTTGTGAAATCTGAAATATGTTCAACATATGAAAACAAATGTTGAAATATATGGTAGGCATACTACTAAGAAATCATGTTTTTAATTAGCATATATTGGACATAACATATTTCTTTCTTTTTGTATGGTTAACATGCATCATCACAAACCATAGGTTTTTGTGTCCATATTATTTCCACAAATTAGGCTTGTTGAAATGAAATGGACCAAAAAACTAATGACATGGGTTAACATTTGTTGCATTTTTCCTGTCTAGCCATACATCAATTTACCCTTACAAATGCATTCCTCTAAATTTAAAGTCAACTATTCCTTTCTCTTTAAACTTGCTGTAAACTAATTAAAATTCATGAATCAGTGAAATGCAAACTTCACAATGGTAAACTGAGGAAAAAATAAAAAAAAAATATATATATATTTTAAAATAAGTGTGGAAAGAATGTAAATATAAGTGGTAAATGATTACTGTAGACCACCTAATTTTTGCGACACCTTATTTTCGCGAGATACATATTTGGTATTTATAAGCGAATTCTGGTTATTGGTGTATGTAATCTATACTTCTCAAAATATACGAGAAAATGAAATTTTTGTGACCTTACAATGTAGTGTAATTACGCGAAAATAAAGTTCTCACGAATAAAAAGTGATTTACAGTATTATGGCTATTATGTCCTAAATTAACCAGGTTTGCTTATGAATTATTGTTATGTGTGTTACTAAATATGAAGTATGCACAGCTTGTGTGATATCTGATGCAATGAAATGCAAAAATAATAGATCAATACTCGAATATATCTTGTCATTCATTCTCTTCAGACTGCTGTGGACCATTAACCCAATGTTTCTTTCTTTAAAATTGATTTAACATTGCAGACAAGAGTGCGGTCCTGTACACAATGTTGAGAATTGGAGACCTGAAGAGACAGACAGCTGATCACCTGTGTACAGATGACTGGACAGACACCAGCTCTTTCTTTGTCTACAATATCAGTAAAGACTCTGTGAGTCAACAGATCTCCTATAGATACTGGTTTATTATTAACTGCACAACTATAAATCATGGGTTAACAAATTTATTTAAGTGAAATTCAAGTAAAATAAACTCCAAAGCTGGATATTAATGAAATCATTAAAAAAAAAATTGTACTTATGTTACTCTTGTTGCAATGGAAAGATCATCATTTCAATGTCCTTCATTGTTGAAGCACTTTTTTCAAAGTTTGGAGATATGTTTTTTATTTTGTGTGTTTTTTTTTTTTTTGCAGTTGGTGGTAAAGAACAAGTGCCGTCGACTGCTATCTAATGTGACGTTGGACAGACATGACCTGGAGTTGTCATCATTCCCTCTAGAAGTCAAACCAGTGTAAGCAATCATCTGAATTATCGCTGTGTATTTCAAGAAGTGTAAACAGATTTAATTTAACTCAAAGTTTATTTTTATTGCTTTTATGGTATGATGAAACAGTGAAGTTAATTTTTTAGTAATAATATTTAACTTAGATAAAACTTGTACTGTGTAAAGCTTTATTTTTATTGTATGTTTAATTTTGCTGTTCTTGTAGAAAGAAGAATCAATGAAAAATTACGTAGTAGTCAGATCATCTTCAAAAATTGAAAAAAGTAAAATGAATAGAAAATAAGAATTTCCAATGAAGCAAAAACATTCTTTTTTTTATATAAATATAACACATGAGAACTTCATAAGTAGGTGAACAGATATGGATAGAAATTGGGGCAACAGTTATTTTGTTCAGAAAAAAATGATCATAAGCAAAATTAAAGCTTTTAAAAAGATTGCTGATCTCTCAGGACCAATGTCTTTAATTCATATATTACAAAATGATTGGATTTTTTTTTGGATAAAAACATATAAAATTCAGGTCCCATGTCACAGTTAGATCTCGAACAAAAAAGACTCATCACTATAGTCAGTGGCTTTAAGTGCCAAGTACAGGTCTAAATTCTCAGCTTTCCACCAGCAGTTGATCGCTCCCAACATAAATGAAATATTCTCAAAGGCTTGCAAAGCAAACAAACAAAAAAATTTAACAATGATTTAGTATTTCTACACTTAGAGTTGGTCACTTACTGATTACGTTCCCCCTTACAGAGCTACAACCACCCTGGAGAATAAGAATGGGAGTAAGCTGGAGGTAAAGATGAGGTACACTGAGCTCCCCCCGATCTGTCTGGATCCAGGAGTGGACACAGATCCAGTTGATAATCCAGAAGGTAATGTGATCAGGGAGTGGTTATAAAAAAAAAGTCAAGATAATGGATAACTGTTAATTCACCAGTATACAATTGCCTAGAATGTCGTTATTGAACATTTCCACTACTTTTCAAATATTGATCTATTTTACTGCAATCTTTGGTGATACTAAAAATTTCATTTAAATGTATAATAAATGAGAAATCATACAATGTAGCTTAGTTTTTGTGTAAGATAACTTTTTTCCTGAAAACAGTGGCTGGTGTGATGTACATCTGTGTACACAGTGCTACCAAAGTAATGGCCTCAGATTATGGAGGGTTTTCTGATCCCTACTGTGTGGTCTTCTCAGATAGGAGGAGGGTAAGAGTTTTCTCTTCTTAGTAACTGGTAAGTGTACTCTGTGAAAGACATTTTCACAGATGGAAAACGGATGTTTGACATAAAATCACTGTAGGAAAGCCGATGACCGTAATATAGTTTACGGTCATCAAAACATGTCGGCTGAGATGATCGGTTGAAAATTTTCAACGGCGATTATAAACATTATTCAATAAAACTGAATAATTTAAGGTATTGGTTAAACGAACATCGATGTTATCTCCACACCAGTAGATGTTGTTTACCCAAACAAAAGAAAATGAAATGATAAAAGGCCTTCGAAATTTTGCAGTATGATGACCGTAACAAACACATTCCAACGAGAAGATGATGACCGTAAAACAGTTATATAGATGACCGTAATCTTTGTACAAAATTCATGTTAGATGTTTTATATCTTATTTAACATCAATTCTACATGTTCTATAAGTATTATTTAGAGAACGAGATGGGTTCTGTATCGTAGATACAAATTTTGGGGTGGACGAGTGCGTAGCACGAGTCTCCACCCCCAAATTTGTATCTACGATACAGAACCTGTCGAGTTCTCTAAATGATTTGTGACACGATCAATCAAAGAAAAATAGCTCCGCCCACTTTATAACTGTGCAGCATCCAAACTTCCGTCAGAGTTCTGTAGATGAGGCCTCGATGGGGAGTATACATCCGCAGTATATATATTTCCACGGAAAACGTAAGATTCGGTCAGATCAGTTTTGACAATTAAATGGGGTAGTTGAATCGAGTGATAGTCAGTCTTAATGGATAAGGTGGAGGATTTAACAGTAGTTGTTGTGGTTTGTTGTACATGGAGATTGATCATAATATATTTCAGGGATCTTAAAATCCCGGTTTAACTAGATTTACAAAAACAGGATATACAGAAAACTCTTCGATGAACTTTGATGCCACAGATTTTTATTTTCTAATTGAATTGCGACATTAAAAACGTAGTGAAAGAGACGTGCGGTTGTCGTCAGCGATAAGGATTTAAGATGAAATTTTTAATTGAACGAGTTTGCACAAGGAGAGTGGTATTTTCCATTATTGTGAATTTTCCTTTCAATCGAAATTACGTGTAGATTCTGTGTGGAATATGTTTTTAAAAGTGATTGAGAATTTTTGACATTTTTCATTCCCAGGGAAATATTTCTCCAAAATTTATGATAGAAAAACTTCAGCGTTTACAAACTTGTACGTGCTTTTTAATAAATTGAATCAGATTTATTTTTAGACCGTGCTGTATTTTAGATACAGAATAGTTGGCTAATAGAATACGGTATACAGTGCTAATACAGAACGGAAAGTAGCTCCACCCACCATACACCCGTTCTGTATTGCTAATACAGAAGAGTAAACTTCAAAGAAAAACACCACTGTCGTGTCACAACACCCCTGTAAACAACTCTGATGTGATCGGCAACACTTGAAGAAAATATCGTAAAGAATAAGTTAAAGCAGTTTTGTATGTGCTGGAGTATAACCAACTGTAAATAATGCTAGAAAAGATTTAATTCGGGCAAATATCACCCAGATTAAATTTGTAAAATAATTTCTGTGCAAATGTTACGGATCAAATCGACAATGCTCCAAACATCGAATTTTCATGCTTTGAGATAGTTTAGATTATTATCATCTATCAACATTGAAGGTCATTCTTAGAGGTATGAACTAAACATTTTAAAATTAAAACTGTATACATTAGCATCAAAACAACTTTTAATTGGAAACTTTGACAACTGCGAGGCGATCGTCAACGACATGTATCGTTTATTAAGCGATCGTATAACTGGGAAATAGCGTGAAAAAAAAAACAAATCAGAGTAAATTCTGTTTAGGAAGTGTTATTTCGATGTATAATATATTATTAAATTCAAACAAGGCAGTCGGTCATTGTGATATATCGTTTTTAACCATTAAAATTGACCTACATAAATATCAGAAATTAAACTTAACTATGTTAATCAAGGAGATACTAAGGAAAACAAACTGGAGGGCTCGCAAAGTTTTACCTCAAAGTTATAGCAGTTATAATATCTCATATAATATATTTCAACAGAATAGAATTTATTTGCAGGCACACAGTATTGTTTTTTTTAAAAAAAAAGGGGGGGGGGTAAAATGTAAAATTACCTTAGAAAGTTTGACAAGCAAAATAAGTTATATTTAGAGTACGAGTTTCTTACTGTATCAGAGATACAGGGCGGGGCTTAAGGCGAGAGCGATAGCTCGAGCCGGGCCCCGCCCTGTATCTCCGATACAGTAGGAAACGAGTATTCTAAATGACTTGTGACATGACCTTTCTTATGACCTCGCTAATTTACATGTGTATTTGGGTATATATCTCTCAACTAATCAGATGATTTTGCAGAAAGTCGATTTAGTACCCCATTTTTAGCAATCGCAACTGAAATGTCGAGTGAGGTGGATGTGCAGGTATCTATCAATTGATTTAATTATAATTAGGAGATGCATTATATAATGTGTTTTCCCAAAATTTAATTTATATTTGATTGCGTAGGTTTTTTCCTTTCTATTTCGCTCTTGCTCACTTTTTTTTAAAATCTAAGCTACAAATTTAGTGCAAAACATTTTGGTACATAAGAATCATAAATGGGAATGTATTTGAAGCAAAAATGTTTCGGGGAGGTTGTATTCTGAGAGAAATGTCCGACAATGTCATCGACCGGTCATCATACATGTGTATACAAAATTCTTGGCTCCAAATTGAAATAAACAGATGTAAGAAAGGGGACATATTACCTTCATGTTTGAAACAAAATGTAGAGGCACCAAAGGCAGATCCAGCACTCACTCGCGCGCGTCGGTATCCCCCCCCCCCACCTTTTCGAGATTTTTTTTTTCTTTTTTGGCTTTCGTAAATTATGTTTGCTAAATCAAACTTGTATATTACACTTTTAATTTATAAACACGAAACGATCACGCACATATAGTGTCAGGCCTGATTATGAATCTACCCCCCCCCCCTCACGAAACCCCCGATTTTCCAGTTTGGACATTTTTTTTTCGAAGAAAACCATTTGTGTACTGCCCCAACTCCCTCCTTTCTAAAATTTTTGAATCCGCCACTGGTAACTTTACGTTGTAAAATTCTATTCTTAATTCATCTCAAATTTTGAATAAATACTAACAGCGCTATCATGCGATTTGATTGATTCTTATGTCTATATCATTTAAGATACGGATTCAGTTATCCGTCATCGCTAGAAATAAACCGTACTGTATCGTTGATATTTTGCAGATACAGAACAGTTTCTGCTTATTTGCATAAGAAACGCTCACTAAAAGTATTCTGTATCGCAGTTATTGTACGGCTGACTTCAAAGGAAAACTCGCCGGGTCATGTCACAAGAAAGGAAAATTGTCCAAATTCGAAAAATCCTTTATTGAATGTGTGTGTGTTGGGGGTGGGGGTGGGGGAGTTTGGTTTCTTCTTTCACAATCAAATTTTATTCACAAAGTACCAGAGTATCACTATTTAACTATACTGCCAAAAAAGGGGGGAGGGCAACCAACCTTTCAATAAACATTTCAACTGTTACAGTAAAAAGTTATGTTTAAAAAAGTGGAAGGAAGCAGCCTCACTAACCCCCCCCCAACCAACCCCCAACCCCCCCCCGTCACATTTTGTGATATCCCGATGAGTTGTACAACTCAGAGGCAATAAAGATTTGAATTGAATTGAGTTTAATAGAGTTAGCTATCATTATTTGAAGGAGTTGGAATATGGCCTTTCTGACATATTTTATTTCTTAAATAAAATTTGTAACATGACGACTTTTGTAAGAAAGCAATAAAACATGTCAAAAAGGACACATACCTATCATTTCCCCTAAATTTTCCATATCCCGTAAATAAAAAATATAAATACTACAATAATAACAATTTTCAGTAAAATGATAACACTTGTAATTTTAGTTTAATTGATAGATATCCCAACTCCTGTAATTGTTATTTTTATAGTATAGTGTATTAATTTTTTTTTATTTACTGAAAATTTGGGTAAAATTTATAGGTATGCCAGCTCTTGTGATTGAACAGCCATTCCCTAGACAATAAAACCTGTTTTTCTATAATCCTAAAATTCGGTCCTTCCAATACTTTTTGTTAGTATCTGATTCATTTTAATCGAGTGCCAATAGACAATTATTAGCAAGAGTTCTGGATTTTTGATTTTGCTGTCTTAAAATGTAGACATAATTATCCAAGCAGAAGATTAGAAAATCTGTCAACCCCCCCCCCCCCCCCCCCCGTTCTTAAAAATCAAATGTTCGGTGCCCTGTTCTGTTTCGACAGACTTTCAGCCCATGTAAATCGGTAAACTCTTACTATATTTCATTAAACTGTTAAGGGTATTTAATGAATTTCAAATTGCACGATCGCATGTTTATCATATTTTCTTAGTTGTATGATCGCACACAGAATCGTTGCCGATCGTAAAAAACGTTTGACACGTGTACACTTCAAATCTTTATTTTGACGCTTTCTGTTTGATATTACGGTCATCATAAATTTACGGTCATCCCTCTTCACGGAATAAACTTCGATTACGGTCATCTTAATATTTTGTTACGGTCATCATTCTCAAAAACTTTGAGGTCGTACTTCAGCTTTATTTCCTTAAGTTCAAGTAAGCTATAATAACCAATAGCAAGTTTTCATTAGCGTACATTCAATTTTCAGCGGAATTTACACAGACATGCTATCAAATGTTTGATATCTTGAATGAAAAATTCTTACCGGTCAGCTCGGCCGACATGTTTTGATGACCGTAAACTATATTACGGTCATCGGCTTTCCTACAGTGATAAAATGTGAGATGGTAAAAGATACAAGAAATACCAGGTAGATATGGTTAGTAGTGATTTTGACCAAAATAAATCAAGACTGCAGAAGTCAAATGTTTCAGTTTAAGATTTGTATAACAAAATATGACATTGATGAATCATAACAGTATCCTACCTGGTTTAGTAGGAAAGAAATACAGCAAATTTGAATATTTTCACATATGCATGTATTTTGATCTTGCATAGGTTTTGACAACTCCATACATCCTGAAAACCGTCAATCCAACATGGGAGTCCTCAGTAGAGTTCTTTGTTCAGGATTTTACCAAGGTAATACAATATTGAATGGAATTGGTGAAAGTAACTTTTAAATGGTATACTGGTGTAGATACTCATAGTACATGTTAACTGTTACTTAAGAGGGTAACTTTATTCTCTTCATTTGAAATTACAGACACCTTTATCTTTCTATGTGTATGATTGGGATGGATCCAATATCATTGATGATGACTTTCTAGGATCAGCACATTTTGCTTTCAAAGAGGTATTGAGAGTTACAATCATCTGTTGAGTTATATATACTCAAATACATGTACCCGGTATATCAAAGAATTTAAAAACTCAGTATTCTTCAGTAAAGAGACAGTGATGATAATAGTGTATAATTTTCAATAAGTCAAGAAAATATTAAAACTATTACATGTTGACACATTGTTGTAGAATTATATAGTAGAAATAAGAATTGGTACAAATTTATTTGATAAGAGTCATGGCAATTCTCTGATATTAGTGAAATATACATGTATTTGCATGGTTTTAATTTTTTAGGACCAGCATGCAGTGATCAAGGAGAACTTAGTGTTGGGACACCAAGATCCCACTAAGGGTATTGTACAAAGTGCAGAGTATGGATATTTGACAGTTTCCATCGTATTTAGACCAGTATCATCTGTCAGAAAGTCAGGTAGCAATCATTGTCTTAGTCTGGATTTCATATTTTATCACAGAACAAGCTGACTCTAGTATGCTAATTAAGAAATAATTGATGGGGAGAAGCTATTAGATGATATTGTATGTGACCACCATGTTCTTTCTGTTGTAGAAAAGTTCAGAGTTGCCAGTACCAGTGGCACAAACTATTTGTACCAGGAGGATCGTGTGTCCCCCTCATCAGTGGTAGGTTAATTTACTTATGTCTTTAATTTATCATTGGAGTGTTTCATTTCATGTTTTCATATTCATAATTTGTCCTGTAAAAATGTTTTTGCTCACATTTATACTGTTTACTTTTCCACCCTAGATTCTAAATTCTGTCTAACTGATCACATTTCGAGATAACAGGATAAGACATAGACAAAATAACTACATAGTTTCAATTAATGCGTCATTTATAGAAATCTGCAAAGTATTTTATTTGAATAACAAAAAGAGTTTAAGCTTTTTTTTTTTACATTAAAGTAGTACATGTATGTACTTATGAAAATGTATGAATTATCAACTGATAGATAATCCCATCAAAGGTAAAGGCATTTAGATCATATATTGATATTCACTAAAAAATTGTAGTTTGTAGAAAGGAAAAAATTATTACAATGTATGTACTTTTATATATGTCCTTCATATTTCATGCTTATTTATCATGCTTCTTCCTTTGTTATATTTGGGATCATACTAAAAGAGATAAAAATTTCAAAAGCATGCAGTATAATGTAAATATGTGTAGGTCCATCATAAATGCATCATAATGGATTAATTGTCTTAGTGTAACACTGTGTTGTAATGCACGGAAAAAAATGCCAGTATTCTTCACGTCATAATGTCAAATATTCAAAGAACAATGGAGGTTTAGGAGCAACACTCAGTATAATGAAATCAATGATAATCATGCAAACACCTGTATTGATTCCTATTGATTTTAAGAGTTTAAGGAAACATAAACAAAGTTGGAAGGTTTCAAACTTTAACAATTTTTGAATTTCTTCAAATATTACATATGTATTAATTTTTCTTCACATTTAAAGTACATTGTGCTGTGAAGAACATATGGAACAAAAGGCAGATTATTGGCCCAAATTATATATTTTGTATAGTTTTAGACATATTTTTTGAGTGAAAAGCAGATAAAGAGTCAGTTCTGCTTTATCATTTTTTTAAAAATAAAAACAAACGTGTATTTACAATGTTGACAAATTGTGAGAAATCACCCCATGGTTTCTGTGTGTGGTGTTTTTTTTACCATCAAACATCATGGATAGCTATACATCAGGATGAAATATTTCAAATACCACCTATGCGGTTATTATTATACCCCCCGCAAACGAAGTTTAGGGGGGGTATATTGGAATCACCATGTCCGTCTGTCTGTCCGTCTGTCTGTAGACAGGATTTTGTCCAGTCTGTTTCTTGGAAACTATTGCAAGGATTTGTCTGAAAATTTGTACACTTATTATTCACCATATGAAGGTGTGCACCTGGTTTTTTCATCATGATTGGATAATTTTTCTGCATTTTACAGGTGTTTTTTTTCATTTTTATTGTGTGGTTTTGTCCGAACCTGTTCTCAGAGGCTATTGCATAGATTTGTATGAAAATTTGTACACTCATTATTTACCATATGAAGATGTACACCTGGTATTTTCAACATTATTCGATAATTTTTCTGCATTTTACAGATTTTTTTTTTTTCATTTCTATTGACTTAGTCATTATGGGTTTATATATGTCTAAGGTTTGAGACATAGAATCTAGAACATCTGAAGTGTACAAAAATGTGAACTACAGCTTAAAACTACTCATTAAAACTAAAAAAAAAACATCACCAGATATTAAAAACAATTTTTACATTACACAGCAGATAGTGTAAATCCATTTGTCCCTTGAGAGTAATGAGTGGACATGGATCCAGTTAAAGATTAATTAATGATTTCAGTGTGGGAAGTTGTTAGGGCATCTCTGATCAAGCAGGTGTTATCTATATCTCCTAGGAATTTGGCAAAAGAATTAAAGATTTCTGTTCTCTAATTCTCTTAATTGTAATTTATTGTCTGTCAAAGTACTGACCAGCCTTTTATTTTTAAAATAAATTTGATATAAAGTTATCAAGATTAATTTGATTTCGTATAATACATGTATGTTGTTTTTTTTTCAACAATCAATTTCAGTGTCATCTCCCACAAAGATGAAAGATAGTTGCAATGTATTAAAAAACAAAGTAATTACAATGTATTAGTGTTGTTATTTTATTAGGTTGCACCTTAGTTTCATTCATATAAAAAATATAATGAGCAATTATATTTTTACTCTAAATGTTTATAAGAAAATTGTGAATATAACCACTTAGATCCATAAAATATTAGTAATTTGGCACCTTCTCTAAAAAACCCAGCGGGGGGTATTTGTCCCTTTTGGACAGTTCTAGTTGGCCTTGATGTTTGAGCTTGTAATTGGTGAATTGAACAGTGTTTGTCTCTTGTGACCTGTTCATTTCGCTCTATTTAATTATAAATGCTTTACAATGGACCCAACTACTGTATTTCAGATCTAACAATAGGAAAATATTGCCCTTTAAGCTAATGCTGCTTGGATTGTGTGTACAGATTGATGTGAATGTTATATAGTATATCATATATTTTGCTACCATTTTTAGTATATTATTTGTAGAGACAGAGGGAATGGTGCTAACATTTCATGTTAACTTAATTTTGCATTATTTATGTTGTAATATTAACACACTCTTAATTAGTATCATCCATCAGTTCATGAGATCATAATATTTTCATATTTTTTTTTATTTATTATTTTCATTGACATGATAATAATAATTTTCCTCATATTTTCATTGACAAAGTCATTTTTCTCCTATTCACAGTTCATGATTTTGTATGCCATTGTTTGACCTCATTTTAACATTTCAGTCGGCAACTCGCCTCTCTGTGAGTGAACTCACTAGTGAGAATGTTCAGGTAATTCTGTACAAAAGCACTGCTTCCCTGTAATATTTTTATTATGCTTTGTTTGAATCTGCTTTGTTGCTTTTGAAGTTTTTTAATGAAATTAAAAAAATTAAATAAAAGTAATTAAATTAAAAAAATTAACTTCTGAATCTGCTACCACTTCTCAAAAGTGGTAGCAGACTCAGAACATCTATTTTTCATAAGAATGAATTAACTTCTTCCTCATATACCAATATTTATCTTGTAAACAATTCAAGAATTTGGTCCTTTTGTCTTTATAAGTTCATCATCATTAAAATTTTTACACTACAGTAAAACATGGTTATACCAAAGTCCTAGGGACTTGTGAATGAATATACATGGCTGTATATGCAATTTGTTGTCAAAACCTATGTCCATACAACAAATTATTGTTTCATTATAATATATATATAGCAAATTTGCAATATACATGTTTTCCTTCAAGTATGACTGCCAAATATGTTGAAAGAAGTATTAAATACAAAGCTCACCTTGGGGTACAAATTTTTTCGAATTAATTTCAAAAATAAATACTTACGAAAAATAATGTTGAAACAATATTTTGAATTTCAAGAACTTAAAAATTCACTATAAAAGATGTAGATTTGTTATTTATAAACACTATGCGACATGAAATCAGTTCTCTATATCCATTAATCCATTATGTCAGAGTTCATTTTTACAGTAAAAATTTTGCAAAAATTCACCGGGGATACAATGAAACTTCAATATATCTGTAAAACTGCAATATCCTTGTTTGTACTGAAAGGGTTTTACTGAATAGTAATATTTTATCAATTTAAGATAAATGAATTTTTGATTAATTATAAATAGATACATGATACATGAATTTCATCATGAAGGCATACTTTCTCACTCACAGACTTTTAATCAGATAAAATCACAGTAAGAAAATATAGATCAGTAGATTCATGCAGATGTAGATTCACTGCCAGAGATGCTTGTACTATACAAATGTATTCAAAAATATATTAGAATTATAGTCTTATATGCATGCTTTTGGCTAGGACCTATTTGAATGATATGTAAATGACATTTATATATTGATTATTTGGTATGCATGTGACATGTGGTGAAAAGATAGATAATGATATGCTATTTGCAGTACATCTGCAAATAGACTGTTTTATTATAATGTCTTCAGGAGAAAAACCATTTTTCCTTACCAATATAAAGGAACTTGTTTTGGGATTTTTATTATTTCTTAGAGATGGGAAGATCCATCTTGTTTGTAATACATTCATACAGTTTGTAATTGAATACAGTTTTAATATTAAAAGCATGATTGTGTGAATCTTACTTGCTTAGAGTATGTGATATGTCTAATAGTGAGGATAGGACAATTATTGCAAAATAGTATTGCTTATGCCTCAAATTTCTTGAATAGATACAAGGAATTTTTATAATCTGAAAACAAAATACTTATAGCTACGACATATATAAAAAATGCTGTAAAACCTAACTGTTCTGTGATATATTGATAGATATTTCTTAGAGAAGAGCTGAATAGATTATTTAGATCACTACCTTGTAGTAAAACATTTCTGTTTCTTACACAGGGGGGTGGACCTGACAGTGACACAGTTCTTAATTCAGCATCTATGGCAGGAGGCATGATCGAGGGTAACTAAGGCCTGGCCTTTTTTAAGTCTCATGGTTTTTCAAGGCAGATTTAAGTATTGGTGTTTAATTTTTATGTAGAAACCAATTATTTTTAAAGAACCTTGGATATGAAGGCTTGTTTGCAGAGTATAAGTATAAAGATATCACATACAGGTTTCAACTATATAATACATATACCCGGTATGTACTTGTAAATACTTATAAGATTGGTATAATGCCTTTTCTTATTATTCCAGATAAGACATTTGTAGATTTAACAGTCTTGCAAGCCAAAGATCTAATGCCTGCTGACCGTAATGGTAAGTCATTGAAAAATATAATTATATAGTATAATGTTTTTAAAAAGCTAATATATTTATAGTAAAAGACACATTAGCTTCTAGGGAGAGCTACCTAATTATTGTTTAAGAAAGAGTTGCACCTGGTAAGAAAAACATGGATAATCTTAACTTATTTTTAAAGATGAAGAAAAATCTTACTATCATTGAATGAATTCTCAACATATCCATATCTTCCTGTAGAGATTTAATGTATCAACATTTTGATTTTCAGGACTGAGTGATCCTTACTGTAGTGTTTTGATGGGGAGTAAGAAGGTGTTCAAAACTTCAGTGAAGAAAAACACACTTTTCCCAAAATGGAATGAGAGTACTTCCTTCCAAGTGCTTGAAGACAACCACTTACTGGAGATTGTATGTTTTTGTTCTTCTGATAATACTTCAATTTATTTTAATGTAGTGTGTATACTTATGTGGTGTTTACTTTTATTTCTTTGATTTGAAATGAAATGTAGGTTTGTGTGATAATCAAAAATGAAAAAAATTAAAAAAAAAAAAATAATAAAAAAAGAACATGACAAATTACAGTTGATCTAATTTATACATTTATTTTACAGTTTGTATATGACAAGGACATGATTTCAAAAGATTTTCTTGGCAAAGTCATCTTAACAATTGATAAACTAAAAGAAATTTCTCATAAGGTAAGGAGGAGAAAACTAAAACAAAATTTCATGTTCAACTAATGGCATCACTTATCGATGAAAATAAATACAGTTTTAAGTAAGATTATGCTAATTTTTGAAATATAGTCTGAATCTGCAGAAATATTGTTTTAATGTTAAATCCTTTAATAGGAGAACATTTTGTAGCCTGTTACCTAAAGTAGAGGAATAAAAGAAGAACCCTGTTTTATTGTAGGGTACAGCTGAATGGATTCCTTTACAGAGGACAAAGTCTGGACAAATTCAGATCAAATGTACTGTGACATGTACAAGCTCCCTGGTAGGTGATCAATTGTACCATAGAATGTACAAGCTCTCTTGTAGGTGATCAATTGTTCTGTGACATATACAAGCTCTCTGGTAGGTGATCAATTGTACTGTGACATGTACAAGCTCTCTGGTGGGTGATCAATTGTTCTGTGACATGTACAAGCTCTCTGGTAGGTGATCAATTGTTCTGTGACATGTACACGCTCTCTGGTAGGTGATCAATTGTTCTGTGACATGTACAAGCTCTCTGGTAGGTGATCAATTGTATAGTGACATGTACAGGCTCTCTTGTAGGTGATCAATTGTTCTGTGACATGTAGAAGCTCTCTGGTAGGTGATCAATTGTATAGTGACATGTACAAGCTCTCTGGTAGGTGATCAATTGTATAGTGACATGTACAAGCTCTCTGGTAGGTGATCAATTGTACCGTAACATGTACAAGCTCTCTGGTTGGTGATCAATTGTTCTGTGACATGTAGAAGCTCTCTGGTAGGTGATCAATTGTACTGTGATATGTATGAGCTCTCTAGTTGATGATTAATTGTTCGTGTCATTTACAAGCTCTCTAGTTGGTGATCAATTGTACTGTGACATGTACAAGCTCTCTAGTTGGTTATCAATTGTTCTGTGACTTGTACAAGCTCTTTAGTTGGTGATCAATTGTTTTGTGACATGTACAAGCTCTCCTGTTGGTGATCAGCTGTACTGTGACATGTACAAGCTCTCTGGTACCGTGATATGGACAAGCTCTCTTGTAGGTGTTCATTTGTACTATGACATGTACAAGCTCTCTGGAATGTGATCAATTGTTCTGTGATATGTACAAGCTCTCCAGTTGGTGATCAATTGTTCTGTGACATGTACAAGCTCTCTGGTAGGTGATCAACTGTACTGTGACATGTACAAGCTCTCTAGTTGGTGATTAATTGTTCGGTGACATGTACAAGCTCTCTGGTAGGTGATCAACTGCACTGTGACATGTACAAGCTCTCTGATACCATGATATGGACAAGCTCTCTTGTAGGTGTTCATTTGCACTGTGACATGTACAAGGTCTTTGGTGTGAGACATTTGCAAGTTCTCTGTTACTGTGATGTGTACAAGGTCTATGGTACTGTGACATTCACAAGTTCTCTGGTACTGTGATATGTGCAAGTTCTGGTCCTGTGACATGTACAAGCTTTCTGGTAGGTGATTATTTGTACTGGGATGTGTTCAAGCTCTTTGGTGCTGACATTTGCAAGCTCCATGGTAGGGGTCAATTTCCAAAATACATGTGCATACAATGTCTATCATAATACAAAGTAGCTTTTCTGCCATAAGTGTATGTCATTGATTTTTATCAAACTGACTGTGTATTTTGAAACGAGTGTGCTGTTATCATCATAAATTTATTTTATCTTTGTTTTAATTTCAATCTTTGAAGACCAGTTTTCCTAAAAATAGAACAATAATGAATTTGTTTAATGACAGGAATTTATTATACCTCTGCTTCGAAGGAGAGGGGGTATACTGTTTTACTCTTGTATGTCCATCTGTCTGTGTGTCTGTCCATAACAAATTTTTGTAGCAGTTTTCTCAGCATATGGTGGGATTCATGAGAGCATATATTCATATCAGAACAGGCATATTACTAGTGAGCATTGGCTCACAGACTTCTTGTTTTTTTTTTAATATAATTTGGTTGATAATTTAAGAAAATATTTGCTTGTGATACACAGGAACCAGTCAAGAAGTCACGTTCTTTGAGGCGGAGCGGTTATCAGAACTCTGCAAAGAATAACAATGATGTCTTCTTACCAGTTGTGGACACAGTACATGTAAACCATTTTTTTTCAAATCATTAAAGTTCAACCACAGGCTAGATTAGCTACAATTTAACTGAAAGACAAGCTTAAGAATTGGTCCCATAAGCAAAGTCAAAGGAAAAAGGGAAGAGGGAAAGGGCATGCCCCCACTTTTGAAAGGGGAGGGGGTCAAATGTATTAGATTGGTATAAATACAAGTATGTCCTGAAAAGTATGTAGGATATTCTATGAAATATAATGCCTAGTAAATGATTTTAGAATGACATATATAGCTCACCTGTGGCTCAAATGAGCTTTTTCTTATCAAAATTTGTATGTTGGTTATTGCAGTTGTTGTGAACTTTTCACATTTTCATCTCCTTCTCCAGACCAGTAAGCCAATTTCAACCAAACTTGATACAAAGTATTTTAGGGTGAAGTAAATTTAATTTAGATTTCAAATGAAGTGTAATGCTCTATTCCAGGGGGTAATAATCAAGAAAAGGCAAAAAGGGAATGGTAATTTAAAAATCCTCTTTTCAAGAACCACTGGGCCAGAAAACATGAAACTTATGTAAAGCTTCCTGAAATTTTGTAAATTCAAGTTTGTTCAAATTCTGGTTGCTGGGGGTAGGATGGGGTCACAATAAGGGATCAAAGTTTTACATGGGAATATGTAGGAGAAAAAAATCTTTCAAAATCTTCTCAAGAGCAGCAGGACCATGTTCATCAATATATTAATATGCAAACATTCTCAGGCGAAGCAGATTCAAATTTGTTTAAACCTTGGCCATGAGTTAGGGTGGGATAAAATAGGGGGTCAAAGTTTTATGTTGGAATATAAAAAGGGAAAAAAAATCTTCTTGAAATTGATGAACAGCAGGGTCATGATTAGAGCTGCTGATATGCAAGCATCCTTGGGTAGTGCAGGTTCAAATTAGTTCAAAGTGTGGCCCTTGTGGATAGGCTGGGGCCACAATAGGGGATAAAAGTTTTACATGGGAATATATAGAGAAGATCTTTTCCAGAGCAGCAGTGCCATGGTTATTGCAATCTAATTAAAATTAGACCTTTCATCTTGCTCTTTGTAAATCTATTTGTAGCTTGTGAAATATATTACTGGTAATATGCAAGCATCTTCAGATAGATCAGATATGAATTGTTCAAATGGTGGTCCCTTAGGATAGGATGAGGTGGCAAAAGTGGATAAAGGTTTTACATAATAGGTTTTAGATAATTTGGAAAACATCTTCTACTCAAATCTGTTTACCCCCCCCCCCCCCCCCCTTTTTTTTCCACTTTCAGGTTTGTGACCTTGCTTTTGATTGCACTCTCAAAAGTACAAAAATTACATTTCATTTCTTTTTATCATGGTTGAATATAAAGAATATATAGTATAATGATGGTCTTAGTATGAAATGGCATATTAATTTTGTTGACAGGAATCTGATAAAGGGGAGTTATCCTCAGGGCAGGATTCAATGAGTCCGCTACCCCCAGACAGTGTGAATGGAAGCTCTCCCAAATCCTCAGAGGGACATATTTCCCCAACAAGAGAGGAAAAATCTTTCAGTCCCACTGACATACAGATTATTCCAGAAAAAGTGCAACCAGTGACCTTTACCCCTTCAGCTAACCAGCTTACTGTGAACCCTGAAGTTAGGTTAAGGAGGTCAGCCTCAGATGTCAATGTTAGCAAGAAGACAGAAAAACAGACAAAAAGCTTCTCAGGGATGCCAACGTCTTCAACTCTAAAACATACAGACTCGTAAGTAAAAAAAAACTGGTAATCACACAGTCATGTAATCTCAAATAAGTTAAAAAACATGTAGCCATTACACTAAAATATGACAATTGATATGTAAGATGTTGTAAATTTTTAATAGCTGTATTGGCTGCTGATTTTTTGGGTATTATTTCCTCTAATAAGTACAGCGGTATTAAGATATACATGTATTAGTAAAAAAAAAAATCAAAAACAATACTTGGTGTCTTGTAACTGTCGTTAAATCTACAATGTATTTCAGAAGCAACTCCATATCAGCATTGAATCATGGTGATACCATCTCTATAGGTAAGCTCTCTGTGGTCCCTTATACATGTATTCTTTCACTTTTCAACAAAAAATATCAATGTTGACTAATGCTTCTGGTTTATTGAAATAAACTTTTATACTTAGATGATATTTGCCATTAAGTTATACAATGACCTTGAAGTTTCTATAAAGCAATATAGCTAAACAGAAAGTACTACTGTAGATCACCAGATTTTCGTGACACCTTATTTTGCGAGATATGTATTTGGTAGACAAAATTTTCATGAATTCTGGGTATTGTTGTATATAACTTATGCTAACAAAAATATACGTGAGAATGAAATTTTCGCGAGCAGACGGTCTCGCGTAAATACGTGAATATAGAGTTTTGTGAATAAAAAGTGATTTACAGTATTTTATAAAGGGTATGGTGAATTACATGTATACTGAAAGTAATAAACTAGCTTCAGTGATTCCTATAAGTGCGTCCTGTTCTTGTGTGTAAGAGAGAAATAGGTCATCATTAATAAATGTTGTCAGAGAGAAAGAACATGAAACAAACATATTTTAACAGTGACAACTGAAGCTACCCCAGAGAATCGTAAGAAAAGTAAGAAATATGTTGTGGGTGTATATATATGTACAGTAAATGTGTATTGTACTGTGACCTTCACAAAGTTACTTATAATATAACTTACTCTGCACAACTTGTAAAGTGTTTCAAAACAGCCTTTGAAATTAAAAATGAATTTACTGATAATGTGAAAATGTTTTTAATATGTTAACATGACTTGATTTATTAACTTTTAAAATTCCAATGTTTCCACTGCAACAACAGACAGATAGAAACCCATGACAAGGTATTACTGTTAATGGCATGTAACATGTAAAGCTATCCTTCCTCAGTTTTGGAGAGAGAGAGAAGCAGATTGAGATATTCCTTCAGCATGATTGATACATATTATTTATATACAGAAGTTTCCTGCTTAATTTTTTTTATAGATTTTATCATGAATGGAATTCATTCCCCAAAATCCTTTCCCCCAAACTTAATACAATTTTTTTTTAATTATTATACAAACTTGTAGATCAAGTTGGTGCATGCATGCACATGCCATAGGTACTGCAAATACTAAAAAGAATTTAGAGAAAAATAATAGAGAAAATAATAATATACATGTATAACAATTACTATAAAGATGAATTAATGCTGTATACTAATCAAAAAATATAGTTTTATCTTGTACATGGTAAATTAAGATAAATCTGCATGAATGTTAAATTTTAATTCAAAAAAAAAAAATCCTTTGAAGTTCGTAATGTTGGAAAGTTTATCAAATACGTAACATTGAACCTACGTTGAACCTACATATGACATCTGAATGTACGCGTAAAAGACCTTGAAGCTAAAAACTTTGGCATATTAAAGGAAAATCAAAAATTACATTGTACCTTAATTTCAGAGAATCTAAGACTATCATAAGAAAATGACATCTCAATTCACAATTTTTACAGATTAAATTTGTTTTTGTTTTTAAACCAAACAATTCCTGGAATATTTCTAAGATTGTGTTAATCACCAGCATTATTAAAAAAAAAATTTTAAAAAAAAACCAAGATTTTCATTTCATCATATTTAGCTGTGTTAAATCAAATTTTAAAGAAATGATACATTTTAAAGTAGGAATTAAACTGACAATGTCTCTGTTTTTTGGTTTTTAATGCTTTAAGATTTCAATGAAAGTCTAACTTTTTCATTGAAACCTACAACTGAGATTTTTTTAAGGAAATTAAAAATCCTTAACTTGTAGCATTAAGATTATACTTGTGTATAATACATGTTCAGTTTTTTTTTTTTTTTTTTTTTTTTTTTTTTTTTTTTTTTTTTTTTGTAAATTATGCATGCAAACTACATTTATATACAATTACATTAGAAAAAAAGAATGACGTCTGAATTTTTACAGGGTTCAGTGTATGCCTCTCTGAAATTCTAAAGTTCTTAAATACATGCAAATAGATCAATCAATCTACTTTAAATTAATTTCATAATTTTGTGTCAAAACTTTTTGCTTTTTCTTAACTTTGCATTGAGGTTTTTATGGGGATTCTACTGTAACTAATGATATATATGTTTTGGAACTTGTATAAAATGAATTATATGTATTTTTTCCCTGAATTTTCAATAATAAGATATTATCTTTAATTTTAAACAGTGTACTCTAAAAAAGCAAGCAAGTACTCATTAAAGGATCAATTTTCATCTCTGGCTCTGAGGGGGAAAAAACGTTAGCATGTTTTTCAGATAAAATTTGTTCTTCACCTGTTATCCTGTCTAAACTTTTCACTTTTAACCACAGAACTTATTGCATCAAACTTGCTAGAAAATTTTGAAGATCAAGGAGAAATTGTATACAAATCAAGTACATATACCTCTTATCAAAGAGAAGTTTATGAACTTTAAAAAAAAAAGAAAAAGAATGAAAGTTGATTATGGTAAACTTCAGCACTTCAGTAGAACATCTGGTATAAAAAATTCAAGTTGATAACAAGATATGACCACAAAAGGTATTTAAAGTTTTGGACAGGTTTTACATATATCCTAATTAAGAATATTTATATTGAGAACTAGTAGGCTTCCAAATGTCAAATGAAGATGAACATCCTCATATATGATAGATTAAAATTTACTTATAGGGGTAAGAGGCACACTTAAAGGGTTGCATCATTTTTTTTTTTTTTTTTTTGATAGAAATAATGATATACACATGTATAAATCTCATTAAAAAAAAGTCTGCAGTCTTCTGTTGTGTAAGTACAAGGATAAACAGGTGAGCTTTGTGGTCCATGGGCTACTTTTTTGTTGTTAGAACAAGCTGTGCTATGTTTGAATTCAAGTACTAAAATTGATTTCCTTGCATAAAACTCCATGTCTTGGTTTCCAGATTCCACTGTGCCAGGTCATGAGAAGCTTTACAATGTGTCTGGGAAGATTCTTGAGGTCAGTGGACTGAAACAGAGTTCAGGGAATATTTACATCAAGGTCCGTCTGGAACAGTAAGTACACCTGCACTAAAAGCTTCCCAGCAATGTCTCCCTGAAACCTACTTCCTTTGCACTCATATCACTTTTTTTTAAATTCCTTTGCTGCTAAATTAAAAATTTTAAGTGTAATTTAATGATTGACACAATGTTTTTAATACAGACTTGTAACTGAGGTAGCTAAAGGTTATGCAGACAGTGTGGCAAAAATTAATGCATTACATGGTACCAAAATTTCGCTTTTAAACAAATGAAGAAAGCAATTAGGATCAATTTATATGATTACAAAAGTGATTTAAACTATGGTGTTATTTTTATTCAATCCAGCCACAGAGAAAGGCACAGGTATGAGTCGCTGTGTATAGTGATCATGTCAGCTGTAACTGTATCTCAATCTGTTCATTAAATTTCAGTCATCAAACAGCTTCATAGAGGAAATTTTACACTGGTGATTGGTTCACAGTTATAGACACCTACATCCATTTTGTTAGAATTCTGTGTCCTTATTAACTTGTTTGAATCAGTGTTCTCTTTTTTAACAATTTGATTTCATACTCTGTCAATCTCTGTACAAGTATCTTTAATCACTCTTTTTCTATTCCATAGACTTAGTAACAAAGTTGACCTTATATAGTATATGAAAACTCTGAAACTTGGTCAGATTTCATGAAGTTTCAATATTATAAGTTTGTAGGAAATTTGTAATTTTGTGACAATAGTTCTTGATTTGACCAATTAACATTAATATACTTATTTAATATTTTTAGCTCGGGAAGCAGACTGAGATTTATTCACCATGGGCGTGTGATTGCCAAGTCCTATCTGTTCCCTGTCAGTGCCTCTGCTCTCAATCAGCCATTTGAGGTAAGTCACCTATCCTCCTCTTTATTACTTCCATAAGGTAAGTCTGTGTACCAGATTTTTTTCTGTGGATATTGTATGTATTGATGTAAAAGTTTAGTACAGGTAATAATGATATACATGTATTTTTTAACAGGTGGACCGTGGTGCAGGTGTCAGTGTGAACACACACCTTATCTTTGACATCAAGAGTGAAAACAAAGACCATCTGGCTCAGAAATCCTTTAGTTTAAAGGAGTTGTTCTCAGGTAGGGTCTACAAAAAATCAAACACATTCTACTTTGGATATACTGAAATTCAAGGGACCAACACATTTTTTTCAATATAACTGAAGTTCAAAAAATTAGCCCATAAAGTCGTTTTAAAATCCTGATATCTATCTAAAACACGTAGACAAACCCGAATCAACATAAAACATTACACCGTTAAATTTACGACACTTGAAGATTGAAATGAAATAGTTTGTTTATTTAAGATTTATTTGAAAAAAATGCCCAACATTTCTAAGCCTTGGTATAATTTCCTGATCTTATTCTTCATCAGTCATCAGACTGGCATGGACTCAAGAGCTTCAAAAACTGACATACTGTTTGTACAATAACATGTACATCATTGCTAGTGTGTGCTTGGACTTATTTCACATTTTTATCTCAGGCATACATTAATTCATTTTAGTTATTTAAAGATAATGTTATTCTTTCTAGTGATTTACTCATTTTCACAAGAGTGTGTTCAAACAGCTGTTCAAAATTGCCATCAATTTGTGATCTGAGAGAATGATACCCCTCAGTAATTTATTTCTTATTATGAAAACATGCAATGATAACTTATTATGTTATAATATATCTACTGACACCTTAGCACCTACCTACTGTATATGCTCGCCTATAAGTCGTTTTTTTGGGAGTTAAACTTTGGTCCAAAACTCTTTATCCAACTTATATGCAAGTTATAAGAAGATTGGTATTTTAGTGGGTCAATTCCTCTAATTTAAGCTTAAAAAAATAATAGGCGGACCGACTGGCTCAACTAGGATATATGGATAAGTAGTACCAGTAAATATTTCATACGCCAAAGGGCTGAAGAATTAATGTGCATTGCTAAAGAATATGAGGAAAACTGGAGAAATTCTATGTAGTGTAGGAACTACTGTACGTGTACTTAAAAAAACGGGCTTCATATTTTAGCGGCTTTGGCGCTAATTCATGAATACCGCTAAGAAATCATTTACTAATTCCATACACGGCACAGACATGTGTAGCACTAATTCATGATTATGCCAACAACTCCATACCCCTTGATTGCACTAAATTTTGAATGCGCCAATATATGTACACGTACAGTATTTGGTAAAATTGTGGATATGTAAACAGGTGGATAGGTTGACAGGTCAACGGGAAGACAGGTCGACAGGATGACAGGTCAATGGGTTGACAGAATGTTTGGTTGACAGGCCAACAGGTCGACAGGTAGACGAGTCGACAGGTTGACAGGTCGACGGGTTGACAGTTTGACAGATTGTTTGCTTGACAGGTCTACATGTATTCAGGAAGACAGGTTGACGGGTTGACAGGTCAACAGGTTGACAGATTGTTTGCTTGACTGGTCTACAAGTATTCAGGAAGACAGGTCGACAGGTTGGCAGGTGGACAGGTTGACAGGTCGACAGGGAGACGAGTCGACAGGTTGACAGGTTGAGACGTCGACAGATTATTATATCCAGTGGGTTTCTGCACTAACCCTTATCTCTCAGATGGGTTTGAGGACTAACCCTAATCTTTCCAGTGGGTTTGAGGACTAACCCTAATCTCTCAGGTGGGTTCGAGAACTAACCCTAATCTTACCGATGGGTTCGAGAAAACAGTATCCCAATTGGGTGTCAACTGTCGACCTTTCTTGTGATGGATAAGAGTTTACCAATTAGGTGTCAACTGTTGACCTGTTGACTTTTGTGATGACAATACAGGTTATGTGTCAAATTGTCAACCATTTATAGAAAAACTCTTCTTGTGGACTATTTTTTTAAATGCATTTATTTGACGTAATAAGGCAAAACACTCACTTTTTTGTTTTATAAATGGAACTATTTCTTTCCTTTCCTTAAAATTTCATTTTAAATTTGAAAGATGTTAATTGTTGTACAGATCTACTTTTCCGTAAATAAAAAAACTTTGCAGTAAATGTTTGATTTATATTAAACTCTTGTGTAAAGTTTTTATGGCATAAAGACTGTTTTGATAAATCTTTGCATTATGTGTTTATTGTTAATATCCTGATATGTGACCTTTAGATTATGTGGAAGGAGGGATGGAGAAATGGCTGCAGCTTTCAGACAAGGCAGAAATAAAGGTGTTTCTGACTCAGGGAAAGCCAAATCCCCGTCTTGTGAAGAAACACAGCGGAATAGGGAAATCCTTGTCCTTCAGAAAATGAAAATACAATAAAACTTCTCAAAGGACAGTATGTGTGTTCTAATTAGTAATTGTAATCCAATTAGATTAGATTTTTTCCCCCTTTTTTAAGATTTACTTTCAATTGACATATAATTTAGACGTGGGACACAAAGGTGTTTTTATTGTGCAATTTATGAAATCATATTCTTTATAATTCCTGTAAGCGTTTATTCCTGGTACATGTGTAAAATTATAATATACAAGCACAGTATATGGTGTTTGCTGCCATATTCAAATTTTCCAGAAAAAATGACTCTCCTTGTTATTTGTTTACCTCATTGGACATTTTTGAAATCATGTGTATGTTCCTAGTGCTGTATGATGTACAACTAATATATACATGTACTGTGTATAAAATAGTGAAGGAGAAGAATGTTATGTCTATCTTTGTTTTAGTCAGTTGTGCATATTTGATCAATTTTGTAAAAAAGACTATTTATATTTTATACACAGATCTGTGATTAATAGATTTAGTGTGCTACAACATGTGTCACATCAAATGTAAGAGTGTTGGGAGCAGATGCATTTTCTAAATCAGCCAGGTGCCATTCTAATTCATTTTTACTATATTGTTTGCTGAATTTACACTGTGATTCAAAGAAAACAGTTGCTATTCCTTATCTGTGATAAAATATATGACAGTAATGAATTACTGTAGAATAATAATTCAATTTATTACATTTTCAACAGTGAAATACTGTGATTTATTCATTGAATAAAAGTGATATTCTCTCACAGTGTGAAAGGATACCAAAGTGATATTCTCTCACAGTGTGAAAGGATATCAAAGTAAGTAAAATATAATTTCTGGTCTGTAATAAGATTGAGATAGTAACTAAACCATCTTGACAGAGACTAAAACTGCCAATTTCTTCCCAAATATGTTGCTAGAATCCATGTTACAATGTTTTCATCTCACAACTGCTGAGCCATGACGTCTCGAATGCTCAACTATGACGTCACAGCCTATTTCATTGTGTTAACAAAAGACAGAGGCAAAGGGAAAATCAAAGAAAATGTAATAAATAGGAAATTCAATGTTTTGTAGTTGGATATGGAATTTATTTCACTCGTGAGACAGGAGTTTTTGATATTTTCACTCGTGCTTCGCACTCGTGAAAATATCAAAAAATCCTGTCCCACTCGTGAAAGAAATTCCATATCCAACTACAAAACATTGAATATCCTCTATTTCTTTTTTTCTTTTCTTAGTTTCTTTAGATACTGATTCAGTGCAGCTGGAAGCTACTTATTACTTATTATATATATATATATATATATATATATATATATATATATATATATATATATATATATATATATATACATATATATATATATATATATATATATATATATATATATATATATATATATATATATATATATATATATACCATTTAATTATAATGATGGTTTTCTTATTTTATACAGTACTGCAGGTTCTGGACACTTTTGAAACTGAAGTTAACTACAAGTTACTATACTGTAGCAAGATCAAACCCATTTGTACATCTTTTTGCATAATTATTTAGCTTTCTATTCACTATGGAAGTACAACCTAGTGTTTTGAAATTAGTGTAAGTAGGAATAATCTTTGGATTGCTAATACATGTACTTGGTACATTTACTGTATATACATTTATATTATATTCAACTGTCCTTCCATATTGCACTCTTGACCCATTATAAGTTTTATTTTGCAATTTTTTGGTCTTGATTTGCATTTTTTCCATATACATGTTTGTTGTTCAATTTATTTTTTATGTTAATTAGATTAAAATTTATAGAAAAAATGTTTTCATCTGTCTGTCTTAAGACTTGTTTTTAGCTCACCTGAGTTGAAAGCTCAATTGAGCTTTTCTGATCACCTGTCCTCAGTCTGTCTGTCTGTAAACTTTTCACATTTTTAGCTCACCTGAGCTGAAAGCTCAGGTGAGCTTTTCTGATAACCTGTTGTCCGTCATCCCTCCATCTGTCTGTCCATCCATCTGTCCGTCTGTAAAGATTTCATATTTTCAACTTCTTCTCGAGAACCACTAGGCCAATTTTAACCAAAGTAGGTACAAAGCATCCCTTGGTGAAGGGGAGTTTAACATGATAAAATAAAGGGACAATCCCTCTTACAAGGGGAGATAATCAAGAAAAGACAAAAATAGGGTGGGGTCATCTCAAGAACCATGGGGCCAGAAAAGATGAAACTTATATGAAAGCATCCTGGGGTAGTGTAGATTCGAAATTGTTCAAATCATGACCCCAGGGGTAGGGTGGGGCCACAATAGGGAATCAAATTTTTACATTGAAGTAAATAGGAAAAATCTTTAAAAATTTTATTCTCCAGAACCACTGGGCCAGAAAAGCTGAAACTTATGCATGTATGGAAGTATCCTGGGGTAATGTAGATTCTAAATTGTTAAAATCATGACCCCGGGGGTAGGGTGGGTCCACAGTAGGGAATCAAAGTTTTACATTGAAATATAAAGGAAAAATCTTTAAATGTGTTCTTTTCAAGAACCACTGGGCCAGAAAAGCTGAAACCTGTATGGAAGCATCCTGGGGTAGTGAAAATTTTAAATTGCTCAAATCATGACTGCTGGGGATAGGGTGGAGCCACAATAGCAAATCAATGTTTAACATTGAAATTTAATGGAAAAATCTTTAAAAATCTTCTTTTCAAGAAGCACTCGGTCAGAAAAGTTGAAACTATTGTGGAATCATCCTTGGGTAGTGTAGATTCTAAATTGTTCAAATCATGACCCCGGGGGTAGGGTGGGCCCACAATATGTATTACAAGGGGGAAAATCTGGTGAAGAACAGCATACTCCTCTTGACCCCAAGAACAAGATCACACAGATTTCATTTTGATATTTTATAGATATATATATAGTCAAACATTATTCAGATCATTTCTTGCTTTTGCAAACTGGAGGCCGAGTCTGGTCAGTTGGCATATCCTAGCAGTCCACTTCATTAAAAAAAGGGCACTATATGCTCCATAATACCAAACATGAACACCAAATACATGTAACTTTATTTTGAAAGTTGTTTCTGTTCCAGGGCATCTACAAGGCAAACAAAATACAAGGTTGTAATGAGCAAGTTTTTTTTTACCAGGTTTGTTAAATTCTAGACCACTGTTTTAAGTGTTTTGGTGCTGGACAAGGCTCCATTGATCTTGTAAGAAAACTGAGGTTATTTCCCTTTGCTATTCACCTATGATGATTAATCACAATAAATACTGAATGGACAAGTGTACTTAAGCAATAGAGAAAGGCTCCTTTTTCAGTGCCGTTTTAATACCGAATATGTTACCAAATCCTTCTCTCTTGGTAAAAGTTAAACACTGCATGGTGGATATTTCTAATTTAAAATCACGTTAAACATCACTTAAATTAGCATGGATTTTAAACAATTGGAGATTTTTAAATGCCTATAGATACCCCAAATCCAGAAAAGTTGTGCTGAACCTATATGAGTTTTGTTTATTTAAAACATTTAAATAGGCACTTGAATATTCTGGTTGGAATTGTATATACAGGTATTTTACCAGAAAATACAGGTCAAGTTCGCATTTGGTTGTCGTCAAATGATATATGACAGAGTTATCCCTCTTGAACTTAGAAAAAATGAGAAATTTTCAGTTTCCGCTCTCTTACTTTTGTAGGGATGAATGTAACTATAAGGTTGGAATTGCATATGCAGGTTTTTACCAGAAAATACAGTTCAAGTTTGAATTTAGTCGTGGTTCAATGATTTTTGACAGAGTTATCCCTCTTGAACTTAGAAAAAAATCTTTTGTGCAAACAAATTTAAAACTGCACATGGAATTTGGAATTTTGTCTGCCTACGGGGGCATTTGTGGTGTTACAACACATCTTGTTTCCAAAAACTTTGGGTCTAGAAATTTGATCACCAACTAAGTAATACATCATAAGTCTCCTACTAGTAACCTGAGAGAGAACTTTTAAGTTTCCTCCTTGTCTGTGACTGTCCCGCCTGGTTTTCTGCATTTAAAAAAAAAAAAAAAAGACATTGAACTGCTACTTGGTATTGTGAGTGTATACCTTGATGAGTTACAAGTACTTAACAAGTTTGCATTTTGTTCCGCTTCAGGGATTTTTGACAGAATTATGGCCTTTTTTCAATTTTTTTGGGGGCCATGCAGTTTTCCTGCTTTTTCCCACTAAACTCTTGTAGATATCAAACTTTTTTTGTTTTGTGAGTCTACCTACATGTAGCTGTAACATGTAGTAATTCTAAGGGACATCAAATTATGAAAAATATAATAATGACGTTGTAAAAACACTGGATCTTGCCTAGGTCTTTTTCAGATAATTGACCAGGTTAAAGTTTTTGGAGCAGGTCCATTCCCAAGTAACTATATTCCCTACCTAGACCAAACTTGCATGGATGAATGATGTATCTAAGGATGGACCCTATCAGACTTGCTTAGGATGCTGGATCTGATCCACATTTTCCAAATGAGTGACAGGTTAAAGTTTTGGGAGCAGGTCCTTCCCCAAGTAAGTAATAAGCCCTACCATGACCAAACTTGAATTGATGATGCATCTAGGAATGGACAATACCAGACTTGCTTTGGATGCTGGATCATACCTTTGTTTTCCAGATGAGTGACCAGGTTAAAGGTTTTGGAGCAGGCCCATTCCCAAGTAACTAATAAGCCCTACCTGGTCCAAACTTGCATGGATGATGCATCTCGGGATGAACACCACCAGACTTGCTTTGGATGCTGGACCTTGCCTCTGTTTCCCAGATGATTGACCAAATTAAACTTTTGGAGCAGGTCCATTTCCAAGTTGGACCAAATTTTCATGGATGATGCATCTAAGGATGTATGCTTCCCAACCTGATATTTTCCAGATGGGTGAATTTTAGAAATACTTTAACAAAATTAGCATGGATGATGTATATAGGGAAGGACACCTTAAGACCAGCTTTGGATGCTGAATCTGACCTATGTTTCAGGCCAGTAGCAATGGATTTCAAAAGTGGGGAGGGGGGACCAACTTCCCCCAAAAATCTGAGAAAAACAAAACAAAAAAAACCCTAAACTGACCAAAAGGGGGAGGGGCAACTTCCCAAAATTATCTGACAAGCAAACAAAAGGAAAAAAAAAGATAATTAACTGTTCAAATCCTGGAATTTGCCAGTGCTTGACCTTCAACATCAAAGAGTGGGGGTCCTACCAGCATCTAAAGAAAATTTAAATACTATACTCAGAAAAAAGTGGGGGGTTTACACCCCCCTCCTTGTATTCCGCAGGCCTGCATTTTCCAGATAAGAGACCAGGGTAATGTTTCTGGAGTAGCTCTATAGTTATGATTTTAATAAACTTGCATGGATGATGCATCTAGGGATGGACACTTCCAGACTTGCTAAGGATGTTGGAACTGACAGACATTTTCTTGATTAGTGAACAGGTTAAGTTTTTGGAGCAGATCCATTTCCAAGTACAGTAACTATAAATCCTTTATAAACCATACTTGCATGGATATTGATTTTGGGATGCACACCAACTAGAAAAATAATATGATATGAGATTTGCCTTACTTATAGATATAACATTCATTGAGGTTAGCTTAGTAATCTTTGATTACCTATGTTTTAAACTCTGTAAACTTTTTTTCCCACGGGGTCATAATTACATAGAATCACAATTTCTATTCAATCCGCAGATAGAAAATTATATGGATTTCTTAGAATGCCACTATATGCCTTGAATGTTCTTCAAGTACGCCAGGACAAATTTCTGCGGAAAATTGTGATCAAGTACATAATGTAAATTAATACCACACAGAAAAAGTACATCTACAGTTCAAAAAAAAAAAAAAATGAGGTCTGAAACATTTTGGTAGTCAAATATTACATAAAATTAACAAAATCTAGCAGCATTAATTTAAACAGATAGTGAATTTATTTTGTTTTAAAATGAATATTTTCAATTTTTTGAGGGGGATGCAATTGCATCCCTCCCTCTCTCTTTCTGACCGCTATGTAGAATTCAGATTATTCCCTTTACCCATAGAAACTTTGTGGCAAATGATATTGTACTGGTTGTTCAAGAGGAGATCATAAAGTGAAATAAAATAAATTCCCATTTTTGACACAAAACAAAGTTTTACGAATATTTATTATTGAAAGACCTAGTATGACTGTGACACATACTTCATGATAAACAGATGAAATTTGCTGAAAGGCCATGAAAACTTTGTTCTATTGTGCAAACATTCTTTTGATCCTACTTATATCTTGAATTTTTATTGTCAATAAGCTGCTATATTTTGTATTTTTTTTCATGATAACTTAAAATTCCATATTCTTACTTTCAAAATCACCATAACTTTGATTAATAAGCAAAAACAAATGTGTGCGTGAGGGTGTGTGTGTAATTTTAACTAATTATATATGTTAAGTTACAGATCATATCACTTTAAATAACTTTGGAGTACCCAGGACCCCTGCAAAAGCCACTGAAACATACCAAGAACACTGAAGTTAAACATATCAAATGAATATAACCTTTTTTATTGGTATCACTTTAATTTCAAATCTATGAATAAACAACAATTTATCATCACTGACACTGTTTCTTCACTGAGTTTGATGTTTTATACATTGTTCTGTAATAATCTAAGAGTTCTGTAAGTTATCCCTCCTGGGCCTCCTTAGCTTCCTTGTGTTTCCTCAGATTCTTTGTTACATACCAGGAAGGGTACCAGATAATGAACAGAAATGGGGAGAAAGCTAGTCCCTTTTTCTGAAAAGAAAAAAAATGTACATCAGGATATCATGAGAGAGGTATGTGAATTTATTCAAAATCATACATGAGAAGAAAACACTTGCTGTGGCCTTCAACTCAACATTTAGATATATCGACAAAGTATTATCAATTAACAATAGTTAGTTCCATTCCAGTAATTTTTCTACACTCAATTTAGGTCCTAATATCAGTCCTTTCCCCTATCTAAATTACAGATTTTTTCCCAATTTCAGTTGCTTTTACCCCCTTATAAATTCGTTGTTGTTTTTGTTATATTGAAGTTTTTTAAAGTATGACTTGTCTAAAATGGAACGCTATTGTTCTCAGACTAATTGTTAGGCCATTATTTACAGATAGAATTTTCTACGGATTTTTCCATTTTTCCTGATCATGACAAGGGGCACATGGTGGGTGTGACCGGTTGGCAGGGGATGCTCACTCCTCCATGGCACCTGATCCCACCTCTAATGTTTTAGAGGTCCGTGTTTGCTCTGCTCCTGAATTGTATTGTTTGAATGGACTTTTGAGCTTGAATACTATTTGTTATCTCCATATTTAATAAAATACATCATAATTTTCATGCATATTAACCAGAAATGAATTCAAATGTACCTAATATAACTAATAATGGCGTATCAATGATTAGATTATCATGCGTTTAAACGAAAAACTATTGTGTAACAAATTATGGCGCAAGAAATTAACTCCCCGTTTTAAGATGCGAGTTAAAACGGGGGTGTACGTGATGTGCACAATATTGAGGAAATTCGAGATCTTACCCACATAGCGTATTCACCCCATGGAAATCTAGGTCTACCGACTTGAATATCTGCACCATAGTTTCGGGCAACCTGTCGGTTTACAGCATTTTTAATTGCAGGACGAGACCTTACAACTGTGTTTTTTACTAAACCAAACATTGTTTCGTTGACCCTCTGATATTGATTCGGTCAAACTCAAGTTACTTGCCCTTGAGAGGAAGTAGTGGAATACATTTATTCGGATAGAATTGAAAATAAAACCTTTGCATTTGAAATTCTGTACTCTTTATAAATGTTCATGGTTATAAGAACATGTAGAATTATTCATTGATGTTTTTAAAGAATTAAACCAACATTTGTTTTTAAAACAAAATATTTATACCATTCAATTAATTAGGACCTAGCATTTATCACTATCCGATCTAATTTTTCTACTATGTTTGGAAAATAAATGAAATTATTATTATTATTTTTTTTTATCATTTTTACAAAAATTGTTATCTTGGTTGATTCATCTTTAAATGTTTCACGATAGAATAAGCATTAATATTTTTTCATCTAATTTTTTTTATTCAGTGCGGGATAGCTACTAGAAAATGTCAAAGTTGTGTGACTTGTTCATGGGAATGCGGGTGGTTACGTTCCGATGACTTGTTCGACCCGCGTGGTTTCGACACAAATCCATGTTCGACCCGAGTGGTTTCGTTCCAAAGCAATTAATTAACAATTAATTGCTTCGGAACGAAATTAATTAACACTTTCAAAAGTTTTACATTTTATTTTTTCGTCTACAATTTTTTTTTTATATTGACCACGTATAACTGTGGTAATTATCGTATGTAATTAAATTTGGAGAAACGTACATTGTTCAGACAGTGCATATGTGATCACGGTACATTTGAAGAAGTATTTGATTAATTTTTATGGAAAATTGTTCAAATATAATTCATTACTAAATCAAATTTATCAACATTCATGCTCCGCGATAGTAGAAAAAAATGTTAGGAAACCTGCATGTTGACTACACATACGGAAACAACTACCTATTGACACGCACATCTCTGAAGCCATACAATATACAGCTACCGGATATCCATTTGTTTACCGCACAGTGTATACCCCTGTACTCAGGTATTGACATGTAGGGATATATATTAGAGTAGGTCGAAACCACTTGGGTCGTAACCACGCGGGTCGAACACGGAATCGGAACGTAACCACCTGACACCGTTCATGGGAACTCAATTTAACTCAAACAGGTGTGAGTAGCCTCTTATAGTTGTTTTTAAATGTGTTTTATGTACTTACGGCATATGTCAGTGAGTACATATTCGTGTATTATTTATGAATCGACGATGAAAGTGGCATTCGATGATTGATAGAAAGTTAAACATTCATGTGTATGAATTATGGATGTTTCGGGACCGCGATGTTTCGGGACCCCGACGTTTCGGGACCTGACAACACGTTTCGGGACTTGGGTTAACACGTTTCGGGACTTGGGCTAACACGTTTCGGGACTTCTAAATATTTTGTAAAGGAAATGAAATAAAACTTGTTTACTTGTGTTTTTATGTTTATACATGTATAATTTCTCAGTTTGATACACAATTTATAATTTAAGAAGCACTGATTGGAGTTTTTTATTAGTTTTAAAGTTTGCCTGCGGCATGGAGCACGCCTGCCGAGAAAATCAAACGCCCGCGGTGTTGTCTCTTTAATTTCTTATTACAGTATTTGATATATTACCTTTATAAAGTATTTGGTTAACATTTGACCAAAATTTAATTCAATTTTTTTTTTAAATATTTATTTGATTTATTTATAGTGTTTGATACGAGAGTTTGTAGAATTAAAGCCGGGAGACATCGTAACTGCTGTGTGAAGACCACGGACGTGTTTTTCTTTCTAAGACTTTCTTTCTCTCCTTTTTAATAATAATTTTATGTATTTGATTTCATATTTGTTTACAAAATTTACAAAGACTCAAGCTAGCACATGTGCAGTAAAAACTTTACGTTTTACGGGTAGTTGTTTTGAATCAGAATCTGAAATATTCCATGTTCAACTTTTTAAACATCAATGTATGAAATTTATAATTATTATTTCAGGTTATATATGCAACAAAATCATAAAAGCAAATTTATACAAAATGTTATGGGTAAGAGAAATGTTATAACTTAAGCTATAAACTTCCTACTCATCCATGTATACGTTAAGCAGAGAAGGGGAAAAAAACGAAATGGGTAAGAAAATCAGCATGTATTTGACATTTCAAATATATATAACGTCAAAGAACGGCTTGTAAAGTAAATTTTTCTGAAAGTATGATGTGTATATATATACCATGTATGCAACATTTGGAAATAAACCAAACTTACTAATTTTCAAAATATAAACACATTTAACTTATTTTTCATCTTAACGTTTCAAAGTTAGACAATTTCTTCGTCTATGCAAAGTACATGTACTCGATGGCTTAAGAAAAATGATGAAAGTAATCGATTTTATTCATTTATTTCAATTAGAAAAAAATTATTCCCACGAAAGTCCCAAATATTCCCGCTATATTTTATTGTACTATCAAAATTGTTAATTTGTCTACAATGATATGGATGTCTGAATTTATGTTTACTGTGTATACACAGACTACAAATCTCAATGAAACTCAATTATCGATCTTCTTATATATCCGACCAGTGCGTAATATTATATGTGGTTTTACATAGTTAGGTACATGACAAACTTTAAATAATACTGTAAATAAATACTAAATATTATTTAATTTGCAAATATTAAATTTTTCATGCTACATGTATGTTGTAAAAGTGTTTAAAAGACATTCCACATTGACTACGTTAACAGGTCAACTTAAATTTCAAATTTCCACCTTGCCACATTAAATAGATAAAGCTATGATGAAATTTGAAATGTTTTTAAAGACATTATTTGAAACGATATCAAATGAAATCATGTTGTTTATACCATTTAATGCTTTTTTTTAAAGTATGGTATTTTTTTTAAATTTAGGGCCAATGTTCTCGCAACATCTGTAAAATATGTTTATTTACAATGTTTTGGAAACTTTAAAAATGTTTTCGTAACATTTCCAGGGAAGAATCTTACAGATACTATGCCAAAACTTTTTGGAAAAAAAATATTTGAAACTGTTTGGGAAAAGGTAGACAAAATCAAGATCAAAACATTTTGAAAACCTTTATATTTTGTTGAACTATTGTTTGATTCTCAATTATTTCTTTTACCAATAAACAAACGATATTTTTTCCATATTTTTAGATTTCTATTTTCTTAAAATAATTTCAAAAGAAACCACACAATCTTTTTAGTTCCCATTACCGGCGGCATCTTTATACATGTACGTAACACCTCCCTATGTACAGAGTATCAGTTGGGATATGTGTACCTGATCCCAGTTGTTGTTTTAACAATTTACTGACATGTTTTTTAAAGATATATTCGACGGTAGCTGGAGATCACTTGAATATTTTAAAATATCTATCATCAACCTAACTGAGAAGATTAAATTTTGGAACCCCCCCCCCCCCATCACCACACACACAAGAAAAAATAACTAATAAAAAAAATGATAAAAAATAAAAAGAAATAAAAATGAATATTGTAAAGATTTATTCTTCTTCGTCTGTTATGAAAAAAACCCCATCAAAGTATATCTTTATGACAATTTTTATTATATATATACATAAAAATTAAAATTCGGATTTAGCTTGAAATATTACGTACTATGTGTAATTAGAATAATATGCTATATCACCATAATAAAATAATTTGTTTAGATCCCGAAAAAAAATAACTCAAGTCCCGAATCGTCTTTACCCAAGTCCCGAACCGTCTTGTTGCTAGTCCCGAAACGTCGTATTAGTCAGGTCCCGAAACGTCGTGGTCCCGAAACATCGTGCACCCATGTGTCTATTTTGGTTTATATTTCATGGTACATTATTATATATCGCAGATAACATATTATTATTTATTGTTTTGTAAAATGTTTATATGTACAATGAATTAATTCATTCAGTCCACAGGGGCACGTAACAGTATTAATCTTCTTGTCCTACACTGTGTAATACACAAGGCCAGGGAAGAATCAAAACATAATTTTTCGCTACCTCACATTTTCTTTTATGTTACCTTATGTTGATTCTGCCCACAGCATCTTTTGGTGCTCTATAGGCAGCTCTTTTTCAATATAGTATGTTTCCACTACTCTTTTTCCGGTAAACGGTCTGTAATCCTGTGTAAAATCGTATTTGAGTGGGTGATGTTCCCAGTATCTGTAAAATCTAATTTCAAATTGGTGTTAAGTTTTTGTTGTTTTGACATAGTCTGGTAAACTATTCAACAAGTCAACTACTCTATTTGTGAAGCAGTATTTTTCTCTGTTATATCTATGTTTCACTAATTTAGGGCTGTTTCCTCTAGTGATAAGTGTTTCATTTAAAAGATGTTAATTGTTAAGGTCCAAATTTTCTCTTTGTTCAGGCATTGTTGTTAGAGCTTGCAGGGCGAGCGGTGCTTTCAGTGTTTTCCCTAAGAACCAGCTACTGGTCAAATTGACCACTTCAACTGATAAAAATGTATCTTAGAAATTTTTTAAAAAGTTGTTGTAATGTCTACAAAGATTTTTTTTTTCATAATCCTTACCCTTAGCCTGTTACAATTGATATATAACCCTTTACTTTGAAATAAAGAGAAAACACTGCACTTTGTGCCACTTGCTGTTATTATCAGAATGAAATAAGTATTAACCACAGGTGTGTGTATTGAGTACAAGTCAGTTTTAAAGGCTTGATATCTATTGCATGCAGGTCCGGTAAAAGGATCTTGTCCAAATTGAAAATTGACTTTTTTTTCCCAAAGTAAATGTAAAAATTCCACAACTGACAAGAAGAATAAATTTTTTACAGTGATTTTTATAAAAAAAAATAATTAATTTTTAGATTATAATTCTTCATAAAGATGTGAATATTATTCAAAAGAGGATAAGTCTTTAGTCTGTGTTTATTCTACAGTAAACTGTGTCAACATGCAGTATTTCAAAAAATTGCCCCTTTTTCAATTTAAAATTCCCAAGTGAAAGGATATAGGGCCCCATACCAAAAAGAGTCAATGTTTTATTCATTTTATTCTTCTTACACACATAATATACTACCAGGCAGACTCCAAAAATGATAAAGGCAACTGAATGACGGGTTAGTTAATCCTTCAGAAGAAGATGCAGTTATCATGATTACTGTCTTTCTCAATACTGTGTAAGAAGTTAGAACTCGAATCTTGGTCACCTATATCACCACAAATGTTATTGCAGTTTAAATTCAAGACATAGTTTCTCTTGGATCTTGATCCATTCAAAGTTGTAGGTTAGAACCAATTTTGACACAGAAAATCAACTGTAAACAGAACATTGCTATTAAAGTCAGCTTCTCTAAAATACCATGGGAAAATGTGTATTTTCTACTACAGTGACATTTATGTTACTCATACAGATTTGTTTGCCAGTCATTGTTGATGTAAACTTACAAGGAATTGTACTTAAAAGCTAGTTTGTGGATTCTTAGAACTTTGAAAATTTTCTTGATCAGTATGCAGGTTCTGATTGGAGTCTCCTCTACCTTACAGGTAAAGCTTAAAGATTTACTGTGCAAGCTGCACTCACTATTATGTGAATCACTAAAAGATGGAAACAAGTCGTTAATACTTTAAAAGGTCACAATATAGTTGGCATATTTTTTTCACCCTGTAAAGTAAATTGATGTTAAGATTACTGTGTAAGAACACTTTGGTTTGTATATGATTTATTTCTCATTTATTGTGTTGAAGTTCTCATGAAACAATGTCCAACTAGGATCTCAAAAGGACAGGGCATTGGTGCAAAAACGGTATTTTTAGCATGCACATGGACATGTTTCAAATAAGTGTATAGCCATGTGATGACATGCAGTATTGAATATGTTGAATCTAAGCATATCTATTAGGATGAAGAAAAAATATGTCATAGTTACCCAACAGACCCTAAATATTTTTGCCAATCCCACATAGTTTGTTATGCTTTGGGGTACACTTCTCTTATCTGCAACTCCTCCTATACCATTGAATAAATTTAATGAGACTTTTCACAGAATCTTTGTTACATAGTGCCATTGTGACCACCTATTTTACTTTTTGATCAGACACTGATTTCGGGTGTCCCATAGCAAAACATAGAACACTGCCATTCTTTCAATAATAT